GGAGCTGAAGACTTCTCACTCTCGCAATCGTGTGGAAACTCATACTCATAAACGATACTGCGTATGATCGCAGGTTCTCACATCCTGGACTGACGTACAAGATTAATTTATCCCTGTCACAGCGTTCCCGTGCAGACGTATTTGGACACAAACAAAAGCAAACAATGAGGACCAAGAGACTTTCCCTATCATCCGAAGACTAGACACCTGTTGCGCGTCGGACTCTTGATGCCGTTATTCTGATCTGGTCGTAGGTGAGACCCTGGCGCGACAAAGACTGATCAATTTCGAAAATAGAAGAAACTCGGGTAGCATGAACAGAACGAAGGCAGCAAGACACACAGCTGAGCAGGGGTGCTCTTCGGGTGTCAACACCGAGAGGTTTTTGCAGAGAAGGATTACGTAACGAAGCATTGCACCAAGACACACACAGGAGCTTTCCAAAGCTCTCAACAGAACAAATGCCGTTATCTCAGTCAGATCTGGGATAAACACACATAGACTGAACACCCACTCGTACAATTCCAAGCGAGGGGAAACAAAAAGATGCAACTATGAAATGGCAGAAATAGTGTAACACCAACCATATCGAGAACAGCAGACTACTATCCTCTCTTCTACTGAGTTTGGCCATCAAAATCGGCTGACCTATTGGATCGGATAGACAGCTGATTCCTCTTGCGGCATGAATAGGTCAGAGATATCATATCAGATCAAGTCAACGAGAATAAAACAGAAGAATGATGTGAGCTGTAAACATTTTGCTTCCAACTCACTGGATACAGAATGTACCTCCACGCGATCATTAACGACATCGGCAAGTTGATGCATCCTCTAGAACACTTTGAGCTCCCTACGATGGCTCAGAGAGACATCCTGATGGGACATCTTCGTGGTCTTCATTGTTCCAAGACAAATCTACACCCAGATAAACAAAAAAAATCACATGAGAAGCTGTAGAGGCTAGATGAATCTAGCGAGTGTATGGCTCAGAAGATAGTGGCGTGCAAGCTTGCAATTCGCGCTCGTAACAATCACGAAGAAACAGACAAACGACAACACAAAGTGAGAGAAGGAGTCGGAGATGTACACACCATCGAGAGCATGGATAATGCGATTGAGCGATTTTCTGTATCGCCATGGAAAAGTGTTTGCTGTAGATAGATTACCAAATTGCTAGAGTTGAAATACACGCCGAAGCCCACAGAAAGACCTGGGTACAGTACGTGATACGGAAGGGGTCAAAGATGGCACGGAAGAGTTGACGAATCTGCAGAACCACGGTATAGCGCGTAATGAACGATCCGATGTGCCCCCGCAGACAAATCCCGGGCGGCGACTGGTCTATGCTCCTCGACCCAATCAATATTGCTCGAGCATCACGTCTTCAACGCATGTGCCGCTTACTTACTTCTCTAGGCAACACGGTGTAGATAGCCCTATTGGCCCGTGCCGTGATGTACTTTAGTCATCCAGCTTAGGTAAGCTGCACTACTGTATCTAAGCAGTTACAGTGGTGGAAATTCTGAGATTATGGTTTTTCTCACCGATCGTCGATACCTCGTGATTTGATACACGGAAATCATACCGAGGGATTGGTGAGTTCGTGCTCGACTAATGCAAAGGTCATGGCGATTCAGTGGGACCTTGTAGATCGTAGTCGAAAAGAGCAGGTTGCAGTGCTGTGCCCCCTCGCTGATACGCGCTTATCTGTCAGTCCCAATCTTAGCGCGACTATTGTAGATCGGCTCTCTTTACACGCAGCATACAGCGACGGGACTTGATTTGCCCAATCTAAACAGACCTGCTCGACATCGCGAACACAGATGTCGCTTGCCCTGTGAGCGAACGATTAATTGGCGTCTCGCCATATCCAGACAAATTAGCCGGTCAGTAGGGCGTCTGCGCGCTTGGCTTGGCGCTCGGATCTCTGGGTCGGTCGAACTTTGGGTACGACGACTGCCGCCGACCTCTGACAAGACCCGCTTGTACTCTCCGATAGACTCACGTCGTTGGGGTTCGGGAAGCAATCTTGTTTTGCCATCATCTACCTTCGCGTACTTTAATTATGTGTATCGATGCGAATCCTCCGGCCGTGACCTGTGACAATTCGCAAACCTCATGTCACTCATGGATCGGCCTTGGCGTATTGTGTTCAGCCTGTCTCAACTAACACAGAGCTCATCTGAGCGCAAGTCCTCTCGCTACAAAATTTCGAAGGGCATAGTGACAAATAACGGAGTATAGTCTTCTTGATACCATGGCGAGCTATGCCCTGTCTGACCGAAAGGAGTGAGTTTGATCTCTGATAATTCATTCGCCGTGACGTCTCCCGTTCCTCTCCGTCTCTCAAATCTCGCCTTCGCGCTCCATCTTTCGATACCTGTCTCTCCTTGAGCTGTCTGCACTGACATCGAACGCTTTGCCACTGCAGTGAGCTATGCCGTAGGAGCATAGCAAGAGCGTAGACACGAAGCTGATCATCGGCTAGATGAGGCAGGCACGCTAAAGACATGATTCTCACTAAACAAGGCCAACCAGAAAGTCGGGCCCGACGTTGAACTCAGATGCTTGTGATTGGTATACCAGCACTGTTCTGTTAGTCTGCTATGGGTCCACGTCATATGTCAGTATATTGCGTTCCAGGCAATGCGGCATATGCATCATGGCGACACGGCATGGAGACATTGAGCCATGGTGTTCGATGGGCCACTAATTCTTGCTTGCACTCTGTGTCGGGTTCGCCAACGGACCTACTTGTCTGCTTGCTCGCGCCACTAGACATGAAGCAGAAGCGGCTCATGGTTTTGTCGGGTATATAGAGCAGGTGAGCTTCTCCAACAGTGTCCGACGCCGTCCGAAAGCACGCCGAGAATCATTAGAGCATATTACGACCTGATACAGCAGAGCTCAGCAGACCAGAACAGTAGCGATGGTCGGTACTAGTATGACCCCAGAACATGTTCTTGTGTGAAATCCATCATCATATTCAGGATACTGACCGTATGATAGTGGACTTTCCAAACGTTCTCTTGTACGGCAACAGCAGTCAAGATACCGTGTCCCAGAGCACTCTTCACAACATGTTCCAATCCCACGATCAGGTTGATTATCAGAGCGACCTGAATTCGTGCTATCAGCATGCCCAACTTGCTGTCGAGAACGATCCAGCCGACTCTCGTCTCTATGAGACGCCTCTCTGTTTCACCTCGGAGAACACTCAAAATCGTACGACAGGACGAATTCAAGACGAAAGCATTGAGACACGACCCGAAGCTTCTGTTTCAAATCATCGAGCACTGATTGAGACAATCAACCAAGCGGACCATCAAACTCAAGTCCCGGTCGATTCAAGACATGGGAAGAATGACGCGCCATGCCCTCAACCACCCCAACTACCTGGAGCACAGGATGAGATACCTACAGAAACGAGAAGCAAAGGTTCTGCGATTGAGCTCTTCGAGATCGTTCTCAGAGTATTTTTCCCCACGAACGAAATTGTAGGCCGTGACCTACCTAGAGTCACATGCAGCTTCCAGGAAGAATCTGTGGATCTCAGTGTCAAGTTCGCAGTCGGGAGCTCCACAGGCACCAAATCGGACTACGAACAGGATCCTAGAGACCAAGGCAAACCGCTGGAAGAGTCCTTAATGATGCTGGCAGAGAAGGCTTTGAATATTGCAGGAGAACATGAGTTCCATATCCATACTGATGGAGCTGGTACGCATATACACATAACATACCAGAGCGATGCAACTTAGCAAACCTTGAGAAGGAAGGTGCCAAAAGAAGAAAGCAACTTCCGACGCCACTCTCGGCATCTCAACTTGTCAAAAATACGCTGCGATTGGTCTGGGATCTGCACATCGTGCCTTCGCATCGACACGTTTCACTCGAAGACGTACGTGTCGATGCGAAGGCACGATGTAGAGCGATAGGAAAACTACCCCAGACCGCACAATCAGGCTTCGTCTCGACCTTCGGAATACACGAACTGACACAATAATGTTGGAGGTCAACCGGATCTCGATTAACGACTGCTGGTAATGTGAAAGAGGAGGGTTGGAAGACAGCTTGCAAGGACTGGCGGATGGTCCAAGCAAATGTCCGCTTGATGCCTTGGAGGCCACGTTGGACAAGTCTACTTGATGGCTGTCTCCATGATCCAAGCCGCGAACGCATTAAGCTGGATTGGGTCAGTTTGCATAGTTTGCTCCAGATGCGAGTTCGCACACGCGTGCAAACAAGACAAACAGGATATCATGACAGTCCATGGCCAGAAAGCTCTTGAGCAAGCAAGCGGAACGCATGCGTCACATCCAGTGATCAGCGTCTGGTGCTGCAACTCTAGACGCGCTCTCATCTAAGCGTCTTTTCATGCGCTGTTGGCGATTGGAGCAGTTGAGGCAATTCCTCCTTCTTTCGATACACATCAATGTCGGATGAGAGGACGTCATCCTTGATGTTGTTGTAATTTATGAAGCGCCGTTGCTCTTGGCAGGTATCGAACGGAGTGATCATGTGAGCTGAACGGTCAGTTTCACGCTCGCTTAACAAATGACAGGAACTTCGTGCTCTCTATATCTTGTAGAAAACCGGCTTAGCCATCCTCACGGACATATGGAGGTATCGCACCGGACACACTATCGAAACCTCGATTGTCCTTTCCACCGAGGCCCACCCGGAGGAGTTCGAGCTGATCGACAGAATATCCTCTGTGACTACATAAGCCTGCTTCACTTTACGACTATCTTTGGTTTTGCCACCGGAGGCTTATGGGCCAGGTGTCGCACAGAAAGACATCTTTGTTTGCAATACAGCTTTTGAGAGACAACAAGAGTTTTCCAAGCACTGAAATGAGATAAGGATGTTGACATAAAGTAATGCTTGGCTACTCATCTATAGGACACTATAGTATCGTGATCAATGTGTCTCGTGGGCACACTAGATTGTGGGTTTTAATAGAGATCGTCTTCAGCTCTCCCTCCGTAATCGCTTCGCTATGGAACGCTGATGAGACCTTCATACCAGAGCTTTTGCTTGCGCACCCGTTGTGGTACTTCTTGCAGAAGCTTTGGTATGGGAGTGTCTCTGATGAACAAAATGAATAAAATGAACCGCTTCACATCGCATTCGGTATTGTGCATCCCCAAGCTGACTCTTATCACGCCAGTCGCTTTGCCGAAGACTACAGACTCTGGTTTGCTACAGCGGTGACCAGCTGCATAAGCCTGCTGCAATTCTTCCGGCGTCCAACCAAGTTCTCCAGCGAGCCCTCCAGGGTTGCAAAGACTGCCCGTCCGCAGACATATGTTTCTCTCGTTGGCGAGTTTCTCGACTTCGTTGTAGGGAAACAAGCTTCCGTCAGCCCCGAGGACGTTGAAAGCAATGACTGGTCCTTGAGCCTGGCTAGTGCTGAAGTCTGAGTAGAGTCGTATGATCGGCTTACCATTCGCATGGCGTAGGGCTGAGAGCGCTTCAGCCAGGTCCCTAGCCAAGTAAGCAGTATATTTTGCTACTTCGTCCATCGGTTTCTCACCATACTTTTCGTGGTGACAGTCAATAGCGATCTTGGTTGCGATGATCGAATTCGTAAGGGGGTTCCATCTTCGAGGGCCTCGTGGAGAGAGCCATTCTTCTTCACATGCCAGCTCCCTCCGATTGTGGTTACCATATCGACAGTACCTCCGCCGAAGTATCTCCTGCTTAGCAGGACCTCTCGTAGCTTGGCCGACTGCCTCTGCACAATGAGGGCGCCCAACTGGGGATACCCAAAAATCTTGTAGAAACTGACTGCGACAAGATCTGGCGACGTGGAAGTATTGCTTAGATCGAGAGGGCTTGTGCCAGCCAAGGCGGCCGCGTCCAGGAGGGTGTACGTCTCGGACTCGTTGTCTGTGTTTCTTCTGATGAGTCCTGGCCTGATGGACGTTAATATCTGAGCATGATCTGACTGCACTTTCATCCCTTACCAGTGATTGGGTAGTCGTCTGCCTGTCATGTTAGACTGGCCTGGATAGGCCAAGAGATTGACCAGCTTTGACTGGTGACCAGCCCTAGTGGGTTTCAGAATCCACTCGTCAACATCACCATCCTGAATGAAACATCGATGGGCTTTGGCCAGCTCTCGTGCTCCCACTAGACTGGTGTGAGAGTCGCGGTGATAGCCATACCAAAATTCCTTCCCATTTGCTTCTGCGTAATCGCGGAAGCAGTCAGCGGTGAGCTTTATGGCCGCTGTGGCATTGGCCACGAAAATAACATCCCAATCCTTCTTGCTGGCACCAANAAACTTCAGTACTTGCTTCCGGACTGACTGGATATCGTTTGCGATAGCTTGAGCCGGTCCGGAGTTAGAGTGTGGGTTTGCGTATCGTCTGTGCCTGAGGTCTTCATGCACGCGGTCGATCAAGTCTTGGGCATACGGNNCTAACAAGTAGTCAGGATGGTGGCTCGGACGCCTGGATAAGATATCCATTGAGAAATCATGCTTTCTTACCGGTGTTCCAGCACTGTCGAGATAAATGACATTTTCGAACTGGGGATAATCGCTTCTTCTGTCTTGGTGCATGCTTCTTTACTTCTGCTGGCCTGATTTTTATCGCTTCTCAATGGAACATTCAGTCTGACTGCGCGCAGCTGCGCGACATTCAACACTTATACTTCGTTCGTTGCTTCTTCTCTCGATAGTTGTTGGGTTTTGGTAACGGTTTGTGATCTGCTCGATCAATTGGGAATAAATTACATTCAGTCTGTTCCACACTGGTTTTAAAATACCATGATCGCCACGCGAACCTACATAACACCCTTGGTAAGGAATGGCACGTTTTTGAGATTGGAGCTCGATTTGTCCAAAAGATACTGTGAGCGGCTTAAAATCGAACACGCCAGTAATGTCTTCTGTCATCAAACAGATCGAGTAGATAGATAGCCTGCGGAGAATAGCTTCAGAACCGTCAACAATTGAGCAGTGATGAATCCACTTTCCGTGTATCAGTTGCCGCGGTCAATAGTCTTGTCAACCGGGCGATCGTCTTTCTGACATGTTTAGATCATATTAATCAGTCTGACGACGTGCAATGACTCTTCCCATGACGGCTGGCCGGTGGAAAGTAACCCGCCGTGGTTCAAGTAGTGAATGAGACGATCGATTCCGCGGCCGCTGCGCATAGGACTGTAGCGATCAATGTTGTTCCTACGGATGAAAAAGCCCAGCCCATCGCTAACAGAAACGTGGGACTACCGTAGCAGGAATCTGGATCTGACCACATGAAGCTGGTTTTAAGTGAAAACCCCATGACTGACGAAAGACTGGCGACGATCCAGAGAACAGGAACATCTGGCTCTCCCAAATTACGATCCCATATGCTCTGCAAGACCTTGGAAATGAGGACCATCATGAAGTTGGCACTCATAAAGATGGTCATGTTGAAAAGGTTGGAAACGAACATCATGGCTACGCCATCACAGGTTCTGGGCAATGCTTGATGAGATCGACCTGCGGGTTTTCTCGTCGCCAGGGATGCATTGGACGGGGACGACTGGTTCGCCATTGAGAGCTTGAGAGAATTTGTGCTTGTAGTGACAAGAAGGCAGAATGAACAACGGAAGTGGATCGGTGTTATGTTGTAGATTTTCCCGAGACCGACATACATGAACAAACTCTGATAGGCGTTTTGTGAGCAGCCGGAAATTTTCGAGTTCGAAAATCCTGACCTGTGCACGGTCCTCAGAGCATCCTGGCACAAACGCCAAGAGACAGATCCCGCCGGACGCTCTTCACGCCTTTGGTCATCCCATCTCTCTTCGCATTCGTGCAACTTGAGCTTGGCAGTCCACAATGAACGCTTACGACAATGCTCTCGAGCTGCTCCTCGCGCGCGTGGGCTAGTCCCATTACATACATCGGCGAGATCAGATCCTACAGATTCATAACTGACTGTGCGCTCGAGTTTGTCGCTGATCTGTTTGGACGCAATCCTATCTTATACGTAGCTTGCACTCGACACGCCGAAATGACCATTGGGCAGTGGAGTACCTGCTCATTCAATGAGTTCAAAGCAAAATGATACACCTTCATAGAAAGGATCCAACCTGTGCCTAAGGCCTTGGATTTCTCCGATGGATAAGCAGGTTGCAGGGCGTGTTAGCACTACTCTCCGAATGACTTGGACATTGTCCAAATCCGAAAACGGGTGGTAGCTAGTACATACGGGGGGAATTTAGAATGAGGTTCGATGATTCTTGCTCTGAATTCGAGTTGCCCGATGTTCAGGTTACTTCTTGACATTCAGAATACTTCTTGTTATTGAGAATGATACTTCTTGACAACCAGCGTGTACTATCGAGGTCTCCTGTTGAAATACAGTAGTCTGAGACCATGCGCATACACTTTGACGCACTTTTAATTCCCAAGGCCGAGTGAATATCTGAAGACAGTATTAGCGCTATTGATAGCCCAGAGCGTGAGGATGGAATAGGTGTCTTATTCCGCAGTACTAACAAATTCGTGTACGCTGGGCTCAGTATGTCGCGAGACCTTACACTGCAGTATTGTCAGCACATACGGTGGTACGTTAACCTGATCTCTCGTATTACGTACTGCAGGAATGCGATATTAGGCCCTTGACCTAGTGCCTCAATCTATCACAGTTCTTACAAGCTCGCTATACTATTACGGTGTTGACTTCAGATTACCAATGGCCATACAGAACGAGGACCTAGCCCGTATCGTGGTGTCCCAATCCGAACCCGAGGGCCTGACAGCAAAAGTTATAACCATGTACGGGGTTCGTGGCAGATCGAACGAACTTACAATTAGCAACGACCGGACACCGGGTATTCTCTATCGAAGCTTCTGCAAACAGCTGAGATGTTTTGAAGGACGGTTTGCTTCGCAAGCAGACAAAGCAGAGTTCTTCCAGAATTGTATTAGCATCAAAGAACTATTAGAGAGTCGAGAGCTTGGAATTGTAGAGGATGCCGGGAGTTGGCATCTCGAAAAGGTATGAGACCTTCCAAGAGAAGTTGCATTTGAGTCGACATTTGCTCGTATCGTCAACAATCCAATCCATCTGCAGATTTGGTATCACAGGCTTGATATTGAATATGGTGCATTTATAGAGCGCAAGGGCATGTAGTGACAAGTATCTCTATTTGCTATCGAAGGCAGAAGTAATGAGGAATTTAGGAGTATCCCCTGACAGTACCGTTGCTGCTACAATCGCGTCACCCGGGGTAGTTCTCTCGGCATGATACAAGATCCAGGACCATCGTTTCGGGCTACATATATGTCGGAACGTTAAGAGCAGTCGATATCTAGCTACTGCTTACAATCCTTTGACTCATCATGCCAACTCGTGGTGCCCTCGATAGACCCTGACCGGGTCGTTCTCAGGATAACCCAGTGGCGAGAATTCCGGGTTCCACGTTCCGGGTGACGGAAGAGGTGTCGCATAAGAGATGTCTTTCTCCCTATGCCGAAGCCAGATACAGAACCAAAGACAGATGACGAGTGTGAGGATCGCAAGTATTCCTACGACTACTGCCACTGCAGCGGGATGCTCTGTGATATCCCCAGACCTCAGCATGACTTTGTCCCGCGGACTAAACGCGGCAGTGGTAGCTGATTGTATGACTTCCGCGAGTGTGGGGTCAGGACTGATCTGCGTAAGAGTCATGACTCGTCGATATTTCGATCAGATCGTTTGCGAGATCTGTAGAGGCTGACCCAGCATATATAAGATCCTTCATGTCGAAACACAACCAAATATTGTTCATGTGATTGGCAGACAGTTCATCACTTGCTAGTATGAATGCTGACGTGTTGACAGAGATGGCCAGTAGGATAACGAATGGCGAGATAAGAGACGACGTAAAATTTGGATCACTCGAAGTCCCGATACCTAATATCTATATCCATAGATCGATGTTTTGCAGATACTGAAGCTGTCCCGATCTAACACAATCTCTCGTCCCACATCGGTTGCTCTCGAAACTTCGTCTTACGCCCTTGGTGACGTGGTATGTATAGAGCTTCGAAAGACCTTAACCCTTTTCCGCCATGGTAGATCTACCTTGCGAAATATTTCAGACAATCGATTTACGTTTCCCTTTCCGCGAAGCTCTGATCAGTCATCTTGAATGAGCTGTATTCTCCAGCTCTAATAAAAACGCTTGATCCGTGATCTTCTTGTGTATGTGCTGTAATATGTTGAGCAGATTGTCTAGTGCACGACATCCTGGTGCAGACCTCGCTCTTGATCTTACTCGCTACGTATGCTTGGCAGTGCATTAAGTCTTCTAGTCACTACACTCTGGAATACAGTCTCTTCCGCTAGTGACTCGATCTCAACTATTTTCCCCCAAAACCTCAAGACTTCCTCTTTGTGCTGTATGATATATCCTTTTGTGCATACGGGAGCACGGCAATAGGAGCATGGTGAACGGACTTTGTCCATGCGAGCCTCTTGTTCCAACTTCTCACAGTCATCTAAAGCCCTCGACAGAATTTCAGTCAACCTTACAGACTCTGTGTTGATCCAACCCATCTCCATAGCTGGATATCGCTGTAATTCTCTCACCGCGCTTCTCTTGCTTCTGACATCTTCTGTTTGCTGCATGATAGGATCTGGTATGCTTTTCCAAAAGGCGCCCTTGTGTATTGAGCAGAGCCTATCCTTGGCTTCCTCAAGCTGTAAACAAATCTGTTGAGCTTTGATATAGGTCTTATCCTTTGTGCTTTTCCTAAGCTCGATCGATACTATACTCCAGGTCGCGGACAGCCACTCTCGAATCTTCTGAGCAGTGCTTGATTCTGCGTTTGTTCTCCTTAAACCTATCTTGTTCCTAGGTGAGTTGCCATCTCGATCTTCTTTGAGGGCCTGGATACATTCATCAAGGCATTTGATCCTGGATTCCAGAGACTGGTGGTACTTCTTGAGTGTCTTGAGCACAGTGTCCGTCACTATATCGACCAAAGGCTTTCTTTCTCTGGAAGCTCTCTCGTCCTGTGATCTATACCGAGCCACTCGCTGTGTCAGAACAGGAATCATCGGATGGGGTTGGTGGAGGTCCATCGAATGGTGTCGGTGTAACGAGGTATGACGACTGTCTCTCTCCCTCGACTTGTTCTTTGAATTGGAGATCCAAGGTCAAAGTACAGGCTTGCTGCAGGAAGCCTACTTATCACTAGAAGCTTGTGTGTAGAGATACTTTTGGAGATGACGAAATGTTTCAGTCGAGACCAACTTCGCCATGTCATGAGATTCTCCACAGCCTCTCCCTTGGCTGTCTCTCTAACAGTCACGTCAGTGATAGATAATGGAACTTTCCTTGATGACTGTACATCATCTCAACGACATGCGTGTTGCGATAACTTTTGCTGATGGCCGATATCGGTACTATGCAACTGTGCTGCGAGCTTGTTTGAAAGGTATTGCCCAGTGACATCTGATAGACATGTCTCTGTGTCAGCTGCTGGTTGTGGTAATCGATTGTATCATCAATCACTCATGGAGTGATATAACACCAAGTGCTGCTCGATTGCTTTTTCGAAGGAAGCTTACGAAGTTCTAACGTGGTCGAAAGCATATATTAACCGCTTCTTCCTTCGTCGGAAATCACCTCAGAGGCGACGTACTGTCAACATGAGAGAAACTCAAACGTCCTTCGTGTGGTTTGCTCTACTGGGATTTGCAAGATCAGTCGTTTCAGAGAAGGCTGATTGCGGAGATGGGCTCGAGTTGAATGCGCTACAAGGTGTTGAGTCCACCTTCAGCATCCCGGTTAAGAAACCTTGTTCAGCTGCCCTGATCACATTCAGCGATGGTACAGATTCGATGCTAGACCCTCGAACCAATACTTCGTGCCATAATCCGACTTCGGAAGCTCAAACATTCGCTACTGTCATTGGCTCGGACGCCCCAGAGGGTATCGCAACGCTCACCTTTCAATGCAGTGAGCAGGTCTACTGCATGTCAATCAATGTAGCGGAAGGGAATGGTTCGGACTCACAAACGTCCATCCGCAGCGTTTGTGCAAATTTGACGAATCCAAGTCACGAGTCTTCGGGCGCGGCTACTGGCGCAACCCAGGTGCCTAAAGTCAGCGATGAACCGGCCCATCAGGGAAGCACCCTAACTTCACAGAGCGATTTAAGCATCACAACAACCTCGCCAAGTGGTTCGAACGGTCTTGGTACCTCACTTGGAGCAGGTGTGCTGGGTAATGCGACCTATGCTACCGGTCTCGACAGCATTGGTCTTAGCCAATCAGCTTCCCAGACTCTCTTTGGTATGTCCGCCGGAACAACGCCCACCACAAGCTCAACATGGGCCGCATCTCCATCAAGGACTTCGAACGTGTCCATCTTCCAGACAACCATGGTATCACTGTATAGGACTGATACCATCATGCCTGCAACAACAACAGCGCCTCCAGATGACGCTGATGCCATCACGTCCAAGTCCGCTACTACACTGAACGATGACAACTCAACTGAAAAGGGTACAGACATCCAGCTGCCATATGGAAACCAATCTCGCGAATCAAAATCCTCGTCAGACCCTACAGTACAGCCCATTACAGCGTATCCTCTCCAGAACGACACTAGAACAACTTCCTCTACTCAGGCAGCAAGTCAAGATCCTTCAACATGCGCTTGTTACCCACTCCCCACTTTCTGATAGTCGACGAATCATCATCTCGTCACCAAAGTCTCATGTTGTGATAAGCAGCCTACATACTGTCTCCATGGTCAAATCTATAGCTGAATCTGTTCCTCTTCAACGTATGCTGTCTGCATTTTTCGCTTCATCTTAGTCTCAACACTTCTTGACTTCTTGACTTCTATGCTATATTGTGACGCGTCTGTGTTTTAATAACTAAGTGGACTGGACTGGGGAGATGTATGATTGGCTGTGCCTTACTGGATGTAATCAAGAGCTATGTGTCCTGCAAGCCGGCCACAAATTTCCATACAGGTTCTTATACCTTACATGTAGTTACTCAGAAAGAGATAGATATCGCGCAAATATTGAGATCTTTAGACTCTTGTCACTTCGGTAGCCATTTGTGAGATCAGGTTTGCGAATTTGTTGATATGACCAGGCACGAGACGGTTCACGCGCAGTCAAAAGCTACAGACGATGTCAATCGATGCTCCGTACCCTCTCGCGAGAACTCAAAGAACCGTCATTATTTCGGCGGTATAGATCATGGCATGCATAGCATCTCAAAGTTATCCTGGCAACACAGTCTATGTCTCGACATCTAAATCTATCGCATCGACAGCATTATTCAGAACCCGCTGCCAGTTGCCTGCATGATCGACAATGATGGAGCGGGTGTTTAACTGCCCCGTTGCTTCAAGGCGCTCTCGCACTTCGACGAGAAATCCATCTCTAACCAGCTTCCCAGGCGTACAATCCGAGGAACAGATTGGACAGCGCCAGTCGTTTCGCGTCAGACGACCTGTAGGGCACGTCTCTGATCGAGTTTCGAGAAAAATCTCTAGATCGAAGGCATCGTAGTGCGAGCAATCTTCGCCGCGGACAGGTGTGTCAAAGATCCTTGACTTCGAAAATGGCTCGAAAAGATCAATCCTTATCACCAAAGATGTGTCAACGACATCAATAGCCGCGTCACATCTTGAAGCCATGCGCGAGGTGATAGAGTCTAGAACGTCCTCGCTCGAGATCGTTTTGCATCTTCCAACGATTTCTAACCTACTCCAAACGATCCAACGCTCGATGGTGATAGCGAAGTGCGAATTCATGCCCCAAGCAGCGCTGGCCGCTCCAATCCTGACTCCAAGTCTGTTGTATTTCTCGAGCTGCGATGTGACATCCACAATAAGCGATCTGGCTTTGGGTTCGTATAGATCTTGATTGATCCACAAACCTAGACCGTCAGGCAGATCTCTGCTTGATAAAGCTTCCCGAGATCCGTGAAGAAGCTTTAGTATGGACCTCAATCTTGGGGAGTCTGGTGTGATGTCTAGCTGCTCTGTGTGCGAAGTCTGGCGTCGAGAGCCCGGTATGGTAATTGTCCACGACGCATTTTCCATGTCGGTCGAAGGGAGGCATTGATGTTTCACTTCCCCGTCTAGATAAACGAAAAATATCTGGCTGAGAGTACTAGAAGCCTTTCCGAGAGCCCTTTGGAGATTCAGACTGTCTAGGTTCAGGAAGGTCGTGAGCAGATTTTCGAGCTTTCGGGTTTCCTCGCGGTTAGTCTTGTTCCAATCTCCGTAGATCTCCTTCAGAAGATCAGACAGAAACGAGCGTGTCTTATCATCTAGTATCGAGATCGCAAGGATTTTGCGAAGCCACTGCAAGCTATGTGCCACTGGATGAGGGTCGTATAAGCGGCTGGGAGTAGGATTGGGCAGTACTAGATTATAGATNNCTGGTCGCTTCAACATCAGGTCGACTGCTAAAGAGACAGGAGACTGAAGTGATGATATCCCTCTTACCAGGACAACAAAGAGCAGGTCGTTGATCTCCAGCGCCTTGCGCACCAGATTGAGCGCTTCGACGTCAATTTTCTGCAAGACTCCTGGTCCGTTATCATGTCGAAATTTTTCAAGTTTCGAGATATTAGGATTGGTTGACAGAGCCGACATGATGTAGAAGAGGACCAATCCAATCTCCAACGGTATCAGAGTCATCATTCGCAACCTTTTAAGAGTCTTGATCCGAAATCTCAGTCTTGTGTTATGCGTACCAAAATGGGGAAGGCTCCATGCCCGGATGCGGAGTCATGAGCTGTAATTTTCAACCTCTTTGTTTTGAGCCCGTCCGTCTGTATTCGAACAATCGAGATCATCGACCACAATAGAATCATGTATCGATCCGACGTGGTCAATGATCCCCGATTCTGATGGCTGTCCTCCAAATCGAATCACAAGTCTATAGACTACGGCAGCGAGAGAACTTGCTACAATCGGTGGAAACGTATTTCACCCTCCGACAATAGGTCTTTACATCAAACGAACGATGGTTGGATTGAGCAGGTGGTATGAGACGGTCGAATGCAGAAAATGCGGTGATGTCATCGACTTATCGATCGATACACTACATGTTTGCTGTGTTTGCTTAAGCTTGGGGATTTACATAACAAACAGTGTAAACAGACAGCCCTGAACCCAATTCTCTCTCAGGGGTGGCTGGTCAACGAAGACCAGTCGCCCTTGGCATTCCAGGACGGCTTGAGGAAATAGCATTCTCCAGAATGGTCTTGCACGACCGGAATTCTCACAGTGATCCACTACAGTATGTTACACGATTTGGGAGTCATTTGAACTTGATCCATGGCTGTCGTATCAGTCTTGACAGCTGCTATGTCGGCCAGGTCAATAGCGAATCTCAAGCTAGCTTATTGTGCTAAAAACTCTATTACTCATTCTTTACATGTCCTATCATGTTACGAATGCTTTTTCGCCAAACGAGATGCTTCGACCAGAGCGAGAAAGAAGGCACCACGTATATTGTGCGTTTCGTAAGTCCCCCGCTCGAGGTGTCTGGACAGATCGCGTCAGTGTCCAGTTTACGCGAAGTGTGTGTCTGATCAATGGCTCCTCGGTTCACTAGACTACGTGGCCAGAGCAAAGACAATGCGTGCATGTCGTGATCAGTCCTCCTTGTGTCCATGCACTGCTTCTGAACCCGCGGAATTGAACGTCGTGTCTAGATTACGGCTCCTGTGGGGAATGAGAAGATAGACCATTGGTTGGGAAGCTGGTCTGATTGTCCAATGATATGGTCTGTGCAACAGGCTCAGGAGGGGTTCGGTACCTGACTGCCGGGACATGTGGAGCACGGACGAATTGGGCTCAAACAGTAGTTCTCATGCGCTACAATAGCGACTCCGAGCCCTTGGTAGAGCTGCTAACTAATATGCGGATTGACTCCTCCTGCATTCGATCTCCTGTCGCTTCCCTGTTTCGTAGCTTGACTCGTATGCAAGAATGTCTCAGGCGATGTCAACGACTATCGGGTGGTCCGCCTGTCACGAGCTGTTGAATCAACGCAACAATCTAGACTAAGAACAAGCCACGTTGTTGAACCCGAATCTGAGGCTCAATTGACAATCGAGTTCCGGTCGTTCAGTGGTAAAAACTCTGTTCCTCCTTGCTATGTGACTGCTTTGCTGAGAGTTGGAGGACCTTGACAAGCATTTCTACAACCTCTGTGCGGCTTCGCGTGCGATCAACACTCCACTCATCTAACCATGGGTACCACCGAGATAGACAACGATATCCAGTCTTTCCGTGGCGGCGAGACTGACAACGGTGCCGACACTGCTCTGATCCGTAAGATTGACTGGAGGATCATTCCCACGCTCTTGCTCGCAAACTTCCTGCAATTTCTGGACAAGGTGGCCGTCAATGTGAGATACGATCTGCTAGCAATAGCACACGTCCGAGCTAATCAGTTGTGAACGTAGTACGCGAATGTCATGGGTCTGCAAAAAGATCTCAACATGCAGGGTCAGGACTTTTCGTGGACAGCAACAGCGTTCTTCATCGGCTACGTTGTCGCTGAATGGCCTCAAGGTAAGCATGAGAGCTCTGTTCAAACTGCCAGAAATTGATGTAAGCCATGCNNAGGAATACTTCTCCATCGCTTCTCTGTGTCAAAAGTCCTAGGGTGCAACATATTTCTGTGGGGTATTATCCTTTGCTGTTCAGCCGCATGTCACAACACAGCTTCAATTATAGCTGTCCGCACCCTGTTGGGTATATGCGAGGCCGTGATTGCTCCAGCTTTGATTGTGATCACCTCGCAGTGGTATGTTAAGGCCGAGGCACCGCTCCGGTATGGCATCTGGTATTGTGGTTTGGGAGCGGGTCAGATTGTTGGCGGTCTCATCAGCTTCGGAGCACAGCATAGCTCCTCAACGTTTGCAAGCTGGCGGGTGATGTTCGTCTGCGTTGGGATAGTCAATATCCTCGTGGCATTGCTGATTCTCTTTACTCTNCCCTGGTATGTCCTCACAAGCTGCTGAACCCCAATCATCTTGCTTACCGGCCTAGATGGTCCTCAACAAGCGAATTTTCTGAGCCAAGAGGAGAAAGAAAGCATTAAGAAACGACTCGAGATGGACAGTGCGGGCACCGAGCCAACCAAGTTTTGTCTTCGCTTCTTCAAAGAGTTGCTTCTAGATCCACAAACATGGCTTCTGGTATTGCTGACACTTTGCATAACGATCCCGAGCGGTGTGATCACCACCTTCTCCGCTGTTTTGATTCACAGCTTTGGGTTTGACTCAAGGCAAAGTGCACTTCTCAACATGCCGTCTGGGGCTGTGAGCATCTTTGCAACCATACTATCAACTTGGGCAATCGTGAAGCAGGCACCCAGGTGGCTGTCCATCATAGGTCTCTTGATACCTGCTCTGATCGGTGGTGCTCTGCTTTCTTTTGAGGGCATCGGTCGTCCAGCTGGATCTCTCGCTGGTATCTATCTGGTCAATTTTGTGAGTCTGCAGCTATTGATGATATTGTGGTGGGTGAAAACTGACTTAAGATAGATCGTGGCACCGTTGGCAATCATATATAACTGGGTTGGCGCTAATTACAACGGCCACACGCAGAAAGTTACTGCAAGTGCTGTGATTTCTGCCGCATTCGGCATTGCAAACATCATCGGTCCCCAAACATACCGAAAGGACGATGCCCCAGGATATCTTCCAGCCAAAATTACCCTGATGGTTGTCATTGCGTCTGCTATTCCGATCACGCTAGCACTACGTGCACTCTATGCCCATCGAAACTCGATACGAGCATCTGACGAATGCGAGTATCGCTTGTGAAACGAGACCATCTGAGCGTACAGATGTTCGATATCATTCAGCAGTCAACCTCGGTCCGATGCGACGCGAGATGTCCGACTATTGTGGCAAGGAACGGGAGCAGAAGAGAAAGGCACGAATCCTTCGTCGGTTGATACTTCAAATCGACATTGTATGCTCAATTATATACTCCGTGGTCTGGTCCTGGGTGTTGGCTTGAGAGAGTGATAGGCAGTGGGAGCAGTGACAATCTAACAGAGCATAATGAGGATAGTACAGCAGGATACATCACTTGACGAGGAAGTTCAGCTTCCACCATAAGCAACCCCTACAAACACTCATCTCTCGTGTGCCCTTTGGAACTCCAGCTTTTCGTTTCAGCCAAAGCAGTGTGGTGGCTTCGCGGCGGCGAAGAAGAAGAAGACCATCTCGGCCTTCTCTTGCTCTTTCTGCCTGTTCCGATAGATGAGCTTACGCGGTTGGCTGAAGAGTTATCTTAACATCACCAACACATCAAGAAGGTCGTAAAGAGTTCGATCAGAGATAGTGGATTTTCGTGAGGCAAGGATTTATCAATAGTATCCGATCAGATATTCGATGCAGTCTTTATCAATATCGCTGAATGAAGTCGCAACTCGCGCGGAAGTCCGATACGCGAAGGCGACTCAGTCTGGCCAATCAGCGAAACTGGCAAGCCAAGACTGGACCATTTTTGACTCGTGGCGCCGTTGCGTACAATCTTGTCACCAAAACTGGTACCTTCTACTATCCATTGCGCAACACCAGAATATCTTTATGCTTGAAACTACCGAAAATATCAAGATTTAATGTCATGGATGGCAATCGATCACATGTGGTATCGGGGGAATTTTGTATCGTGCACGGGCCTTGGAATCTGAGGCAGGTGGTGGAATAGAATCGCAGCAAGCTGCTCAATCAATAACGGCTGCCTCAGACAGCCGAAGTAGTCACCCGAGTCAAGGTATCGTTGAAAGTGTAACGGCATTTCTTCTCCCATCGACAATGAGTGAAGTTTTCATCTGGAGCTTCAGTGCAACTCTCTACCGTGCCGTCAGTAAATTTCGTGGTTGAAGCAACTAGGGCACAGCTTCAGTACAGATCTTGCGCTCTGGCCGCGCTCTCGGTCAGCGCTATGGCAGTCTGTGCGTTTGTCGATCCTTGTCCTGATAAGGTTCGAGAGCCGAGCGAGAACCGGTGGTCCGGGCCAACCGCTCGATAGTAACGGGCAACCCGAACCCCCATATTTGCTAGAAAAGCAACCAGGTCTAGTTTGCCATTGTGCACTTATCTCTATCACGGCCCGATAATTCAAACATGATGAAAACAGCTTAGTCAACATGCATCTCATTTATATTCTTGCTGGGAGCGAATCGCATAACAGGCGTGAGCATCCACCTGGGATCATTTTTCAGAATTACTACTACCAACAGTCAGTCATCAAACAGTGAAGTGCGAACTTTTGGAGGTCTGGCTTTCGTCATGCCCCGTATCATCATAGTCGGGGCGGGTGTTGTGGGATTGATCCTGGGACAAGCGCTGAAACTGGTCTGTCCAACATGCATACCTCTCACAGCTTTGACAAGTGTTGACCATTGCCTGTTCGACAGNCAACGTATTCCTTTCACGATTTTGGAGCGAGACAAATCCGCAGACGGACGTGAACAGGGATGGGCAATCACGCTACACTGGGCTCTACCGCTCCTCGAGGAAATGCTCTCACCGGAACTGATTACTCGGATAAAGGAGTGCCGAGTCAATCCAGAAGTCGCTGAAAGCGATGCTCGAAACTTCAAGTTGATCAACCTGAGAGACTGCAGCGAGATCTTTAATACCGCCTCGGGGGAGCGATGGCGGGTCAACCGAGGCAGATTCCGCTTGGCACTCATGGATGGCTTGGAAAGCAATATCCAGTGGGATCAGCATGTCGAAAGCGTCCAGCACCATGATGGATTCGCCAGGGTCCAATGCGCAAAAGGAGTATTCCATGACGCCGATGTTGTCATCGGTGCTGACGGGAGTAACTCAGCCATCAGAAGATTCTTGTGTCCTGAGAAGCACGAAGTGACTCCACTTCCGTATCGCATGCTTGGAGTTGGTACCCAGCTCACAGAAGATCAAGTCGCNCCCCTTCGTTCCATCGATAAGCTTCTCTTCCAAGGGAGCGAACCGGGTACAGGCACTTTCATGTACTACTCGCTTCTCGAGCCTTCGACAAAGGAAAATTCAACCTGTACCGTCCAGCTTAACATAAGTTGGCCGAAGCCTCTGAATGAAGATGAGATATTCTCCGACAACGTGTCGAGACTTACAGCCTTCAAATCCCGAGCTCGTGGCTTCGCACCTTGCCTGAAGAACGCAATCGACGATATCGCCGAGGGCACGCCCGTTCTAGAGATACTTCTAGCAGATTGGGAACCTGTGCCTTGGACCAATCCAGGATACGTAACTCTGGCTGGAGACGCCGCTCACCCAATGACAATGTGTAAGAGAACTTTTGTAATACTATACCTCCAGGCTAATGATATCTAGTTNCGAGGTGAAGCCGCGAATCACGGTATTCTGGATGCTCATGATCTCTGGGAAACCCTCAAGCTTGTGTATCAGAATGGCGGCAACATGCGAGACGCTATAGGGGGTTACGGGGAAAGAATGACGGGACGAGCTACTGATGCCATCCTGAAGAGTAGGCGCGCATGTGAAGACGCCCATGGAAAGTCTGTGGATGAGAGTAGCCCGCTGGTAACTGAAAGGACGATGCCACAGCAATATGCCTGATCGTACTATTTCACGGCTCGGATATGGAGACTTGGGAGATCTTACCACAAGTATACGGTAATTCCGTGTCCAGGTTCGGACTTGATCAGACTGTTGCCAGCTTCGAATGTCGACGACCAACTTGCCAGGCCACATATTAGATCACATGTTGTAGCCATGATCACAATACTCGGCGACTCGCATTGAGAATCACTAGCGTTAGTATCTGCATATTCCCACTAAGCAATGATGAAGTTGGTCGGTACTCGATATCTTAGACTTCGTCGTAACAGTAGTTGCTCCGGAGCTTAGGGTTATGTAAATTACAGCTGACACGTTCAAATCCACATACAGACATCTTGCGCGGAACGACGTAGGTCACTGGATCCAAGTACGTGAGGCATCGCCAAAGAGCTTTCCAGGTGATTATGTACAAGCTGGAACGATGACGCTTGTATCGTCGACCCTCTGGACATGTGCTGCACCTGTACGCGAGATCTTTCAATGATTGATCACTGCAACGAAGTCGAGCGCCATTGTTTTGAGTTTAGCAGCCGGCGCTAAGCTTCTACAGGGCATGATAAACACTCTACGTTTTTATTACCTGTTCGGCGTGCTACATTTCTTACAGCAGGTGCCAACCGCATGCGCACCGTGCCCGTTCGATCTCATTTAACCCACGTTCCCATCATGAACAGTGATCTCCTTGCCGAAACCCTCAGGTGATATCTTGAGAGTCTGAGGCAACACATCTATGCAATCAGCCAGACAATGGACAAAAGAAATGGTATAGAAGACCCGATGTTCCAATGTTCGACCATCGTGGCTGATCCGCACCCTGATTCTGTCTCAATGCATATTGTAGTCTGCTGTCCATATCTTTCGTCGCGGCAACGACGGTTCCGGCCAGAGCCATGCAGAACTAGATGAGCGACAAGCATACTACAAGTAATTTTGTCGAGTTCGTGGACCTGGATAGTGCGTGCCGCTCTCCCTCGTACCCCGTTTCCTCTGCTACAAGGATTCGATCACAATCAAAACACTCTTTACGGAAAGCTTTTCTGGTGTACATAGAACTTTATCGTTCTGAGGATGTTGCGATGTGGGTTAGTTTGTAGGTAACAGATGCGAGAACAACAAAAACGCCTGCGAGCAGATTTTGCAGTGACCGCTCCGGCCACGCTGCAGAGCGCATGAATCACATCCTCCATTACCGTGCACTTGGTAGGCTTATGTATGTAGGTGGATCATACTGAATATCTTGCTTGTTGGAGTCGCGGGTGCTATCGGACCAATATGACCGTCCATGCAACAGAGCGCCACATTTTGCTAGGAGCAGCAAGTTGTTCACAGGCAATGAAACCTCAAAAGCAAAAAAATTTGAGAACAATGTCCTTCGTGCATGAGTCTGTACCTTGTCACCATATATTAATAAGGAACTTCCCCATGCTGTGCAACTTCTGTCGCCAATATCAACTTGTCTAACGACACCGGGTACTTCCAGGATGTGGGTTCAACATGCTTCCACGGAGATCAATCAGCGCAGCAGATATCCCATGGTGATCTGTGTCTGTTCAGTGATCGTCTTGGCCACGATCACTGTCGTTGCTCTCAGAGCCTACGATCGGGCACACAGATCAAGACATTTTCGTATAGACGATTGGACTACTTTCACTTCTGCGGTCTGTCTATCTCATTCCATGATTGATAGCATAGACTAATTGGTTCCANNGTCTACCACTGTGACATATGCAGTACTTGCTGTATATCAGACGCGTCTTGGGCTAGGATTACCGCTCGAGCTGCGTCCGACCGAAGATCTTCACGAATTCACTCTGGTAAATGTTCTTGTCTTATAACAAAGGGTCCTTTTTAACCGGCGTGCATCANNGCTCAACTATGCGGGTCGACCGATATATGTCGCGGCCTTGATGACCTTCAAGATCGGCGTTTGCCTTGGAGCTCTGAGAATGCTTGATCGGAGCAATGGCAAAGCAATTCTGCAAACAGTAATAAGAACAGCCATTCTTGTCATCGTCCTGAGCCATGTAGCAATCGCTTTGGCCTTGATGTTGTACTGTCGACCAGTGAGAAAGGCTTGGAACCCTCACATCAAAGGAAAATGTCTATCCGCAGGCCCTCTCTTCTATGGCACAGCGGCCGCAACCATACTCTGCGACTTGATTGCGTTCTCCATGCCGGTATTGGCCCTTTCTGCCATCAAGAACTTGGATCCCGAGATAATACCGCGTTCGACTGTGGATCCCAAGAAAAGACTGCGTTTGACTGTCTCGCTATTCCTCGGTTTTTTCACAACCATCTGCTCAGTCGTACGCACGATTCAGATCAGAGAAGTTGTAGAGACTGGAGATTCTACCATGTTGATTCTCTGGGGAGTAATTGAGGCCTGTGTAGGGGTATGACTATACATGTCTTCCAGTTCACAAAATTCCAATGCTAACACGATTTGGCAGGTCATTACATCGTCTATACCAACCTTGAACGCCATGTTCTCTGGTCTCTGGAAATCGGGCGCTTCTGCTACTAAAAAATGCCACAGTACAGATAGATACTGTGAGCTCCCGGGTACTGGCAGCGGGCATGATGACGCGGTAAAACTCGTTGGTATCACACGCAAGACGGATCTCGTGATGAGAAGTGAGGTGATGGAAGGTGGCTTCCAAGAAAGCAGCACCAGACATGATTGGTAACCAGCAGGATATATTGACGCAAGGGAAATCATGGATGCCGAACAGCTATAGACCAGCAGGCTGATTGGTAGCTTTGGCAGCGGCTGTGACACATGATTTATGTTTTGTAGCTCCCACTTTTGGTTTATCTTCAGCAACCAGTAAATCAAGTCGTTCAAGGCGCATTGATACAGACGATTGACAGGTCCACATTTCGAGAGAGCTCGTGTAAATTATGGACGGATCTCGTTATAGTCGGTGGTGAGCATTACAATGAATGTATTTTTGCGTTAAATCCTCTTCATTGGGGCGACGGACAATGCCTCGCTCATAGACCGATTGCTTGTTTGGCCTGTGCATTCTTGCCAGCTGTTCCCTGAACATTGCTCAATCGCTACGTTCGCTATCCCGTCTTGAGCGGGTACGCACACCAACCACCATTGACTCCTTGACTTTCGCATTCTCACCTCGTCAGGTAAGTGACGTGCACAGCCAGTAGCTACAGCTCGATGCTTTCATATTGCTTACTCATCATGTTTGTCACGGACATCATCACAATCTAGGGGCTGAGAGCTATGCTTGGTTCTATCGAGATGTTGACTTGCGAACCACCTGATCGCTTTTTTGCTCTGTCCGGAACATTGCACGGACAAAATTATGGCATGTCGAAGAGCGTATTACCCCTCAATGACACTACCCATCCCGAACAACGGTTCTCGCCTTTGACAACAGCGCTTGTCTTCCACACCCATGGATGCCAGTAATGGCAGCTTCGAGTGTCCAGTCATTTCCACACAAAAACGGATATTGTGATCATCCGCTCTTGGAGAACGAGATGACTGTCAGTGAGGACAAAGAGCGAATGGCTCGATGGCCCGAGCAGACACACCTGATCGCAGTGCTCACCGCGGATGATCACAAAACAGTCGTGTTGAGCAGCTCTATGTGAATTTCAAGCTCGCGACAACTACCGTCATCATGAGATGCTATATCTCATGGCATAGAATGTTTTCCAGACACAACATCAAAGAATCAAGTTGCGCGCACGATCTGTAGCCAGCCCTTTTCTCCGTAGCTCTGATATGAAGCCTTGTCCCACTACTGAGACATCGGTCGGGGCGTCTGGATTGGTCGAACCATAATCAAACTCGCCACTTTCCATAGAGCCATCGCTGGGGACTGTTGCTTCAAGTGATGATTCGGTGTCAAAAGACCAAGTTCTTTTCCTCTTGGTCTTTTGTCTTGGTGTCCAACATTGCAACCCTCTTTCGGTAGAGCGGTGCCGCGGACGTGATCTCCAGGCACGAAACTATGTCTGGTCCCTTTTTGCCAGGCGGTCCAGGCTGTTTCACTCGTTTCGCCATTCTGTGAAGCGTACTGGGACCAATGGCTAGGGCGTGAATCGAAGATAGTCTTAGCGAAACTCTGGTACAAAGCGCGCAGTTCGCATCTCAAAGGGCGGGTAATGACGTTGTGATACAGGGCGACCTGATCGGCGACTGGCTGGAGAAAGTGGGCGACGAAAGTGCCGGGTTTCTTGGGAAAGAAGACCCAGCTTCCGTGAGTGAGAGTATGCCGAAGGTTGGCGTCGAGATACACGCAGTCAAAAGTGTTCAGACTCGTAGGGTACACGGCGGGAGCGAGACCTTGGTTGTGTACGTACATGTCATTGTTAGTGGTCTTTCCGGGCAACAGGGGACAGGGCTCTACAGCAGTGCTGTGGTTGCTAAGTCGACACGTTTCGCTACGAGACGGCTCTTCAGGAGGATTTTCAACTTGCTCAGCGCAAGAAGCAGCGTCGGATACATCATCCTGTTCCATCCAAGTCCAGGGAGACGGCAATGAGGACGGTTCGTGCCAGAGCTCGAAGGTCGAGACGATGTCATAGTTAGCATCTCCCGGCACATGATAGAAGTAGATCGCGGAACTTGCAGCGAGCAGGTCGAGGTGGTTCATTGTAAGGCGCGGAAGTGAGGCATCTCTAGATCGAGACAGGTAGCCGTCGTGGCGGTTGCCGGCGATGATGGCGCAAGCATTATGGACCAGGCCAAAGTGTAGAGCTCCATCTTCGTGGTCCCAGGCAGACATACTGATCAGGATGTCGTTGGTGCGCGGATGATGGACATGCACCTTGTGGTCAGGCAGCGGACTGCGAAGTAGGAAGGCATATTCAGGTGGAGGTGGCGGTGGAAAGATGTCGCTAGGTGGACGAAGCACCGTCTGGCCCATGGGTCCGACCATACTATGCACCCCGGCAGCCATAGTGATCAGGTAGGCTGTCGCTTGTTCAGTTCATGCCTGTTACATGCTGGCTCTGGTTGCTCTTGTATCATGAAGATGATCGAGCGAGTCTTGGAGGATGTTTGTAGGCAACGGCGCATTGCGCCACGGCTCGGACCGAGACAGGCTGCACCCGCGCGCTCACAACGTCCTTTTTTCGAGTCTCACTGGCAATCACTTGTGATACTCAGCGACTTGAAAAACAAAAGCAAAAGCTCCCAAGTCGATAACAATCAACAGAATATGAATGGACTGGGTCCAGTCTGTCGTTCGTTCCCGTGTGCAGGTTTCAAAGACATTTATCATGGGATCAATGGATTCTCTTCTTTACGGATGTCCTAAACCAAAGCCGTCATCGTCTAAAGTCATGTTTTTGACGGGCTCGACATAGTGACGACTACTCGCGATTGTGCCGTCGTTCTCCGATTTTGTTTCTAAGACCCATTCATCCAGCCAGCTCACGCTGTCGACCTTATGAGTGTATCTCCTCTATCTTACCATCGCCTCCTGACAAAAGGGTTCCGCGATGCTAATCCACCTTCGACATGGTCAAACTCCGTACTGCCCTGTCCAACGCTATCAAATCTTGGTTACGTTGCGATCGACAGTGACGATACCAGCAAGAGCCTTCACATTAACAGTCTGGTCACAAAGAGCTTTGGACTGCTAAGAAGACTTGGACCGACTGCGATACGGGCCAGAAAGTCACCGGGATTCAAGGCGAGAGGCTGCTTTGGGCCATCAAAACCTATGGCACACACCTACAATACGCGATGGACAGGAAGTGACACGACTGAGGATTTTCATACCAGCGCTGGTTGTGTTTCTAGTATGGTCCCACCAAGATCGGCGGCCCTGATACAGATTTGAGAGGTAAGCGCACAGAAGTTACCTTAATCTACGTGTGTGTGCGGGTGCATAAGACGATGATTCGGTGCATTGTCAGAGTGCGGTCATAATCAGCCTGACACCCAAATAGTCATACTAACATGTGACTAACACCAATCCCAAGATCTGTCCAAAATAATGGGCATCTCTAGAAGTGCTGCAGAGGGTACCCGTTCGCAAGCGAGGAAATGTGGTGTACGCGAGCAGTCGACCAAACATACTCGATGACCACTGTGCGAGGTGACTATCGAATTGACGAGGGACTCGACCATGTCGAGGCTAGCATCCTTGTGTCCGTGTGTTTCCTCCTTTTATTTCCACTTCTGGATTCGCAGGTCGAATTAGAGTGCACGTGGTTCAAGATCGTTTTGGTCTTGGTCTTCGAATGAGCGCGCGCACGCATTGAAATAGAGGATCGTACGAAACTGGATGACGATTTCGTCTGTTTCGAGATCTCCTCCAGGCTGAGCGTGTGTTAGGAAGTGTCAGGAGCCAGAGGTGCGGCTCATCGTCTGCTTGTGAACTCAATGTGGCAGGCTGCAGTAGCTGAGGGAAGCGATGGATTGATGTTCAGAAAACAATGCGGCTATTTGCTGCGCGATGCACACTGCCTGGGCCGGAAATGGTTAGCCCAGCGGTCTGCGTGATGTATGAGAGGCCCGAACAGCTCCATCGTTTCGAATTCGTGAGCTGATTGCTTGGCACGGCACGGCATGACGCGTGTGCGCGTCGCGCGTCAAAACCATATAAATACCTGGGCCTCCCGCGAATTTCAATCCTCCCAAATCAACTGCTTTCCCCGCACTTCTCGTTCAGTTTTTCGGGTGGCTGCTTCACGCCTCTGTCCTACCTCTGCTACTTGGCTGTCCTCGTCATCAGTTTTGTCATTCCTGTGTTCTCATAGGACTCTCCATCTTCTCTTGTTGATTTTGGATTGGGCATGCACTCGTGATCAGGTTTCCAAGCGACGGAAGTGTAGTGCGGAGCTTCGTAAAGTGTGCGCTTGATCTTCTAGACGGCTGCTTCGCGCTTCAGTGCTACCTCTGCTACCTCTGCCACTTGGCTGTCCTCGTCATCAGTTTTGTCATTCCTGTGTTCTCATAGGACTCTCCATCTTCTCTTGTTGATTTTGGATTGGGCATGTACTCGTGATCAGGTTTCCAAGCGACGGAAGTGCAGTGTGTAACTTCGACGTGTGTGCCAAGTGTTTCGATTCTTCCTTGTTATTCGTTCCTATCGTGTTACGACTTCTTCTCTTTCGAGTCAGGGCTGCTCATTCTCGACACAAAGCCTGGGTGGGGGGTTCCTCGATCTCATCGAGGGTTCTCTGCTTTACCTAATTCTTTGGCAGGAAGGCCGCAACTATGGTGCAAGAGAGGCCTTGGAAATTGGATAGGAATGCTGTCCTGATCCATGCGCCAGGCTCCAACAACGTTCACTGTCTGGCTCATGTGACTATCAGTTTTGACCAGACACGAAATCAAGGTCTCATCACCATCAAAACCAAACTCAAACTTGCTGGGCTCAATGACAGATACCAGACTATCTACTTGAACATTGTTCCTGGAGCCATCGATACGGCTTCAGTGACCAAGTCCAGCTTCAACAATGTGCTCCCGAAAGAGTTGTCGACTATGCTACGCGGAGTGAAATCAGCATCTGCCGCCACCACGTTGTCGTTAGGGCTCAAAAACCCTATACGTGTTCTCGTTCCACTTGGACTGACTGAGCCCATCCGCCCTGCTGATCCGAGCGATGGTATATTCCATGCCATCTCTCGGATCAGCCAGGCAACGCGCATTCGTCTTCATTACTGCAAGCAGGATATCTCAGAGAACGACCATTCTCGGCTCAAAACATTTGCGTCTGCATTAACCAACACTGCGTTGGAACCTCTGCGTATAAACTACACCCACTTGAATGGAGGAATGGGCGCACAGGACACAGGCTCCGATGTATTTGACCAGTTGCCCTCACTACCCACCTACAACCAAGTCATCTTGTCTGAGGCCACTCTTGGAAAGCGTTCCCGAGGTGATGGTGCGACCCCTGATCCAGAGTCACGTTCTCCTTGCTTTCCCCAACCATCGTGGTCCGCCACTGAAGTCTGCTCTTCCTTCGAAGTCGATATGCCTACAGAGGTAGATGAACCTGATGCTGCCAGCAGTCATCCGGTGATCACAACGCCTCTTAAGGTCAGACAATCTACCCAAGACGTGGCCCCCTTCGGAAGTGACGTTCACGACACTCAATCAACGTCAACCATGTGCTCACCGACTATGTCCGCCGAGAGTCGTCGCCCCCAGGAAATGTCGCCCTCAAACATCGTACCGACGGTCTTTCGCAGAGGGCGCTCCACACCTGAACCCATCGCCGAACCTCCCCGATACCAGAAAAAACGACCAAAACTCGATTTGTCTTTGAAGGACACGCCTAACAGTGATGACAATGCTCTGTTTGATGAAGATATCGTTCGTGAGATCATACAAGACATTGTAGACAAGGAGAAGCAGGCAATACTGGACGAACATCAAGAGATGTGTGATGAGGCTGAGATTCGGGTTGCGGAAGCAATCGATGATGGTAGACTGGCGATCATCGGCAAGACAGACGAGTGCTGTGATGAGATTGACGAACATGGCCAGAAGGTTCAAGAAGCGTGTGCGGATTCTTGCGAGACTCTACAGGCCGATGTGGCATGCTTGGAACAAGCATCGACACTGATGGAGAAGGCTGCCGCCAAAGTTATGAGCGTTTCCAACCTACTTGCTCCGCTCGACTGTCATCCATCTACGCTGGCGGCACAAATCATCACAAACGATTTTGAACATCTCCCTACCTCTGTCAAGGTAATGATGCTAACAAGAGTTGCAGATCTAGGTTTCGCAAACGTCTTTATAGCTGTCAACCATGAGCTACGAAAAGAATTGGTTGCCGCCTGGACCAAGCGCAGGACAGGACAATAGAGTGATCCTGAGACATATGTGCGACGACGAAGACGTACAGCCGTCTAGGGACGTCTCACTCGAAATGAACACTGCTCCTGCTGCTTTGACCGAGGATATACGCAATAGATAGGAATAATTGTCGAGTGATGCCATCAAATCTATGGATAAGATATGTGGCCGCACTTGTATTATTGTCAACCCGGCCCCGATCCTGAATAACAATGAGTGGACTGATATCTATTATTGTCTGCTTGCGGAGATCTTAAATGCTGCGCGTCGAGTTGCGACCTGTAGGCCTATCTACTTCTTGTGGCGAGCCCGTTAAGGGCGGACTTTGATTGGGAGAAGCGCGCGTAAGCCGAGTCGGCCAAGTCGTGTTCATTTTACTTTCTTCCACCATCTTGTGTTGCATCTCTACCATTTTGGCACGCCAGTCGTCATTATCTTAGAGAGTTTTTGCTCACTATGCTCAAAAGCTTTGCGCAGCTTATTTCATCCTGCTTTGTCCGACTGGGAAATTATTGTCATGTTGATGTAGACTAAGCATATTTGAAGCTTACGCAAATCTACGTACCTGACCTGTCTAATAACTCGCGATCCGTGCTGGTTCGGCCCCGAGGCAGCGAAAACAAAAAAAGAAAAAGAACAGCGGCTTTTGGTGTTCCTGCATGTCTGCATACACTTGGAGAACCTTAGTTGGACCTGATGCTTGCTGCGCATGTGACCCTGACCCACATTCAAATACCATTCCCCGACCCATCAAGATCTATAACCTATCATTCTCTCATTATTACACGTCTTGAATATGCTCCATTGCTCTTCGATCATATTCAGAGGGTTTTAAACTGTTTGTAGTTGCTATAGGGCGACCGCTAAACCGAAATTAACGAATTTCGGAGTCTGATGGTCGCTTTCCCAATCGTTTGAGCCTGGCTTTCACACAAAGCAGTCCCGTTACGTGCATTAGATCTTCACATTTTGTTCAAGTCTACAAACAAATCGCCCCTGCCTCTCAATTATTGAATAAAGTCTGCTACACGCCGAGTGGCTTCACATCTCGATTTGGAGAAGCTTGGCTCTTCTAATTGTCTGAGCAACAAAACTACCTACCTGACTGATGCCAATTGTTTGAAAACTGTCCATACGCATCGCACATGAAACGGCGTTCGTGATTCCATTTGGGTCAGCATCGGATTGCTAAGCTTGGGAAAGGCCTAGGCACTACGTGACCTACCTAAGGAGGAATACTCTTCGTTCTCTTCTTTCTAACCAGATGATAAAAGGTCCTGTCACTTCTTAGGCAATCCGCTAACCTTGTACTGATCGGCCAAGAGGAGCTGGATGAGGTTGGAATTAATAATGAGGTATTTCTGCTTCGACTTCTGGATCACAAGGAAATGTTAACGATCTGGATATTCGTAGTGAAGAAATACCGTGGCATGATCATCTAGCTCTTGCTCACCTTGACATTGAATATCATAAGTAACGACCGGGAGGTCTAACCTCGCCGATCTGGCTTTATAAGCTGTAATCGGAAGCTATGTAGTTAACCTTGCTCCCTATGTTCTAAGCCAAGCTGGTAAACTCCGTGCAAGACAAGTACAAGCGGATAGGATGGAATAATGTATAGCTTTAGCTACAGGCAAACTAATCACCCCGTAGCGATATATACGTCGCTATATGCCTCAATATCTTAACAAAAAGTCATCTGAGAGACAAACAAGTGCACTGTTCTTACAATCTGTATCGAAAGTGAGCCTGCAAGTATGAGTTCGGGCGTGTAAGCTATGAGAGATCCAACTGAAATGGTCTACAAGAGATCTAGAGCCACGAGCGATCCATCTAGGCTACGACTATCAATGGCTAAGATTTCTACCACCACCACCGGAGCCAACCTCTCCTAGCACTCGATGCCTCTCGGATTTCATCCAAATCCTCTCGTGATCCTTCAGAATCCTCTGAAGAGTTATCAGACTGTTCTGATAACTCGTCAGATTGTTCTGATAACCCATTCTGGGAAATGTCCTCGTCGTAAGACTCTGTGTTTTGTGACTTTCGAGGTTTACTGAAGGCGAGGGCGCCGCCTTTCCAAGTTTGATCAATAGTCTTATTGGTATCTGTGCTCTTGGTCGACCAAGAATCGGTATTAGGATGCCTGTGTCCTTCCCACTTAGAATTCTCGCTGATGCGCAAACCTATACAGTTTTTGTCCCCGTTTACCCTAGCTGGCGGCGGGTGCTTGGCTAGCATTCCGGTCGCTCTTGGCTGTCGGCTCTGGCTGCATGGAGTTCGATCTTGTTCTGAAGACTCGCTGGTCTCATCAGGGACTTCTCTTGATCTATTAGAGTCTCTATTCTGGAATACGTTCTTGCTGCCGTGTCTTATGCCTCGTGTGTTAGATGAGGCACCAGAGCCTGCAGTCTGGAATGGGTTCTCCTTGCTGAAGTTTGTATTTTTGGGCTTAGGAGAGTGATAAACGTTGACCTTGTCAGTTGCATCGTTTTGACAGGTTTGATCGATGGTCATATTGGTTGTTTTGCGCTTAGTCAATAGAGGAGCGTCGATGTAAAAGCTGTCTCCTTCGGGTTCAGGCTTCTTGTCCCTCACCTGCCATTCTAAGTCGGTCTTTGTTCTGAAAACTTCCTTGAAATGAGTTTCGCATTGTTGAAAAGAGCCGTAAAAGTAGCCTTTGCCTTTACTTCCTGTCTGATCGCGTCCCCAACAGGTCATAAGTAGATATTCTTTAGTACAATCAGGCTTGAAAACCTGCGTGCCGCAAACGATTAGCTATTGCTCTTCTTCTCCGGTCGCATATATTCCCATGGGCCTTGACTGGGTGACCATGATATGACGACTTGTGGGTTCGAGAGGAAGGTACAGACGCCCTGGAATGAGACACCCGCCAAGAAACATGGATTCTCTTACCTGAATAGTATAGAACTCGACACTGTCATCAGTTGGTCCCCTGCGTTCTAGCCTGGCACTTAGTGGGGTGTTGCTGATCGTAGCATATGATATATTATCCGAACTAAGTGCAATGGCGCGTCCGCCGTAATTGAACCTGTAACCCGACTGTTCAGAACCTCTGTAAGTATACACAGATCCTTGAAAAGCTGAGTCCGTATTCCCATGTTGCCCATCTGTCAATACAATCACATCCAGCTGACGTTCTCGCTCTCGTTGCGAAGCTTTGTAATTCAGAACCTTTACTAAGTCTCCATGCTTCAACCCGGGAGATCAATGCCCAAACGTGTCAGCATAGGGCATATAGTGCCGGACTGTTTCAATTTGTCTCTCATGGCGATGATTGTCATGCTAGCAAAATCAGGAGTGGTTTCTTGGAGTGGCTGAGCACCACTAGATTTGAAGATGAAGCTTGTCATCTTCTTGCTTCGATCGGAGGAAGACGTCTCATTGAGCCGGACTCTCGAATCGAGTGGTGGCACTCCACGAGCCTTTTTCGTCCTGCCAGCATCAGAACCCTGACTGGCTTGATTTCGGGTCATTCTAGGATTTCTAACTCCTCCTCATCAGTATGGCTACCGAGGAGCATTATTTCGCGTTTGGAGGGGTCTAGGTTGAATCACCTTGGAAATGTAAGAGTAGACGATAGATCTTGAGAAATTATCGGAACCATATAGGGGAGGCCGAAACATGGAATATAAGAACACATCGATGATGACTGCTTCAGCCGTCATAATGGAAAGAAGGAACACGCGGATGTGTTAGCTTTAGGTAATACCCTGTGAGTGTCACGGATGGTGGGGTGCAAATCGACTATCAAGGATAGCACGGAACAAGGTTACGAGAGAAGAGAGACGATAACACGTCTTTATGAGTCTAAGCTACCAAAGAGACCTGGATAGAGAACGAGAGTATTTTGAAGTCTATACCTACCACGAGTTCAACAACTTACATGAAGTAGATTGCGACCTGGGAATGCCCTATCCAGATCTCGAGAGCACTCTAACAGCCGGAACAGAGTAGAGATTCGTCTCTTGTGATGATACCGTAAGGTAACGTAGACACGACAGGAATGGGTAGTGGGATGGCCGCTCTGCAGCACCAATGCTGTCCCAGAAGATACCGCTTTGGCTGGTGCTGAGATAAGGACATTACCTGATAGCACGCAAGTACTAGATTTCCTGCGTGTGCCATCCATAACTGTAGTCGGAACGAGAAAACGCGGCATGGTAAATATTTTCAACAACGCAGGGGTCGATAGACCCGCGTTGTGTGGAAGGATAATCCATGGTGTACTTGGCGAGGAACAGCGGTGTGTGGGCAACTGCGCCTTCCCACGGGACGCGCACAAGCTGCTTCTGTGAATCAGCGCCGACAAGTCCGGCCATGCGCCCGCCACGATGAAATAACGCCTCTTGTCGCGTGATAGCCGTCTTTTGTACCTTGTTGCTCGCACCATGTATCTCAGCCTCGATCTCCGCGAGCCCACCAACTAGATCCGTTCGAGCCGCCGTGCTCCCTCGACCATAGCTCTTACACAGCTCGCCAAATCAGTCTCCGCTGATAGCGCGCGTCTTCTACGCATTGGGTTGGCTCATGATGTGCCGACCGCACTCGCNGACAATCGTCCTCGCCCTCCTCCGAGACCCAGCCTTCAATCTCGCTGCGCAGTCTCCAAGCTTGACCAATACCTCTCGTTTAGACCTTTCCAGGANTTCAGAACGCCATCGCCATCGCCATCACCAATCTGCTAAGAGCCCAGGATCTGAGACCTGCCAGGTTGAGGCTGTTCCAAACCCTGCCAGATCGTCCAAATCTCTCCAGCCAGGACCTCAGCGGTATCCGTCCAGACTGCCGGAAGAATAGCCATACTTGACTTTGTCATCCTGTGTAACTGCATCCAGAAGAGGGGCAAGAAGAAGAAAAGAAGGAGGTCGATAGCCTGCTTGAGTTACCACCGCACCACAAGAAGTTTCACTATGAGAAGCTTCTCCACAGGTTGCCGCCGCTCTTCGATACACTACTTCTCACACACGGACAAACTCCTTCTACCGTCGTCGCCCACCTCCACACGTCGCAAAGACAGTTTTTTCTTTGCCCAATCCAGCCGAAGCCGACGATCGTCTTCGCCCCGAATCCTCTCCTGCCACACCCGCCAGCCTAGCTGGACAATCGCCCGGGATTCGTGCTTTCACGCTCTATCTGTCCCGACTTCCGCGTAATCTCGAGTGCTATACCCCTACTGAGGAGGCCGTATTACCCATTGTTGGTAGCAGAATAGAGAGATGTCTGTTTATGGTGTCAGGCAAGTTCTGATACATCTGGTCTCATGAATCCACATGGTGTTTTTCTTGTGCTCCAGCAACTGACCATTGTCATCCATACATAGCTGTCATTCGTGCCTACGTCCATCTCATTCACCACTCGCTCTCGTTATCCGCTCAACCCTTTCTTGTGCGGCCGCCCTGCGTTCTCGTTGCTCGGCCTTTTTCTGACCGTTTGCGAATCCCTTTCCAAACATGGCGAGTCAAGCTGGGCTGAGCTAATTCAAGCTGTCTGGCATAAAAGGCCTAGCAATGAGCAAGTTGTCAGGGGTTATACGAGGTTCTGCTATCGCAGTTCTCTCCTGGAAGAGTCCTGGAAGAGCGTTCCCTAGGCTTTCGAGATCCTTAAAGCAGCCATTTCAGGAGGGACAGAGACTTGCCCTTTTTCAAAGATAGGTCCGCCGGATACAAGGCTCTCTTATTGAGAATCTTGACGCAAATGATCCGTATTCAAACAGTTCCAGCAAAGCCATTGCCAGAGCAGACGATGCTCCCTCCGAATGCCGTCACTATCTCTTTGCGGCTGGTGAATGTGTGCTTCATTGATATTTGAAAGCTTGATTAGTCAAAGTTGATCACTTGTTTAGTCAAAGCTCTATAGTCGAAGCGCTTTCTGAAAGACTTGTGACCACGAGGGTATGTTATGTATCATTCAATCCTCCTACTCACACCTACCAGAGCAGAAAGACAGAAAAGATAATTCATCTATCTAGGAAGCACGCACGAATAACTGAGTTCATAGTATGTGATACAAGCAAACACGCAACCATTCAATCCTACATAACCCTCAGACTACGAGTGGTTCTACCGTTTCATCATCATTTTCGAGCCTTCTACAATCTCAAGCCCTTACGGGGAGTAGGAGTCCGAGTTCCAGCTCGAGTACGAAATTTGGTGGGTGTGGGGGTGACGCCACGGTCGCTATTGGATCCTCCTGACGGCGCCTTCACTGATACACGAGAGGTGTCCGTATGGGATAGGTTGTCGTCGACGAGATCCGTGCGTTGTGACTTCGATCCGTCACCAGAGCCGACGTTCCCATCTTCAGCGTCCTGGAGAAAGCTTCCATCCTTGGGCTTTATGTAGCTGTATTTCTTCTTCTTCTTTGGCTCTCCGTCTCGGTCACCCCAGTCCAGACTGGTTTTCTCTTTGAAGATTTCCCCAAATTTGGCTATAGCATCATCCGGACTCTTGAAACCGTAAGATCCGCAGAAGGGATTTGATGTTTCATGGCGTCCCCAATGTGTCCTGACGTAATATAGATCTTCAGTGCCGCTTTTTGTAACCTGACAGTCAGAAGTAGTCAGTCTCTGCTTTAATCTCATTGTGATGAGCCCGGTACGATCGATATCAATCGGCGGAGAACACGATCGGATGATATATATCTTCATCGGAGGGATACACATATGGCTGCCAGTATGAAGAGTGACAGTGATCATGGTGCCCAATTCCCGCAGCCCAGTCGAGTTAGAAGAACGTACAGGGGACAAGATTGGAGTGTGAGCATGGGAAAAAGGTTTGCTTACTTGGAGACGGTAAAACTTGTTGCTCGTATCATCTTCATATCTCAGATAGGCATAGTATGGGCCGCGAGTTTTCGGATCTCTATGCAACTCCTCTGAGGCAGACGGAACCTTACACTTTTCACAATGATACCTTGGCTGAGAGAGAGCAGGTTGAGCCTTGTGATTGGGGCTCGATGACTTTGTGCGCCTCGAAGGCTTCTTAGTCGTCTTTTCCAGCCGCTTTATCCGACCGCTCGAGTGTTTGTCCAAGTCTACGTCTTGTTTCGAGGCTTCGTCAGTCCCAGGAGGTATGTTTTCTTTGTTTTCTTCGTCAGCGTCTTTCAGTGCTGTCACGAATGGCGCCTTCGCGCGTCGGTTCTTGACATTGACACCGCGCTCATGAGCCATGTTCTTGAGCTCCGTCAGTGTAAGGTCCTCATAGGTGATCATGTCTCGCTTGGGCTCATGATCATCCTTGTGTTCTGACTGAGAGGAGGCCGCTTGTATGTCTTTGGCATCGGTCTTCGACGACGTTGTATGCACCGATAGTACTTTGGTCGTCTTGTAGGCAAGAATTCTGTCCACACTCTGCAGGATCTCTGTGAGCTCAGCCTTGTTGGCATTCTTTGCACGCCGAGTAAGCTCCCTTCTGAGCTCGGCCTCGCTCTTCTCGCTGTAGTCGATTTTGCTTGAAGTCCTGGCTCTAGCTTGACATGATTCTCTTCTATCTCGGTGCACCTTCTTAATCGCTTTCAATGATACGTCACCATGCTCATATGTTGTTGTTCTACCTTCCGCCCCGTTCTTCACTTCCACTGGCGTCCCCTTGTTAGTGCGGCTCGTGTTTTTCTTGTTCGGTATAGAAGGGGATGGCATAGAGATTTTGATTTTAGGTTTGGGTGACGATTCTTTGACATGATTCTCTGTATCGTCACGATTCCGGTTCGAATTTAGATTGGCTCCTCGAGTTTGTGGCATTCTGAAAGATCTAACAATTTTCCTTCATTAGCACGAGTCCTTCGAGAGTTCTTGATGCCTGAGGAAAATATTCACGATGATTACCTGATGGTTGTAAGTGCGGACAATGTCTCCAAGGCCAAAATCTTTGACTCTTGTAGCGAGGCGAACCTTTGGATTATAAGAGGTCATGAGTAGTGACTAATTCAAAAATTATGACGAGGATGATGAATGTGCAGATGATGTGAACGCCCAGGCAATCATGACGATCGCGATGATAGCGAACGTAGCATCGATCAGTAAGAGCATCATATGACAAAATCAGGATATAGGACATATAATAGAGCGTTCGTCTTGTTCTAGCTTCGGTAAATGAGGTAGACAAATCAGGGGAGTCCTCGGAGATCAACTTGAAACTTCTTGAGAACGTGGATCCATTGGATAGTGAAAAAATCAAGAGCCATACCGTGACGTTCGACGACTCTTACAACCCTGGTTTGTACCAGAATCTACTTCCAACTAATGTGTACGTTCGACATGTGAAGTGTCGTCATTACTCACAGATCATGAAAGGAGTAATAGTTGCCGAAACTCTTGTTCATACACCATCAGGGAGGTAGATCTTCCTGGGAGACGCTCCCAGCTGTGTTTGCGATCTACTTTTTCAATCAGGTATCTCATGCGTTCGAAGAATCCAGGCTATCGAGAGTGATGTTCCCTCTGACGACTTAGCAGTAATAGCAGTAGACAAATCATGCCGTTCATGGAACCCAGCAAACAACTCTCCTAGACGTCCAGCGCATTTAGGACTTTTGCGCAGTCTGGTTCGCAGTGGTTGAACGAATGAGCGGACTGTGTAGATACACTAACTATTGTTCGGTATCTCCAGTGATCCTTTCATAACTATCGAGAGAGACATGAGCTAGTAAGGAATTGTTGCTCTAAAAAGGATATCTACATAGTCGTATAAGAAGATGGGTGTAGGAAGGTACGGCAGTATATCCATACGTAAGAGAACTAGTGTAGCTCTAGCTAAGGGGACGGAGCCTCTATGAATCCACTCTAGTGTAACGTAATGTATGCTTAATAGATTATTCCAAGATCACACAAACGTGGTCATTAGTCTCTATAGGCTATGAATAACCAGATGATCAAAAATTAATTACTATACATTGATGATTAATCACATAGAGGATGATGTTATCTGTAGGCCCTAGTGCTATTCTATAGTAAGCAACCACTTTTCTCAGTATAAAGAAAAGGCGTAAAAGGCTAGATTATAAGACGCAAAGTAGGATGGGGTAGGCTGATAACCTAGTCACTATAAGTTCAAGTATATGGAACTCTTATTGAGTCACACTTCTTATAATCTCTAAAGCAATATGGCTATAGCAAATCTTTAGATATTTAAGGCTAGACGCCTGGAAAATACGCTATAATATATATAATGTTATATAGTAAAGCTATAACCGACATCATACTAATGTCTATAGATAAGTGATCTTACAAGTTAACATCTAGCGAGGTTTCGGAGCCACGGAGCTGCGTGGCTAGCTGACTGGATCTCGCCCGATTTGGACAGGCACAGCATCGCTAATTCACGGCACGTGACAAAACAGTTTCGCAAGAAGAAAATCCATCGATTCAGTTTTCGATCCTTTCTTACTTCATCGTTTCTGTCATCGCAAAGTCCTCTCTTCTCGTCCCTGTCACAATCCTTGCGGTACAATCTGCATTACGGTATCTGACTACTCAAAAATGACCAGCCTTATCCAGTGGGCTGTACACCGATTGTCGACCGTGCTCCGAAAAGCTCTGCACCCATTCATCTCAACGCTATACGTTGGCGAAAACCAACATTGTCCTTGCTTTAACGAAATAACTCCAGACCAATGTATGTCATCATGGTGTTCTGCTAGACTGGTGCGCGCTCATAAGTGATCTCTCAAAATTCGTAGGCAATTTCGTTTCGCCCCCGCGAGAGCCGAAAAAGCTGGCCATTATACCTGCGTTATTGAATATCGAAACAAGCCGCTCTCCCTCACCTGGAGTGGTTCAGCGAAACAACCTGATATTACGAACTTCCCCGAAGGGCTGGATTGGGAACATAAGCGACTTGACCTAGGCTGGGAGATATCCAAGATCTGGTCTGACTCAATGTTTGTCGGGTACGGGGCGGACGCTTCTTTGAGATGCTCACACTCGGGCTCATACCCCATAGTAAAGCTTGCTCATGAAGGAGACGACTTTCGTTCGCGAATTGAGCATGAATTTGAGATCATGCAAGACATGAACACGACTACATGGCGACTGCCGATACCAAAAGTGGACAGCCATCCTTTGCTCGACAACCAAGGAATTTTTGGCTATCGTCTAGAGCGTTTGATCCGTCTTGAAAGGGGAGAGCTTTCACGACGTCTGCCAGAGGTTATAGAAGCCGTCCATCAGTTGCACCAGGCCGGTTTTTCTCATGGCGATCTGAGCGAGAGCAACATAATGAAAAACAAGGAAGGAGCTATAGTGCTGATCGACTTTGGTTGCGCTGGAAAGATTGGCGCCCAGGCTCCGTTGTCGGTACCTCGATGGATCTACGAGAATGCAGTTATTACTGCAGGCCCAGACCAGCAGGCACTAGAGCGAATCTCGGAGTCGAATTAGGGAACATAGAATTCAAAAGATCTTATTCACAACTATGTCACACCTTTACGTGCATGAAGAAAGTGAGAAAAGTTGACTACATCAGTTCCCGAGGCGTTGTAGAGATGTTTCAGTTGCGCATTCATTCTCAATCGGCGTATCCTTCCGAGGTCCCTGGAGTGTACGATGACAAACAGCTCGAGAATTGAGGTGGGAGGACCAAATGGTAAGGTAAGAATACAGCTGCCGTGGCAAGGCGTTTCATGAGTATCCAGCGTCTGTATCTCAAATATGCCGCCATGCACAAGCCCGAGCCCCGACGTGTCCAATATGTCTCCACTTAGATCTAACAATTCCCTGCCTGTTCACTACAGATGTGCTCTTCCTGCTACATGCACAATGCACGCTCGAATCTGCCATCTTGTGATCTGCACATATCGTCCTCATGGCTTGTGATCGGCACACCAGCCCGAAAAAATAGTTAAGAGAACCCTCTCGACTCCTCGGCACTTAGGCGTGCCTTTTTCGTTGCAGGGTATGACTGGACCTTCCCAAGGAATGCAACCGCACATAGACCATTGTCTGTAGTCTTGTTTGCACATTCTGGACTATGATTTAGAAACATGTTCCATGATACGGCATTCTGCTGACTGACCTTTAAGTGCCGTATCGGTCGCTTTCTGGAAGATCGGGCAAATGATGCGTTGATGCCGAGTCGTTGCAAAATATAGAGGATTCGGACGATTATAGCAGAGGAGTAAGATTCTGGTGGATGTAGTGAACACAAGGTCATGACATGTAGGGAGCCAAGTTTATATAATCTTTCTGTTGGCGCATTTAGTGAAATCAAACTAGGGAACTTGCCTGGAGCAAATCCCACATGCACGACTGACGCATGGCGTTTGGCTAGAAAAGTGGGTTGGTACGCATATGCAAGGACTCTCCGGACAGTATTCTGTAGGGTCATCCGAGGGCACATTCTTCCGTTTGGTCCCCAAGCGAAATCCAATCCATGGAGCTCCTAGAGGAGCGCCTAGTCAGTGCATCAGATTCGATTCTTGAGTTTCTATGTGTAGTACTGTACACATTCGGTTTCATGGTTTTGCCTGCGTCTCAATCTGTGGTGGCGCACTGTTCTAAATGATGGGATGGACAGGAGGGTTACTCGTAACGGAATGATTTATGCGGAGAGATGTTTGATTTTCATTAGCAGAGAGAAGTAAGCTGGATAAGCTAGAGTAGCGTGAGCCAAGTCGCAGAAAGGAAGACGGCCGTGAAGATTGGTAGTGAACGTCAGCTCCGGATCATTCGATTATGCTCGAGCAGCTACAACTAGTTCCGACAAAGTATATGCGGCAAGGGTACGTGGAGTTCAATACTGGTACGGTTGAGCAATGTGCACACAATAAGCAGCACTGAATGCTTTTCAGCTGGGCAAAGATAGCTGATCATCGTCGCTGTAGGCAGCATGACTCCCCGAGTAGCTGTAGGACACTAAGTGGAAGTCAGAATTCCGAATCTTGTGACAGGAATTTTGAAACATCTGAAGCATGAAATGTACGCTTCACAAATTTGACACAATGGGTAAATCCTGCAAGCTTCGGGATCACGCGCAGCACAAATGCGGCACGCTCTGAGATTGCAGACAGCTCTGGTCCTGCAATATGCCAGGACGCTCAGTTCCCGGGAGATGGTCCCCGTAAAGTGATCTTCGGTAGTGGCACGAGCCGGAACTGCGAGGGACCCGAGATAATCATGCTTGCGTCTAGTGTGCGATGGCTTGCGACCTGCGCAGACTCCACATAGCCTCGCTATCGTAAACACTGATATGGCCAGCGAGCTTGCAGCTGCGAGTGACGCATAATGTAGTCTTGAGACTGAGGGTTCGACCCGATGCGGTACTGTGCATATGTATGCGGTTGCCTGCTCGATACGAAGCTAGACTGTAGCGTCTAAATTCGTTGATTGTAAGTCAGTCGCAGCGAGGCTGATGTGGCCTGAGTAGGCCAAGGCAGACGTGTTTTCGCGGCTCCTCGGTCGTTGTGCGCTGATACCCTCCTGTCCCTGTCCAGTGTAGCTATTGGCTGTGTGCAACGTATATCTGATATCGATACTGCATGCTCGAAACTCGCCGCTGCGACAACGGTCGCTGAGTTGCAATTATTTCACACGTCGTGATAATATCTGACACGACAGCAGCCACCAAAGGCCATACAGTAGATTTGTGAGGCTCAAAAATCCGATCAGCGGCGTCTATAAGAGCTGCGTATATAATCTGATATATCGTCTGAACGCGCGGCCCTCATAGAGTATCAGGACTCAGAGGTTTCCAGCACGCGTACATTCGCACCTGGAGCCGGAGTCAACAGCGGCTAGTTCGTTCCGTCGATAGGGCACATGGTTGATTGACTACCTGCCGCGGCTCCTCTATAGAGAGTGATGAATTAACCACTCGTTCTGTCAAATTGCGTTGTAGCGCCTGGTTTTCAGTATTCAGCGAGGTTGGGCAGTGACACTTCGGAGACCCTTGTACCAATAAATTACGTGCCAAGCAGCCGTTCTCGCATCTGTAGACCCTGATTCAGCATTGGGCTGTGTTTCAAGGTTCCTGTCATCATACTATCCCATACATCCGTGGCCGTTCCGCAGCAGCCGGGTCTTAGCCGTTCACGTGCCTGATCCAGATCAGGCAAATGAAGTCTATCTCTCGACCATCTTACAGGATTGTGTACGTATCCTGAGGTTTAGTCAATAGCTTTACCCAGTGAGAATCAGGCCGGCCTTCGATGGCGCCGGGCTCATAGCCAAAACGATGCTCTTCCCGTAGCAATACATGTACTTCTGCTATGTGACACCAATAGGTTGCAATTAGGTTATAGAATCAAATAGACCATCTTCGATGCAGCACACTGAAACATCTTCTGACACGTTCAAACCACTCTTCCGAGGACTTCAAAGGCCTATCATTAGACGAAACAACACTTTGAGCGACAATCTTGTGCTGCAGTGAGTCAATGGCAGGGCATCGAGAGCTAAAAGGTTGAGAAACCCAGCTTGCCTAGATGATCAACCATGTGCTGCATGGCTTACATATGCAGTTCCTTGTAACGCTGAGACTAATGACAGAGAGTAGAGACGAGCCGTGGAACTTCCCGTACAATCATAATGCTTTCAACTATATAACACCCAGCTCAGCAGATGCTTTTAGACCTGTACATTCCTGCTGTCACAATTACTGGAGAGTTGCGACCAAAGAGACTCGTGCTGCAATCTACAATCCAGATCTCTCATTACTCAAATGATTGCCCACTACTACAACCATGAGACCTTCCAGGCTCCACCTGATCTCTCAAGGCGGACAGCGCAATCAATCGTCTGGATGGCCACGAGATAGTCAAGAAAGTCCTGATGCCACTAGTCAGAAAGTACGGCGTGGAGAACAAGCTGGGAGCTACCGTGGCCCATTGCCACTTCGACCTTGAAGAGAACGAGCAACTGGTCGAGCACAAAGACACTTCAATCTTTTGGTCAGCCGACGCTGCGAACATATCCCCGAACAACTGAGTGCTTGACGTAAAAGTATCCGTCCTTACGGATGACCAGGTTCCAGTGTGGATTGGGCCGACGACAACACTCAGCAGTTCCTCCTTGCTATGCAGAGTGAACTCGGAAAGAGGGGAGCCCAAGATGTTTTCGGTCTCTGTACCTGTCTTGAATATCACTTCGCCTACACGATTGCTGCTTTGAGAGACCATATAGTAGATCTAGGAGGCTTGAGAATCCGACCAGCGATGCTTTTGAGCTGCGAATATAATTTGCTATATCGATTTTCGTGTGCTCGAAATTTCAAAATGTGCCGTAAAGATGATTCAGCAACGAGTAAAAAAAGCACCGAATGGACTCAAGGGCAGACCGGAGAGTCGTAATAATCCAATCAGAATCATTTCAAAAGACGTGAGGATGAATGGCCGCAAGCATATCTCAGAAGGGCTTACTAACTCGTAATCTCGAAACGAAATCGTGTAGAGCGTTGGTCATCACTGATTGCATTCTCCATTCCATAATCTTATATTGTTTGAATGAGTTGCATCCCGATGTCATTATTACCATTCGGCTAAGATGTATTATAGATGCAAGATCTATGTGTGTATCAATTATTTATGTACAACTCGTGAAACGAGAACGGAAGCAGTACACATCTATTCATCACCAAATCTTCCCATGGTGTATTCACGTGTCTCAAGAGACAGCAACACATTAGAGCAAGTGTTTGAGTCCTGTGACATCATCAGCACCTCGCATCACGTTGTGCATGGAAGCATAGCGTAACCCGCCTGCCTCCCACAAGATCATTCAGACAAACACACACGTCTAGTCTATAAAGGGCTCGATCCCATCAACCACCTTGCCTTACACAGACCTCTCTAAGCATTTGTGCTCATTTTAGATTGAACAGATGATTTCCCACTTGGTTGCAGGTCTTTCCTTGGTAGCGCTTGGCATGTCNAAAAGCTCGACTGTCATCCCTGACTCATATACCCAGATCTTTCCGTCGGATGCAGTCATTCTTTCCACCAAGCCGCTCGTTCCANNGGGGGGTGACGGTTGGTCAAAGCTAAGTAGTTCGTGCATCGAATCATCAGGAAAATCCGGAATAGACTGCTTATCCGATGCTCTCTCTGACCTTTTGGAGATCGCGGCGTCTAAAGACGGCCGTGAGAACGGCGCCACGGACTCTAAGAACGGAACTTTGGCCGATAAGCGGAGCCTCACTGGTACAAAGGGATCTGGTCTCACACTGAGAAGCACTTCGGAGGGATCGCAAACTATGCAGGGCTCGACAACCTCAATCTACAGCTCAAGGTCGACCATGTTTGAGCATATCTCGAATGGTACTCACGGAACTGTGCGAGCGGTAAACAGTCTTGACGACGGCAATGAGACCTTTGGAGAAGAACGTCGTTACAGAAGGAACACCTTCTCTTATGGAGAAAAAGTCCAGGGATTGAAGCTATCATATAGTACAGACTGTGGATTCGTCCGCTTCAACGATCAGTCCTTGAAGACACTGCGTAATCTTGTTGGCACTTTCGTGTACTCAGCATCAACCAACATGCATTCGGACAAGTATGCACTAGAGATACTTAACATAGGTAACAACGTCAACAACCATATGCTAGCTACGGTAGTCGCCGAAGTAGATGTCTACGGAAGCGATTATGAAGAATATCAATCAGCACCACTATATCCATCAGGGGATCAGTGCTAGCTTCTCGTGGCTCCGAAAAATGAGGATCATGGACGAATTACCGGCTTGCCATTAGCTTTCTACGTAGAGTCGTTTCTGACCTTCTGTTAATCTGCCATGTTTGTAGTGCTGATAGAAAGTCGTATCCATGCCCTACTATCATGATTCGATGGACCACATTGCTTGGGATACGTCTCCGGACCCATGATCGGGGTATGTTCTACAAGAGCTGAATCTCTTTGGTAACGACATCTCTAAGTGGTATCGAGTTGAAAGGCGAGGCCGGACAGAAAATTAATAGCAATGCTAGCTCTCGGTATTCAACTGATCATCCAAGAGAACGGTCTCTTTATGCCAATAGGTGAAGGGATCTCATTCTGCTCGAAGCTCGGCGCAGTGGAGGTCAGGTCACGGATTTCGTCGTATTGTGCTTTTCTCTTCACCATTGCTCTTTAGAGGCAACGATGTATCCATAGAACCAAGGTCGTCTCAAAACCAATCATAATGGCCTGTTTCATGTTGGACACTACATGTGAGCGTTTTGCAAGATAACCCGTCGGACTCAATCTATCGCGTCGAGAGGTCTGGTTGAGGATTTAGGTTGATACACCTTCACGATCATCACGTGCAGAACAATGGTTCGCCATATGCGCACTCAACACATGCAGGAATGTACTCGATACGCCTCCATGCAGGTTCCCGCGACTGTCGAAAGCGCTTGCAGCGGCAGTGACCATACTGTTGTGTAACAGGCGGCAATAGAGATCGACGGAGCACCGTGCACACTCTGGGCCATACACTTGCGGATCTCGTAGATATTCGGTGATCAATCTTCCACAGCAAGCGGAGCGAATTCTTGGGAAGTCTTCATGATGCGGTATCAACAGGATTTCGTTTTTGACGAGGAAGACGGTCTTAAACTTTGGCGCTTCAAGAAGACTTGGCACTCAATTGACCAGTCTGATTCCAGTCAAACGTCACGTTACCATGAAGAGGTGTGGACCCTACAAGCGTAGATCGATATCGGTTACTTGCTCGTGATGCCGTTTCGCAAGGGGATGGTTCCTGATTGACATTGAGGTCGAACTGCGGCAAGTTCCCGGGGTTGACGTGTTTCAACGCCCGATCTTAAGTGATGACAGCCGTCACACTCTGTCGCACTGCAGATCCTGATCCTTGTGTGGAAGCCATTTCCATCAACATGCACAGTCAGGCAATCCCAGCTAGTCATGGGCCATATCCAAGTCTTGTAACTAGATGATTGAGTACCTGTATCCAAGCTGTACGTAGACTGATTTATCGTTTACGACTACGGCCATCTCATGTAAGGCGAATTGGGCTCAGATAACAGCGCGACAGAAGCTGGAGGCAATCAAGTTCGAAGGTTGGCAACCTTGCGCGGTTGATCTTGCCTCCAAGAATGACGGGAAGTGGTCTTCCTTGGATGCTTCCCGTCCTGGATATGCTCCTACGATCAAACGACATAGGATCTTCCTGGTAAGGATGACCAACTCTGGGTGAATGCCTGTTTGGCCGCAGCTTGCACGCCTACCATAAATCAGTCGTCTTCTTGTTTGCTGGACCGTTTTTTGATCCAAGATATCCACTATAACTATCGGCCAGTCACAGTTGCAGTATATTGGATACGAGTCACAGATCTGTTCGGGTCCATCAAGTATGTATTTCTCTCGACAGTCATCCTGTGTCCACGATTAATGCTGAGAGATTGGGATCGTACCTTTGCTTTACGGGATTTTGTTGCCCAAAACAACCTGAATTGCTCTCACGATACTTTCGAGTCTTCGACAAACTTAGTGCCGAGTCTCTAGACCATCCACCTGATATAAGGTGCTGAATTCCCGTCGAGGCATGACAAGTCTGGCCACGATAGTCTAGAAAGTCAATTCGTTACAACTACGCACGCTCCAAAGAACATGCTTGCGAGAGCATATGGTCCTGATCAGGACGTGGATGAGTATCTCCAAGATGGTCTGCTTCTTCCTTTGTCCGATCAGAACGCCGAGTCACTGACAAACGAGGTAGAGTATCTTGGAGGATCGCTGCTCGCCTATCCTGCACCTCATAGCCAGGTACCGCAGCCTAATCTCACAGAACCCTCAAGCACGAATGTGAGTCTTTTGTGTCAAATGAAAAATGACTCAGACACCGCTGATAAGGTGACAGTGTCTACAAGCCAGCTTTGACACTCATCAACAAACCTCACCCCTTTTTGGGCTGCCAGGCGAGTTTGACCATGACCAATGGCGTTTGCATCTGGATATCAATTCTCCCGAGCTAGTTGTTAGCGAGCTTGTGGGCGGCTCAACGGACTCATGCTTTGACCATGCGGAAGACGTCTCGATTCTCACATTGGGTTGGAACGATGAAGCTGTGAATATGATTGGGAATGCTGATCCTATGTGCTCACCCTGTCACGACCGGTCATCATTGTCGAGCCACGATGAATATTACCTCAACTTGGGCTCGCCGTGGTCTGAACAGCCTCCTGTGTTGTCTTGCAACATCTTGCCCCAACGTCGCCTGGTGTGTTGGCCGCACTCTCAATATACTCCACCTCAGCCATTTTTTTGTGTCACCAACTATGCCTCACGCACACCCTTCCAGCCACACTCTGAGAGGTTGTCTATTCCTCCACCGAATCAGGAAATGTTTGCCATGGCAATACCTTATCCTCCTACAGACACAGCGTCGTCTTTACAGCCGAGCAACACGACCAACTTTGTGGTATCTAGAGCAAACGGACCGGGCAAGCCTGACCATGTCTGGAACACCACACTAGATACTTGTGGTCTGGCGACCCCAAATTTTGGGTGTCTTTCCACACAATCTATGCATGGAAAGAATTTACTCGACCTAGCTCCTTCCTCTAAGAGCAACCGGTTCGGACCTCCTTCAGGGCTGGCTAAGCAACCATTTGAACGTATATCAGAGCTAGATCGCAATGCCAGGAACGAGTACCTTCGAGAAGCTCGTCGACATGGTCTGTCCTACAAGGAGATCAAACGTCGTGGTGTCTTTACTGAAGCCGAGTCCACTCTGCGTGGCCGTTATCGCATCCTGTCCAAGCCTAAGGAGATGCGTGTCAGAAACCCACAATGGGATTACTCAGACGTACGTTTTCATCATAAGAGTTTTCCCTCGATCTTGACTGATACCACGACCACANNGATCATGCTCCTCGTCAAAGCAGTTGGGCTCTTCTCCAGAATCTCTCGGGGGTCGGAGTCATACAAGACCAACCTAAGTCCGAGGAGCAAAGTGCCATGGAAAAAGGTTGCTGAGTGGATGTCCTCGCATAATGCATCGTACCCCTTTGCTAGTGTTGCTTGTGCCNNAAAAAAATGGGAGCAGATCCGTAAGGATCCACACAGGACAACAGCAGCAGGTAATCAATGCGAGAGTCAGCATTGTTGATCACTGCTAGTATCATGGGCACAAACACTCACACTTTCCATCAAGAAGTCGAGAACCACCCAGGTGCCCCAGATCCTCATATACGAACTTTGACGCCGTACCAGGCATCGATCAGACACTGACCTAAGCAACATTTCTGGTGATGCATTCCCTCGGGGCCCCAATAAACGAGGTCTGAAGTTATCCTGAGAGAAGAAGACCGCGAAAAGGATAATTCATGTATGCGTCGAGCTCAGTGTGCATCAACTTTGTTGAACGACCACGTCGGAGGTGAGATTGGATGCTTTCCTCGTCCAGACTTACACTTTCATAAATGCAGACGAAGGTTTTGGCTCTGTTTTACTTTATGGCTAACGCAGATAGCGCAGGGGGCGGTGAGATCTGTGATGAAGGACTGTCTGAAGAAGTAGGTCTAGTTCATTGCAGAAGCCAAGGGCGTGAGCGCAGTCCAGGCTACTCGCAGCGCTCGAGTCAGCGAGACGGTCAGCTATGTACCCACAACGATTCTCGAAGATGCTCTGGGGGCAATCGACATTGTCACTGAAGTTTCAGACTTGGTATGACGCATGACGTGTGATGTAGACCATCGCAATTCCTGCGCACCTTGATGGGCAGCTACGCTACAATATCACGAATCACCTATCGGAATCCGTGTTCGAGAACGTGAGAACCTAGAGAACGCAGGACTTGCGAAACCATGGTTTTTCTATGTGTCGAAGACTATAAGACTATACCGTAGAAATGTGCAATACTTCAAAACCCAAAAGTATGGCCTTGGAAGCATCACAAGAGAACGGTCTCAACAAGTATTCAGAAGGGTACTTACAGTCGAAAACAGGACAGCATGTTTCGCGCAAGGCCGGTTGATAAGAAAGCAAGAGTTGCTTGACAATTCACCAGAGCTATATGATATCATGTCTCCGCCGTCTTGTCAACCATCCTCATGGGCAATGATAGTGACGACAATATTGCAGTCTTCGGCAGCCCTTAGCTCATCCCGGATCTTCTCCATACCCATGAATTTCAGATGCAAGCCATCAAGCTGGAAAGTATCCTCATCCGGACCGTCACAGATAGCGAAGGCCACACTGGGTGAGCATCTATACTCTAGAGAATCCACAGGTATACCATAGAGAGTCTCTTCGTCGACAAGATAGAGAGAGCAAGTGATATAGAACTTCATCTCCCCGATCCAACGTGAACCCGCATGCACCAGTTTTTGCAAGAAGTCAATTATCCCACGCCTCCACACAGAGTGTCTACCCAACTCGGTCGAATCGGCTGAGCCCCTGAAATCGACGTCTCGGTCGATGTCGTACTCCGAATTGAAGAAGAGTAAGCGTAGCTTCGGCACTCTACCTATCAATGATCGAACCGCGGCTTGGAGATCTGCAGCTTGGATATCAGTATCTCCCATAACCAGGGAGCTTGATGATGACCACTTACTGCAATGAGGAATAGAGGCATCACTAGAAATCCTCAGATGAAGCACCATTACTTGGGTGAGAAATCTCTCGGGCAAGACGGGAAGCTGCATTTGATCGATCTGGATCTCTTTGCGAGCTATGTCTGCATCGTAAACTGTCCATCTGATGTACATCGATGCTCTAGACATGACAGTAAGAGTGTATTCGTCCGCAATCTGTTCGTTGACACGCATCATCGCAGGATAGAAACAGTTGAAAATCAAAGGAGCACGGACTGAGATACAATCAGGCGCCTCAAGGTCACGAATGGTAACAGGAACAGTTCTATCCCTGAGTCGCTCGTAGATCATGTATCGAATCTCCACAGGTAGGTTTAAGAGGCGAGAAACTTGGTTGCCGGGAGGTGGAGCAGGAGCCATGCCTAGTAGAGTGCGCGCGGGTGGGGTGACGGGACAAGGTGCGTAGAAGCGGGCATTGACAGGCTGACTGTAGATTGTAAAGCCTGCTCGCACCATCATGTCAGTCATGAGTACCGGAAGTGAGGGCTTGAACGACAAACGCTTCCAGAGGTGCACAGAGTGGCGATTGTTGCGCAGTGCGCGCTACAGACAGTGTGATCAGTATCGTCGATAGGGTGACTGAGGTGTCCTGAGATTCGTGCGGCTGCTGAGGAAGTTGTTGTGGGGATGAAGGCAGAAGGAAAGCCGAAACAGTGTCGGAAGAGATGGGTGTAGGTGAGCTATCATAGGGCGTGAAAGGTGCCAAGGTAACGGCGCTGAGCGATGCGGCGAGGAAGGCGTGAAGACACGCGCCTTGACTCACAAGGCATAAGTCGTAGATTCCGCTCATCCAAAGAAGTGACTGCTCACTGAGAGTGCTTCCTTCCCCGCTGGTCCACAATCACAGCTCCTACGATATGACGCCGTTCTCGATAGACGGCCACTATGGCGTCACTTTGCTGGTTTGGAACTCCCTTTACACGCTTGGACGAAGACGTCCGCTGTGCGGCTATTGAGAAGATGTCGCATAGAGCAGTCCCTTTCCAGTGCCGGAACACATATCAACCCCCGAGCGACAATGACTTCCGTCGATTGCGCTGTCGGTTCTCCGAGCACGACTGCGACTTCGCGAGTAGCCCTTCGATTGCCTGCCGGAATCATTACACCTCCGAAGCCAACGTCCTTAGCAAGACCATCGCACTTTCTCGCTCTCTCCTCCGGCGATTGAAGCTTTCTAACATGACTTCGTAGACAACACAGCTGCGGATTGCGACATCTGCTTCTCCAAGAAAAGCCTCAGGCTCGAGATCAACTTCGACCCATGCCGACAGCGACCGCAAGATACACTGAGCCCCAAACGTACCATTTCCGGTCCTTTCCACCGTCTGGAGATCTGCGCCAAGGACACCGCTTGTCAGCATGTGACCTCCTGCCTGACAATACTTACGGCACTTGTCGCGGCGGATCTGGCGGATGACTCAATGTGTTGTGAGACGCCAGTCGATCATAGTGCTTGAGCGATAAGTCCCGCTGTCGGGTGGATGCAGAGCACCTTCTATTCTAGAACATAGCAAGAGAAAGAGATGGCCACAATAAGCCAGAGGGGGTCTTGATCAAAGCAATTCCACGAGCTCACATCAGGTGGAGGGACCTTGTCATCATAATCTCTTCTTGATCTCAATGTAGCCTATACTTTCAGCAAGCCTGTTGATCACCATAGCTTCGAACCCTGATGATCTGGTTGAATCATGCTCTGAGCAACAAAGCCTCCGCTGCAACTCGCATCATGGACATCATTCCCCCAGGCCCTTCCATGCCTAATTGTTGAGGTCCCTAACCTCGACCTCGTCAGACTCTTTGCGTTCCGGCTTTGCTAGAAGCCCTTGGAGGGCAGCCTGCATGTCGTCTACCTCATCGAAGTTGCAGGCTGGCACTGGCTCATCGTTCTTGTCCGGCTGATATTCGTCATCAAGGACCTCATCCATGCCAAATGTGTGTAGTGCAGTAAGGTTCAGTCTGATCCACTGGACTAGAGATCTCCAGGAGCCTACGATACGAATGCGATACAGCCAAAGATGCTCGAGAGTGTCTCTATGTGTGTTGAAGAACATGACCAGATCCGACTCCTTACACCAGACATTGGATAAGTTCATCGCCTCAAGTGAGTCTGATACAATGAAGCTGGATAGTTCAGCGAAATCAAAGGACAAAGGGGGTCCAATTTGCTGGACAGTAAGGATGTTGAGGTTCATCGCTTGAGATAACACCTGCTTGACCGACTTCAGGACAGCGTCTGTACCATGACAAGTAATGTCCACATCAAACGCAGTCATGTTCGGAGAAAGAAGATTGATGTCCCCATCCAGATCATGGCTCCACAAGCCTGCGTTGTCCATGTGCTCAGGATTGGTATAGCTTTCGAGAGAGAGTCGTGCAACCAGACAACCACTGTTGGTCACTGCTTTGATCGAAACGCCTACGGTCTCTTCCCAGCGCATCTTCCACACATTTGTCTCCGGAATCTGCAAAGTGATATTGCTGGATAAGCAACCTCGAGCACCAATATGTGCTTCTTTGATGTTGTTCTCAACGTCAGAAACACTCAGGCATAGACGACGGTCGTACTTGCCAAGAGACATGAAGGCTGCGGTCAAGAGCTTCATAGTGTCGCCGGATTGCTCAAGTTCTGTCTCTTCGTAGGCTCGGTTCAAGTAGTGATGAACCATTGTGGCGTACGCTTTGATCTTTTCGGGGTCGCTTTCCTGATGGATCGGGCTGTTGGGCGGAACCAGAATGGACAGGGCTTCGGGAAAGGCACGGAGAGGTGTAAGGATAACGGCCTGAACTTGAGGTCCGATGCGCGGGTGCATTGAGATATCGATCAAGGTCTGGAGAGACCGTCGCGTCAAGAGGACTGAGATGCCCGAGAAGCACAAGTGATCAAATGACTGTGTGACGAACGCGCAAGTGAGTTTACAGGTCAGACGAAGAACCATGAGGTCGTGTTTGTCCATCTCGTTGTCAACGCAGATCTGTGTGATCAACTCTGGGGGTAGATCCAGAATCCGAAATGGTTGGATCATCGTCGGCTGATCTCTGATCCAAGTGTCAGCATGCGCCTCGTGGGAAGAGTGGGTGACTTACTGCTGGATCAGAGGTGAGCCTCCGCAAAGCTGAGATGTTGGATGGACCGTGAGAAACAACAGATTGCGCTGGAGTAGCTAATTGATTGAATGTAGGAAGATGCAGACGTGAATGGCAAGAACGTGACCAGACGGCCGCGCGTGGAACACGGAGGCGGGAGTTGCCAGCTCTTGCCAATTGAAGCGGATGCGACTGAGCTTTCACCACGCATGTGCTGGAAGCAGAGTTGAAAAGCTCATTACGCGCTTGGCATCAGAGAGGCACAAAGATCAAGCCTAGACAACAAAACATGACTCAAAGCCGGCTGTGCGTCGAACAAAAGCATTCATTTGTTTGTGTCCACGGTTTCATTTGCGTTTGGTCACCCTTTAGGATGCAAGGAACTGCTCTTATGAGCCAGATCTGTACGCAACGCCACGACAAAGAAGTAAATCCAGAGCAAAGCACAGTGGACAATCGTTTCCAAGGCCCCGGCTCGGAAAGCGACTAAGCAACTCGTTTGTACACAATCGTCGGCTTTCACTTCTGTGATTGGCGAAAAATCTCGACATCCCGTATTCACTCATCCGCCAACACCCTACACCTTTGTCATCTTCGAACCACAAAACAATCCTACGCTCAATTGACTCAATCAGCGGGACGTTTTTCTACATTGGACCGCTCCCGTCTGTGTTCCACATCCCATCAGTAAGGCAGGCTCTTTTCCATCTTCTCAACTGCCTCGAGGTGACTCTGCAGAGCTGCCATGGCTGGTCATCAGGAACCCAAGGTGATCGTGTTCAGTCACGATGCCGATATGACGCTACGCGTGCTTGAGTACACGCAGCCACTCAAGCCTAACGATGACGGAGGAGACAAAATCAAGAGCACTACCGACTTCCAGGTTGACCGTCAAGTGCTCATTAACACATCCGACTCCGAATTCTTCAGGGCTCTTTTGACAAGCAATGCTTGGGCCGAATCTGGCAAGTCTCTCGTTACTCTGAAGGAGCACAACCCTGCTAGCGTCGAGGCCATCCTCTGTTCAGTCTACTCGAAGGACCAAACATGGAAATCTTCCTCCATCGGTCAACACACCACTGCGCGAACTCTGCAGCTTCCTGCCAAGAATCTCTGGGATGTGATTGCTTCCAATCACCTCTTCATGATACCTTTCCCCGAGATCGACGCATGGTTCAGCGCTTGGTATGAAGATAACGAACAAAAGACTGTGGACGAAATGCTGCTATATCCATGCTACCAATTCCATCATGCTCGAGGTTTCATGTCGGCTACCAGAAACCTTGTCTACGACCGCCCTTTCATTGAGGAGTACATGAACGAGAAGCACTATCGCTTCCATCTTCCACCACGTCTTATTCGTAAGTTCTGCCCATATCATGATATCAGTCTCGCCTGACTGGAGTAAAGACTCGCTCAANNCGCTGCTCGAGGCCACCTCAGAGTCCTTCTGGCTAGTTGGCTCTGGAAACCGGTTGCAAACGTTCTCAGAAGCTCTTGCGTCTGCAAAGAACAAACCGTTTTCGAATATTTCCGTGCCCTCACTTTGACTGGAGGATATCCCATCGATCAACAGGGTCGAAATTCAGTCTCTGGTGTCTGCAGGAGTCTTGGAAGCTTTGACAATGACTTTGAACCAACGAGATCTCGTCATGACTGCTATGTGTGTGACGCAAATTGGTCCAGAGTTGTGACAGACGCAGTCATCTCTATTAAGAAGCACTTTGATGGACTCTGCCTAGACTGTATGGACCACACTCAACCGAAGTTTCTCGACGAGCACGAGGACTACTGGAACCATGTCTCGTATGACAAGCAGTGGGACAAGCATTGTCATATCAAGCACGGTCAGGCAACCTGGTATTCATCCTTTAGTGAGTTTTTGACGTCTTGTCGATGTTGGACCGCGTTGCTAACAACGACACANGTGGGTCGTGCCGATACGAGAGACAGACTGTTGAAGCGTAAGAGGGAGTATGACTCTGATGATGCCTAGAAGAGGAAGGTCTCAACCCTGCTCAGAAGCAAGCGATGCGCGGCAAAGCTGTCTACGATCGCGAGATGGTGAACATACCCGGTTGACCGACTCACTCACATGTAGACAGGTAAGAAGACAAGGATCGTGCTTGCTCTGTTCTTCTTATCAGACCTTGTACAGATAGCTACCACGAGCGAGACGAAATGTTTTTTCTTGACACATCTGGGTCCTTGACGTCTGAATTCATTGTTTGCGCTGCATAGACAAATCGTGCGCGCTCATTTACTATTATAAGCTTGGGTAAGGATTTGCATCTTTCTCCATGATATCATCCCGAATGCCGTCATATCTCGCCTCATCCACTCAGCTTCTTGAAGCCATGCCTCAAGGCTGCACCTCGCAATCGCTATGTATCAGGTTGAACCCAATCTGCCGAAAGACTGTCTCATGTATACTTCTCCCTTCGTCCCACCCAGGCTCTGATCGAATGCGCGGTGTCCCAAGGTTCTTGAATGGTTTGTGATAATCTGATCAGATGAGGATCTTGTGTTGTATTTTCAGGAAGGTCTAGTACGCTATGTTCTCTCGATGCTTCATTCTAGTCTTTTGCAAAGCTCAACCATCAGATTGGGTGTTATCGAGTTGGCCTCACCTAACAACAAACGAAACCTTTCACTAACTGTTAACGTCTCTACATTACAGGCCACATATTTGATGACCATGTTGCGCAACTTGTCCATCGTTTCTACTCGTTCTGGAGTGTTGGCATAGCAGAATTCCAAAAGCTCCACAACGTCTTCGATTCGCTCTTCGAAAACTTTGAAGCCAGCAAGGGTGTGTCCAAGCTTTGAAAGAGCAAGCTTTGCCAATGACTGAATGTCGTACTTGTCCGCAAAACAATATAGCTGGGCATGAGCTACAAACACCATGCTGTAGTCCTCGTTCGGCTCCATGTTTTGACGTGGTCTAAAGTCTTGGTTGCATGTATTGAAAGAATCGACGAACTCGTTCCAAAGGATTTCTCTCTTGGTTTTAGCGTGTTCGACAGGCGGGAATTCGGGTTCATCGTCTGATCCCCATGCAATTCTCTTGTGCTTTCTCTTATCCTTCTTGGTGGAACGACGAGAACCCCAATTGAATGCTTCAGAAACAGGTTCTCCTGGAAGTTCTTCATGTCGGACCTTTGGAGCTTCCATCATGGCTGAGGTTGGAGCATCATCGAGCGAGTCGCGTTCCAAAATCACTTGCGCATGGCTACCGTCGCTGTCTTGCCCGATTCGTGAATCGTCACGTAAAACAATCGGCTTAGCAGGCGTGAAGTCGTCAGTGTAGAGATATTCTCCGACCCGTGCGAATGTGTCCTCGTCTGTATCTTCCAACCAAGCGCAACCTTCTCGTGCTTCGGTCATACCGCCATTGACAAGGGCAAGGAGAGGTTTCGATCGCCCTACAAGGGTTTCCCGGTGGATGGCGAAGAGGCTTTTATCCTTGCCAATGAGAAACCGAAAGGTCTCGGACGAGAGTATTCTGCTCTGGTCAGACGGGAATCTAGAGTATGTAACGCTCGGATTACCTCCGAAAATCAACCGCCATCTGAGACATTCGTTTCAAGGCACCAAAGAACCTGACAAACGTGGGAAGAATGATTCAATAGTCAGAAGCAAAGGAATGATCGGGCCCAGAGGCAGATGAGGTAGACGAGGCGAGTATTTATTGTTTCGAACGTTCAGTCGGTGTGTCTTCTGCGCATGCAAGAATCTGCTTGCGCTGTGCCGTAATTCAAACAAGTAGCGGTAAAAACCTAGACGGGTGGACCAATAGAAGGCGTGTTATCTACTCTGCAGATGTCGCGAAGCGCCTCGCTTCCAAGAATAGAAAATGAGTCTCATGCAATTGGTCACTTCCGAGATCAGGTGATGTGAACGCTGCCTAGGTTGTGCTCTTTTACGGGAAAGCAAGAGATCGTCCCGAAAACACTCTGATTTGCGTCGTCTATGAAATCGCATGATAGCATAACCCACGGACGAATAGCATGTCTATCTCGGCGGGCGGTGCGGTACGCCCAGCGGACACACTCATGTAAGCATAATTACCAATTGGTACAGAAGAAGAGGGGTCGAAGGATCGCTATGTGAAACGCCAGCGCGTAGATACTGCGGAGTTCGATCTCTACATGGTGGAGATGTTGTTGACAAGCGATATCAACGACGACAGTCAATCATCGAGCGCTAAGACCGCAGAATAACAGCTTGCATAAGTGCGGCCGAGAAACCGAAGTTCAGCTGAAATCGCGGTAATCGCTCTACATGCAACGAGCTTGGGTTCTTGGAATCTTTAATGACAGTCTCACATCTCACGCTCTCATGACCTCAATGGAACATATCATAACAATCCAGGCTTAGCCCCACGTACCGGCATCCAAATCTCGGCTTGTATCGAGGTCCTCACGCAGCGTATCTTCTTGGCATTACTTCCATGCTCTCTCTACGCTCGAGTACCGATCTCAGAACATCTTCTGTATGCTTCCCCTGTGTTCTAGTTAGTCCAATGTTGCGTAGAAGGATTCTGGGATCTACATGCATGGTCCATGGTTGATGGTCATCCCGTCCCAATCCCCGTACCACCAAAGATATGCGCTAGAAGGACCAATGCAAAACTCCTCTGCACCTCCGCCTGCTGTGGAAATGGGCGGCTTTTCGATGCCTCGTGATCTCAAAAACGATCTGTGGTAGATGCTACTAATGGAAGGAAATCTGATTTGGAAGAGCTTCTCCCCGTGTTCACGATTCTCTTCGTCATGCTCGTTCTTCCAGAGCTAGTCATACTGTACCAGCTCTCCTCTAGCCCTCCACCTTTTGCTTTCGCCACTACGATGTATTGTGATCCAACTGGATCCTCAGCGGAAGATGCCCAGTCGAATATTTCCAGTATGGGAATGCCTTGTTAACGTAAGAACTGCATGGTTGCAACCTCACTTGCGATGCCGAACGATCGAGATAAGTGCATGGATAAGGCAGACGGACGATGATTTCAAGCTCGTCACCAAGTTTTGCCTCGAAGACACGGCGGTATGAGCCACCTTCAGCATTTCTTGCAAAGCTCTTGATCGAATCGCTTGGCTTATTGACCGACTTGGCGATGACTTCGAACAGTGCTGAAGCATCGAAGACAAGACGCCTTTCCATAAGTCGGACCTGCTCATTGTATCTGTGCGAGCGAGAGCTTAGTAGTGTTCGGAAACCTGATCATCTCAACTCACAGCCACCTTCCAGAAGTATAATTGTGATAGGGATGGTCGTCGACCCCGTTGTCGGATACGAGCGTCGTTGATTTATGGCGCTTATATATCGTCTGATCAGCTCGAAGGGACGAGAAGCCTCGATGAAGTTGACTGGTTGGTAGAGGACAGGGTTCGGAAGGAAAAAGCCAGTGACTGATTGCAAAGCTCGGCGCTACATGGCTTCCTGAACGAAGCACGTCGACGCATGACGACTTGACAGCTTACGAAATACAATCCGTAGCTGAGAGCGGCCAAAGATGTCGGAAAGACGCTTGTCGATAGATTCAGAGAGATTTGATCTGCTCAAGCTGGCTGATCGAAGGAAAACGAGCGAGATTTCTAGCTTCGGAAAACTGCCAGGGTCACTTGAGCAGCAAGGAGCTAGGATTCAACAATGACTGATATGGTATATATAATAAGCACTTGTATTGCAACTAGTTACACATCTCTTCTTTAAGATTCTTTACTAGTAGAATCTGCAGGTTATAAATGTAGAGCCTTATACCGACCTGGCAAGAACGTGTGGCGGATGGCTAAAGTAGAGATTTGGAAACTCGGGAATACCTACATCGGGCGTAGACCTAATCCTTCCATGGGATTAGAACAGTAATTGTGTATTGTTCTTATTAGCCTATGTGTATGTCTGCTCAAGAGACGGTAAAAGATAGCAACATAAGGTGGGCAATACGCCCCTATTGTTAAACATGGGCGTCTTTCTCCCTTAAGCTAGCGCACTCGTACATGTGCGACGCGATGCCCGAATAGCTATTACTCCTTCTTGCTTTCTCACGTTTGCATATCAATTTGCATAAGTCGTGGTAGCATAGTCAAAGCTTTGTAGGTTTTTGTAGGAAAAAGCACAAGACTGTAGAAGTTACATACCATTTCCCACACAAGCTGTGAATGTGTAAACCCACCCGCCCAGGCTTTTGTCTCAAGTCGAGTGAGGTAGAGCGGAGCAGCCTTGACTCTAAGCAAAAGATGGGTATAAAGTGCAAGGAAGGATGAAAGAGGACGAGCGTGGGGTCCACCAACCTCACAAGTCGGCCGACGGGCGCGAAAGAATCGAGCCAGTCGACTGGTATTGAACGAGCATCGCACTGGTCGGGAGCTCCATCGGTGCAGCGATGACAACGTCGCGGCCGCACCGCAGTTGGGCTTTGCCGGTCCACGACTGTGAAGATGGTGGGGAGCGATGACACCAGCTGTGAAACGAGAAATTGGTGAAGGAGAGAAGGATGATGGAGTAAAGATAGGCCGGCGTCGGACGAGCAAGAGGACATCACGCGACATTGACGCGACACTGACGCGCGACTAAAATACAAGTCAGCGATCCGAGCTTTCTTACAGGCAGCCGCGGCCTAAGAAGTGGATAATTTGATGCATAATTGAATTCCTCTGACTGGGAAGATCTAACGGTAATGACCCCGCTACGAAAGTGGGTCGACTTTGCCGTATCGTCTACGAGGACTGCCAACCTCATGAGACAACCGTCGAATGCAACTTATTTTCATTGATGATACCACTCCCAGATACTTGGATCCTCGTGATAATGCCTCGTCGCGAAGACTCGTATGCACGGATAACCATATTCCAACCACTTTGCATTAACTGACTGAGCGCGCTCCGAATCCCGACCTTCTGGAACGCCAGCGGCACGTAGGATTCTCAACCTCCTCAACCTCAAGCATACGCGAACCATTAATCAACACCAAATCTCCAACTGCGAAGGTGGTGTTATGGCAATGTATGCAGATATGGGCTCGTGCCGCTTGTTGTGCCCTCGTCGAGTCGTGGTTGAGAGCCAGGAACAGAAGCACACAGTAGGTACAAAGTGGATACCATTCGTCGCCAAAGTCAGCGGTATGCATCATGTCGAACTCCAACTGGGCCTCTACGCCCGTCGCGTCTGCGCCTGCCGGTCATACCAGTAATTTGATCGATCCGCCCTCAATTGGCTGGAAATTCACGACCGCCAGCACCATCGGTTGCGTTGTCTTTGTCGTTACCATCGGATTGAGATTATACACTAGGTGGTTCCTTCTGCGAGCTGTATCCTACGACGACTGTAGGTGCCACTGAGTCTCCGTACGACGTTCAGACTGACCAGACAGATATCTCNNCATCCTTGCCCTTATTGCTTGGTTCGTCTGTTTTGCCGTCTTCACTCTGGATGTTCGATACGGCATGGGTAAGCATATCTGGGATGTCACACTCGCGGATTACTCGCCGCATTTTCTTCTGATGTGGACCATGTCGGCTGTTGTCTACATCACCGCCATGCTTGCCATCAAGTTCTCGATTCTCATGATGTACAGACGGTTGTTTCCAATCCAGAATTTTCGCTGGCGGTGGTGGGTGGTGACACTGTTCACTTTTGGATATTCGATTGGCGGCATCCTCGCAACTGTATTCTCTTGCACCCCGATTCATGCGGCATGGTATGTGTCGTTGATCCAAGCACTGTGTTGGTTCTAATTGACAGTCAGGGATATCACCGTCTCTGATCGCCGTTGTATCAACACTGGAGCATTCTACATTGCCAATGGCGTCCTAAATTCGATCAGCGATCTAATGATTCTGTTCCTCGCGTTACCAATCGTTTGGGGACTGGCGCTTAGAAAAAGAGACAAAATCACCCTATGCGCTCTTTTTGGACTCGGCGGTGTCTCGTGTATCATAAGCATCGTTCGTCTGAAGGTGCTGATCGTTTACCTGAGAAACAACACAAGCGATCCTACGTACTATCTTGGTGACGTCGGAGTTTGGACGTGAGTAAGCATCACAAATCGTGAAAACAAACAGCTGATTGTTTAAAGCGATATCGAGTTGATGGTGTCTTGCGTCTGCTCATGTCTGCCCACCTTCCGACCTCTGATCGACAGATGTTTTCCGCGTCTGCGCTCAACATACGCGTCACGAACCAGATCGCAATACAGACAGCAAAACAGCGGAAACGACGGTGATGATGCAGGATTGGAGCTCAAGAGCGCAACCGTCAGCGTATCACCAGAAACTGACACCGAAAGCACTCACGGCATTGTTCAACACCACGCTTCAGACGGAATTACCGTTCAGACTACATATAGAGTCCACAGGGGTTGATTGGGTTGTTCTTCGAATCACTATTACAAACTTCTGACAGCATCATCTCTACTGTCTACAGCCATCTTCCCATATCTTGTCTGCGGAGCCAATCCCTCGAATCCGTGTGGCACCCTTGGCCAGACGTGCAGCTCGACTTCGACATTCTCTCGCATCAACCTCTGGGCATAATCAAGGCTGTCGTGAACAAAAATATCCAGCGAGCCAACGTCAAGGTACGTGCTGGGAAGGTTACGAAGGTTGGTCGCGCGGGCAGCAGCGCCATAGCAATCGATCTCTCCGTCTTTGTCGCCGATGAGTGCCTTCCATGCGGTTTCGTTATTGTCGTGCGACCAGGTGAATAAATGCTCGACTTCAGGGTTTGGAATTGTGTTACGGTCATCCATCATCGGGTACACCAAAATCTGCTTGGCCAGAGGAGGCGACAACTTCTCATCGCGAGCCCTGAGAGCCAGACCCGCGGCCAGCCCACCACCCGCACTCTCGCCGAACACGCCGAGTCTCGAGTTATCGACACCAAATATGTCGGCGGCGTTTTCGTGCACCCACTTTAACGCAGCGAAGCAGTCTTCGTGAGGGATTGGATGCGGGTGCTCAGGTGCGAGACGATAACCCGGAGCGAAAAACGGAATCCCCGTCGCTTCGACTCTGGCCTCAATCTGCTTGCGCAGGAACTCGACCGAACCCGTCACATAACCCCTCCATGCACATAAAACACGGCACTGGTCATCTTGGTCTCCTTTCTCTGCTTGCTGTAGAAAAACCACACGGGGATTTGATGTCCGTCTTTCGAAGTCGTGTAGTGAATCTCGTGAGCGACCGAGGGGAATTCTGGCAATTGAGATACCATCGCAGAGTAAAAGCCGTGAATCGACGTCTTCGTGTCTTCGAGATTCCCAGGACGAAGTTTTGGCGCTGCCGCTATTGCCGCCGCAAAGGGGGTAAATGCCGCATTGAATTCTGGCTCGTAGGTGATCGTCATGGTTTCTGCGTATGTGAAATGCTATCTGTTCGTCAGAAACGAAATGCTCGCCGCTTTTATATACGAAGATGGAGTCCCCATATTGTGTATAATAACTATCAAGCGAATTGTGGGTCCAGAGATGATAGATTGCGGCGTTGATTAAAGTAGATCGACGCATCCTTTGCCGACATGCAATCATCTGATGTGTCTTGATTTGATTAGGCTGTGCCGACTGATATTGTTTTGAGACTAGTGATCCTACTGCCGATGCGCAGGCTTTCTCAGACTTTGAGTGCATCTCGCAGTGGCCGCACGGTGCTTCGGCGACCACAACGAGTCAGGGCTACTTGGTACACCACAGAGCCCGGGTGGCAGGGATCTCGCCTTGTCGAGGGCATCATTTGCGCTAAACTCGTGGCGGAATGCTTGCCAATTGCAGTCTACGTGTAGTCGTGGTCCCTTAGCGACTCCTTTCGAGTTCGTTTGATTCAGCCGTGCAGACGAGGATTCAACGAGGCCTTACATCTACAGAGTAAGGTTCTAAGGGCCCTTTCTGGACACAGTAGCAAGGACGCTACATACGCTTATTCTCATCTAAGCAAAAGAAGACGGCACGTTGATATGATCTAGTGATGCAACATGACTCATTGTGCAGTGCCTACGCCTTTGATGATAAAGCCTCGGATGGTATCCATGACGAGCTTTTGGACAGTATCGTTGGCAAGCAACGGCTACAGGCAATTCGGCTCACTTGCAAACAGCCTTGATATCCTCAGCCCTGGAAGAAGCAGTGAGTAGCGCGTACAATAGTTGATCGCTTGACATCAGTCACCGTCGCACTAACATCACCGATACCACTACCAATCTTGTCAGCTCCCAACATACGTTCTATGGTCCCTCTTTGAGGCCCTACACACCACCACGATTACAAGTCATGACCTCCGACGAATGAAAAGGAGACCGATCTTGGCAGTGAACAGTCGTTGAGGTTGTTGATGTCGCTTCCACTATCTTTCTGTTTCGCCGAAATTGGTTCCTCTGGGCAACTCAACTTCATCGTTCCTCTGAACCACACTACCTCGTCACTTATTTGTCACGGAGCTGGGGTCTTTTCACCCTCAAGTTCTATATCAGCCACATCACGCGACACATTGACATTGATTTGCTCCGTTCACCTTACCTTCCGACTTCGACTATCAATCCAGTCCCCACTATCCTTCCGCTCCGCCTCTCATACTACCTCGAAGGGTTCAATTTGGCCTCGTCTACGCATCACGCTGCTTCATCACTACCAGGCTATAAGGTTTGGTTTCTCGAACACAACCCGTTTGATCAGCTACATCCCACAACACGTGTTCACATACCAAGTGCGATTCGATTCACGTCTTCTGACATTCATCCACTAAGATGTCTCAACTTGACTTCGGCCAGCACGGCTCTGACGCTGACGGCAGACTACCACTGTGAGTCAACCTTTCTGGACAGTCTCCATTATTCTGCGCTGACTATAGTCTCTCCAGACCCGACTCGACTATGAGCTCGCATCCGGACCTTTTGGCATGCTCGAACGAGGTACTCAACATCATCTCCGGCGAATCGAGCTTGCGCAAGAAAGACATCAAATCTCTACGCCTCACTTGCAAGGAGATCCACCCAGCTGCGACAAGAGAATTCGCAAAACGTTACCTCACCGAGCCATTCGTCGTCCTCAACAGATACAGTTTGCAGTCGCTGGTCGATATATGCACACATCCGATCTTCAGCCCCCATGTCCAGTCTGTTGGCTTCCTGGTCACTGCACTGCATGCTCAGGGCCTTGCGAATCGGATCAAAAGGATTGAACGTGACATCCAACACACCAAACTGAACATCCAGGAGCTGGACGACACGGATGAGAGACTCGCAGAGATCGCCGACTACACTGCGCTATGCAAACAACAAATCCAGCTAGAGGCATCGGGGGATACTGAGAGATTGCTTTTTCGCGCCTTAGATGCGCTGGAGCATCCAATCTCGATAACAGTGACTAACGAGCTAGAGTCTATAGAGTCCAAATCGGTTGTCGGGCTACCATCCGCGACCTACAGCTTCGATGATCTAAGTAGGCTTGTTGCGAACGCATCGGATGTCGATCTGAGGATGAGAAGCTTCCTCAAGTCTCTTGAGAAGGTCGTCGCGGGATGGAGCTCTCATGATCGCAGGCCCTTGAAGGGCCTCAGGATCCACATGAGACGTCGCCCTCACACTACAGCTGACGCCTCTAGCTCGGATTTCCTCGAAATCAAGAATCCAAGCGGTATCTACACAAACCTGAGAACGTTCCATCTCTATCTGGATCTCGAGGCTCTGCGATGCCAAGTAACCGCGAAGTCAATAAAAGATCTCTTCAAGGCAACAACAGGATTGGAGGAACTATCTCTCATGACAAGCTGCACAGGGACAAGGCCTATTGGTCCCAGTACCTTGCAATATATTACCAAGCTCTTTGGCATCGAGACCAATTTCGCGCTCCGAGTCTTGATCATCCAAGATGTACCATGTACAGTCGAAGAGCTGCTGCTGCTCATGGGGAGACACAAGAAGACGTTGGTTGACGTCAGATTCTCGAGAGTCACATTGCTTGGGTCATGGAGACGATGCATGAGGTGGTTGCGAAGGGAGCTTGAGCTGGAAAATCTGCACGTTGGTCTTCTGAACACGATCAGCCGTAACGACACTACAAGCAGAGGTATGTTCAGGCCTGGAAAGCAATGGCTCATGACGGTCTCTCTCGAGGGAAAGGAAAACACACACGATGGACTGAGTCGTTTGATCCTTACTGCTCCATCCATGTAGATCAAGAGACACAGTTCTGATCAGATCACGAGATTGAAGTCCAAAGGAAAATGCAGATCGAGACGAGACGAGGTTTGGAGATAGCAGGGACTTGACTAGCCCTTTCATCTCACAACCAAGGACCAGCCGTCAAGACTGCTGTCGAAACCGAACAGCGACAACGGTCAAGCAAGAACGGGCACTCAGAGCAGAAAATGAGATACGGAAGAAGAAACTCTGGGAGCATGACGGACCAAAGAAGACACCTGTGTCTCTACGTCAAGAAGAAGAGCAGACACTGACCTTAAGGTATAGTCCTAGATCCAGAGAAGAAACTTGATCTCGGCGTGATGCAATGTGGGGATTATCAAGGGAATTCTGTAAATCAGGTCATTCACCCAGCAATCAGGTTCTCAGATCACTTGCAAACATCTTCACCGTGCAATAAAAGTAGAGAATCAAACCTGTGCCCCAGAGTTGACTGGTGACTTTTGCGAAGCGCGTCAGTGTTGGTTGATAAGCCTATCGTCGTCAGAATCACACCAGGCGCCTTTATCTCTACGTATCGGTGCGGCGATGATCAGATCGCAACCGCACCGCGATTGGACCTTGTCGATTTACGACTATGAGATCAGAGGCAGAGCAGCGACATCAGCTAGAGCGTGAGATGTCGGTATTTTGGCGATAGATAGATTGTGGAAACTGATGCCAAGAAAAAGTGGGATGACGTCGAAAGAACTGACGCGACACCGACGCGATACTCGGTCAAGCTCTGTCAACAACAAATCAGAAATTTTGGTTCTTGGAAAAAGTCAAGGGGTGGCAATCTTCCAAGCACGCTTATTCGGAATTTTGTGTCAGCATCGAAGAGACAGAGAGGCCGATGAATGTGAACGAAGCTGATGCGCAAACGACACGTGACTGACTGGCCCCACAGCTCGACGCGAGGACATACGTGGGGCGGCCGACTGCCTGAACAGGTAAGTTGAGCAATCCTTGGCGACCAGTCACCAGGAATTTCCCGACCGGAACGAAACAGAGCATTCCCGCTCTTCGCGTCGGGCCTTGCATTGTTCCTTCACCTGTCTACAACCCGGCTTGTAGTGGGGCTATTCGTTTGTCTTGCTTTCATTCCTTTCCGCTACTCACACGTAAATTATCAAGGTGAGGTTCCTTTTTCTTATTCCTTCTCCTTCGCGGGACCGCCCTACAGCCCTGTGTACTACTACTACTAGCCTTATTAGCGATGCTCTGACTGACGAGTTTGGTACATAGTTGCACTTAAACAAAACAAATGGAATCAGATACTCTCGCGTCAAAAGCTCTTGTCTATGTTCTTGCGCACTCTGAAGATGGCGCGATACTACTATTGTGTCATATGGACCTGACATTTGGAGGGAATACCTTTCATCGTATGCTTAACACCTCTGCAAGACTACTTAGTCCCGACAAGAAGGTGTTCGTCTATCTCGTTCTTGATGCCAGCTACGTTGAAAGTATAGAGATAAGAAACGACGACGCTGTGCCGGTTGAGGTCACGAATGCTTTCGTAAAACAATCACGCTGCACAGCATCGACCGAGATTTTGAGCTTGCAATTTGCCCTCGAAGGTCAGGTGCCTGTTGTCTCTCCGAACTCGACATTACAAAAGAGGCCATCCATATGCAAAGCTATAGATGCTTTGCTGCGGATAGGCCGGTGCAAAACACTCAAGATCTTCGTGCCTTCTCAATTCATCAAAAAGCAGCATCTCCCAGAGCTCTGCAGCTCGCTGGCTCAACGGACTCTCAAGCCGGCTCTCAACTATATCCTGAAGACTCTGTATGAAGGCACCGGCGGCAAGCTCGTTACGGACGTGGAAAATCTATGCAGGCGCGAGCAGCGTACTAACCAGGCAAAGCGTTTGAGGCGTGAGGTGATTATTCTCGGGCTGAGCCGACCGTCTGTCAGAGAACACGATGTAAGATTATAGACTGTGTCATGAATGACGTTCCTGAACAACACAAGCAAGGAGATGGTTACAAATCTTCGTCTTGGTTTCCTGTTACGTTGCTCTGCGTACACAGTAAATCTACTGTAAGCTTTTTTGTCGAGTAGTCTCCTTCTTCCGTTCATCACGGATACATCTCGCAAGACACTCTTAGATGTACAATTGTTCATCGAACTTATCAGCTATAATCTCATGATCATATGGGAGGCTCTGAAGCAGTAGTGCACCTCACGAGGTTCATAAAAGAGAGTGCTCTAAAGATCTGGTAGGGAAAGAAACAACGAACTTCTTTAGCGCTCAAGTGAGCTTGGAATGATGAACTTACGCTAACCTGTCTCAATAGTTAAAGCTAGCCGACCTCGAGACCGATGCATAGTAACCATCGATTGGAGCATGTCTGGGAGTAAGACCGCGAAGAAATTCGCCATTGTGGCCTCCTTTTCTTCTCAGATGAAGCTAGCAGATCGGAAGTACGACAACTATGACAAAGAATTTCTTGCCGCGTTCAAAGCCTTACAAGATGGATAGTTGATAACGAGCGAGTATTCTTTTTACATGAACCGTAAGATCTTCTCACACTTAAGAACCACCAAAATTCCTCATCGTGGGCCGGTACAACGATCTGGCGGAGTCTCTCCTGCGTCGCGATCCTGAGATACATACTATAGTAGGTCTCTTTCCTAATTGTACTTTTTCGCTCTATCCAACAACCTTTACTTTGCTCTTCCAGTCACTCCCTTTACGCCAAATCCCTGTGCAATCGCCAGACAGTCCTTAACGGTTTCTATAACATCGCTTCAGCACCCCATCATACACTTCCAGCCAGTTGATCACGGAATTTCGCTTTCTTCGTACACATCTTTAACCACGAAGAAGACATCAGACAAAATGCAGTTCTCTGTTTCCGCCATTTTGAGCGGTCTTGCTGCCATCGCTGCTGCTCTTCCGACTGAGATGGTCCTTCAGAAGAGAGGTACCATCTCTGCCACTCCTCATGTTGAGTACAGCTCCAGCATTGGCGTCCTCGGATGCAAGATCGACACCAACAGAGTTGCATACTGGCCCATGAGCGTTAGCTGTGACAACATGTGTGTCAAAGTTAGCCATCAAGGCCGTTCTCTCCACCTCCTCCGGGTAGACCAGTCTGGAGGTGCCTACGACATGAGCTACGATGCATGGAACACTCTTGTCACCGGCAAGAACGCTACTGTTGACCCAACCATGGGCGGTGGTATTGACATGGAGTACGAGAGCGTCGACATGGACGAGTGCTCACACCTTCTTCACGATTCTGACGGCAAGCTTGCATTCTCCGCCGCCAACAGCATGAACTTCATCGCTTCCTGCATCAGCGAGCCCAACAGCTGGGTTGCCAAGAACTACGGTCTGTGGAATATTTACAACTCCATCTGTACCAACGGTGTTGATGAGCAGTGCACTTTGGACTTGAGCGTCAGCAACCAGCCCTCATGCGAAAACACCATCCTCGGTATCAACAGTCCTCTCAACGGCCAGAACGTCGCCAACATCGCGTACGGCACTGGAGCTCGTATCGTCGCCGTCTAAGTCACGCGCAGTCGTTTGACATCTTGATATTTCACGACTTCTTAAGCCAGTCACTCACTTACCCACACTTTTTTTTTTTACCATTCTTCCGTCTTGGAGACAGTGGCAACTCCCTTGATTTCTTCGCCACAAAAGTGCCTGCATGCAGGCCGCACAACTTTGGACACAGTATATTGGGTGCTTCTTCTTGCACGCACCGAATCTTTTGGATAGCATTTTTGAGATATAACCTTGTGACTCTTTGGAAACAAAGAGAGAGAAACAGGAGAACTTTCGTAGAAACAAAAGAATCAAAACCCTACTTATCACAAATTCGCTGCCTTTGATAATGGTTGAAGCTGGTAATTTTGATTTTGAATCGTCGTGAGGTGTCTCAGCAGAACAAGATGTAGGCATTATTATGTGTAATAACATGTGAGTAAGATCTTATGCATGACATGATGGCAATGCGATGCCAGCAAGTGTAAGCTTCTGTTGTTGCGAAGCCATCGCGTTCTTGTTGCCAATCTCGCGACGACGCGAGGTCACCGAGCACAAGTCCTAAACCAACAGTTTCTCTGACGGAAGTCACGATGATCTCGGAAAGGTTCTCCGAGAAAGAAGGGGCTGGTCGAGTTAAGGGTGGCTCAGCGCCTGGACGAGGCAGGGGCGACCAGCGAGCGGGCTGTGTTTTTCCCACCCTAGAAACCTACAGAACGAGACTGCATTCTCATCACCGATATCGTCCACAGCTCTGAAGTGGATGTTTCGTCAGTCATGACAACACATGCTATCCAATCTCATGCCTGCTGAGATATATCCCGGCACCAATCCCTTGAGAGCACAGTACAGGCACACCACGAAACGACAACCCACAACACAGAGCACCATTTGGCGACCCGATGGCCTCCTCCAGATTATTGCTACCCTATCGCGAGTTCCATCGCCGGATTACGTACTTTGAGCTCNNTAGAAACGGCTTCAAACCACGTAAGGAGAACTACATCGCTCGTTCCTCCATCATCATTTTACGTAGTTTGAGGTCGCTGGTTGACTCGAAACTACGTAAGAGGTACCAGTCCATCCCTGTAACTGCTCACCGATTCGAGAATCGTACATCCATCTAGAAGCATGTGTTCGACTCATTTCCTGGTAACGATTTGTCGATCCAAAGCTCTATTCCTAGCTTTGACTCTGCAGGCAGGAAGTAAACACAGTGTGTTATCGATCTTTTGACTACATTGTCACCCTCCCTCGACAGAGCTGGTCGCAAAATGCGATGGCATGATGGACTGGACGGGAATGATGAAGGCCTTGAAATTGACCACGATCCCCAACAGCACGAGGATAAAACCGTATTACCGTGTCGCAAATTCTCCGAGATGTCAAGCTCTTGAAACACCTAACAGCTATACGAACAAGACCGAGAACAGCACAGTCGAAACCACGTAGATTGCACGACTCTGACGCTGGTTCTATCTCTACTTACGTGGTTTCAGCTCGTTCCTCGAGTTCAAACCACGTAAGAAGGACCGCTCAATCGCTCGCTCCATCACTGGTTCCTGTAGTTGGTTGATACTACGTGACGGGCACGCGCTCATCACTCGTTCCTTCGCTGGCTTACGTAGTTTCAGTTCGCAAAACGACTTGAAACTACGTAAGTAGCAGAACTTGAACGCATACTTCATGATCGACGTACATGATTCCAATTTGGAGCACAACTCGGGACTACGTAAGACGGACGAGATCTCGCTGACAGCGGCCGAGCATATTGAGAAAATTACACGGCCGGAGTTGGTATTTGTCATCATGTAAATTACATGTACAGTAATCCGACCATCCCCTCTTATGACACAAGTGGCGCTTGACCGACAAATTGCTGGAAATACAGCGGTTGGGTACCATGGCAATCGAACGCAGAGCAAGCACAGAGATTAACGCACTATTCAAACATGATGTTGCTGTTCTTGGTGAGACTCGGACTTTCTGTCCGGACGATCTTTTACACAATGCTTCCGCCGCTCAGCAGGACAGATTGCGTCAAAGTGGGAAGAGAGATCTGACCAAGATGGAGGTGATCAAAGTATCGTCGTTTGTCAGATCAGTCTGTATTCCTGCCATATCATTCAACCCACCGTTCACATGAGGGCATGGTCTCGATTTTTCACAGCCATTCTGATTCTAGGAGGCTTCCTCTTCATCAGAACATACTTGAACCACTTGCTAGAAGTGGAGGGGCAACTCCATGACTACAGATCTGAGCTATCCGTCAGTATCGGAGATTATGTCTTGCCAAAAGCGCATGGGGTGGTTGGCCTGGATGCAACGTTTGCACCGAATTACAGGCACTTGCAAGCGACTGCTGCGACCCAGCACGAGATGTCGGCTACTCTTGTCAGTCCGGATTGCATAGATCGAATCGTCGTCATGGGTAAGATCAACGACGAGGATACATCTTGGGTGAGGAAGCTTCCAAGGTCAGTTCTTCGAAGGCTTGGGATCATCTTGTATAAGAGGTACTGACACAAACGTNNCAGGTGGAAGAACGCAGTCTATTCAGTCGACAACGACACCTGGCCTTTGCATACCTCGACGAATAAAGGGCGTGAGGCGAACGTGTATCTCACCTATCTTGTGGAGAACTACGAGAAGCTCCCCATGATCATCGCATTTGTGCATCCCCACGAACGCGGTTACCCACAAGCATGGCATACAGATGCAGAATCGCATTCCAATGTTGAGAGCTTATCGTCTCTCAATACCAGCTTTGTCCTGAGCAACGGCTATGCCAACCTCCGATGCATCGCCATCCCTGGATGTCCAGACGAGATTCAACCGTTCCGGGAGGAACATGGAGATGGTCGGAGCGCAGAACATGCGTTCGTCGATGCATGGAATCAGATATTCGGAAACAATGACGTGCCAAAGGTGGTGGGGATTCCATGCTGTGCTCAGTTCGCGGTCTCGCGAGACCAGGTGCACAAGCGGCCCTTGGAGTTCTACGTCGGTGCCTTGAGATGGTTGCACGACACACCTCTTGATGATGCCACAAGTGGACGTGTGTATGAATATCTGTGGCATATTATCTTTGGGCAGGACCCAGTGTAGTAAGTAGCCCCGGAGCTTAGGCCGAGAGACCGGCTAATCGTGTTCTTGGATATTTGTCCTGATCTGAACCAATGCTATCACGATGTCTATGGAAAGGCTTTGCAAGAAGGGAGTACAATCAACTACGATGGAAAATCATATTCATCTTGGAAAAAGATTGACCAGGTGCATACGATATCCAAATTGGTACCATTTCCACTGAGTCGACAAGAAGATTCTGTATGCCGTGTCCATGGAGCCTGCAGACAAGCACTTTGAGTTCTGCTTCGTACAGTAGCCAGTCATCGGCGTTATCGACATTAGCTTCTAACTCTTTTGATCATTCATAATCTCTTGCGCTTCTAGAAGTATCATGATTGACTACGTTCATTTGACTTCGCTTGTTCTGAATTGCTTGTGTATAATGTACAGCGTCGGGCGCATCTTGTCAGGTACCATACGACGCTTCGAAAAATCGATGACTCTGCCTTGAACTTGCTTGCTATTATCTACGAGTCAACGGCTCTTGGTTCCCAGCTGACTTGCAGTAGCTTTTACAGTTTTTAAGAACGTTGTATGATGTCGAGCGTAGTCGCGGTGGATGACGAGACACGGACCCTCATCAAAGACGAGCTCTCAGTCTCGGAGTCATCACGAACCATTCAAGAATCTTAGGATACGACGCGTTCAACAAAAGCCTGTGTATGACAAAGAGAGAAATATGCATGAGACGGCCAGTACGAACAAGCGTGTGGCGCCATACCATCTAATCCTGGCACCCTTTTCCTCTTCCTTCTCTTCCTTCTCTTCCTTCTCTTCCTTCTCTTCCTTCTCTTCCTTCTCTTCCTTCTCTTCCTTCTCTTCCTTCTCTTCCTTCTCTTCCTTCTCTTCCTTCTCTTCCTTCTCTTCCTTCTCTTCCTTTTACTTTTCTCTCCCCTACCCTTCTGAGATCTAGATCCCGTAATTGACTAGACCAACCCCCAACCCCTTGATTGAATTTTTTCTCTCATTTGATGGTTACGATTGAGAATACTCTCTACAGAAGAAGCAGAGCAAAGGCTCCGATAGATTGCAGTATAATCGGAGCAGCCCGCCGATTGGCTATGGCACTGGAAGTGATGTTGCCAGATGTATTATCTAGGATCGATTAGCCCTGAGCTGAAACGAACTTGTACAGAACATCGCGAATCCTACCATTACCAGCCAAGCTGCTTGAAGCAGTAGTCCCAGATCCACTGCTGGCGCTTGAAGCAGTAGTCCCAGATTCACTGCTGGCAAATTTGCTGGCACATCTTGGATCAAGTGACGGGTCAAGCACACAAGGGCCGCATGAGTTTGTTGTTGACGCAGATGCAGAGCTGCCACCTCCATAGAGAGTTCCTCCCTCTGAGGCTACTCCACCGTTACAATTGCTAAAAGATTGAATATTTGCAATCGGATCGTATGATACACAGCCGCCGCGACTGTCGCACGAAACGTGTGCAGAGCAATTGCTGAACTTTTCTGTTCGGACGTCATTGGACCATGAACCAGAGGTACCACAATAGTAGGTCTGCATGGGAAAAGGTCCGCAGTAATCACCATTAGCGTTTGAGCAGCTGATATCAAAGGCCACATTTATCGACCCGTTATGATACGTAAGGGGAGCTGTAGACGGAAGCGTTCCAGCGCACTAGTTGGTTAGATTATGGATTGACCGGAAATCCTCAGTAGACTTACTGTGCAAATATAGTGTGTTTGAACGCCAGGTAGACCTAGAAGATAAGATGCAAACTGGACAGTGCCGTCGCATATATATGGCAGTCCAACTGTCGGTCGTTGATCTACTGAATTGACCGAAGCGCCAGAGTCCTGAGGTATGGCGCATGTTTCTCCAGTGCAGGCTGAAGAATCGAACAGGTAGAGATCGTTAATGTAACCATCATAATTACCATAGGAAAAGATACCGTTCGTGACAATTGCAGCCCACTGGCAATAGTTGCTAGTAGCTAAGGTTGTGACAGGTAAAAGGAAGAGAGTAAGAAGATGAAGCATTGCCGGACGCCGTGCGGCACGTATCGTCGTTCAATAGAGGAAGGGGATTAGGGAGTCGTGCTAAAAGCGAGGTGGTCTCTGAGATCGACGACACTGTGCTGCGTCTGCTGACACCATCTCGAACCGGGGAGTGTCAAGCAGTCTTAAGGTAGGGCAGTAACAATAATCGGTCAGGAAGTTCAGCTCTGATCTCTCACATGCTCCGCATGTACAAGTGAGGCTGAGATCTACTGTAACCAGCATCGAGACGCTGTGCGAACTTCTAAATACAGGGTTGTGGGGTCTCCGAGATATCTGGCCGGAACGCGCTGTACCACAATGAGGGAAGCTCGCGTTCAACGAGCCACTCATCTGCGTCTACCACGCTTGCAAGCCAAGAAGTCCCGTCGTGAAAACATGTAGGGTACCTAAAACTATCCACCCGTTTTCTTCCATTCTTCTTCGCACCAATATGTTAACAGAGTACGGGTCACGGGTACTGCACAAGTCCGACTCTAGCGCTTACGGCCACATTTAAGCTCAGAGCAGAGCAGAAAGACACTCCCTTGAGTGACAGCAACTCGACACAAAAAAATTTAAGTTGATTTGCTCTGATGCACTCTGACTTAGTCGAGCTTGTCCTTGATCTCACTCACCGCAATTTCACCTTCTGGTATCCAAGCAAACCTAGGAAGACAAAAGATTGAGTTCATCGGCGAACACCGAAGCCGTCACGAGTCATTGCCGCGACGTACTGATCGGGCTGCCGTGGCTGGGGTACAGCACAGTCTAGGCCTGCCCGCCAGCGTAGCCGACAACAGAGCTGAAGGTAGAACGGATCGGCTTTGATATGTTCGCGTCCACAGCGACAGACTTTAAGAGCGTCTCGGCGACTCATATCTGAGCATTGTAGTCTTGTCGTGGATCACGGACGTTGCGAGCAATAGTATAGAGCGCTTCCGATCTTCTACCTTAGGAAGAAGCAAGGCAGATACCCTAAAGACGTCCCCTGCGAACTGTCTGTTCAAGTTGATTGGCTGCCGCCAAACCCGACTTGGTTGAGGACCAAAAATCATGGTCGTGTCTACCCTTTCTGTGGATACGGTGCAAGATTTGCACAGAGCACACCGCTAGAGGCGCGGTAGTATAGCTTGCGTAAAGTTAGCCGCTCAGTAGTGGCAGCATGATGAAGAGTTCTCCCGTTTTATCGGATGCCCTTCCGCGGGAAGATTTCGCAGGGATGATCGCTAAGCCGTATAAGGGCAATGCTTAGTCTGAACGGGAATGGTACAACCACAAACAAGCCCTTCTCCCGCGCTGAACGCCAGGCTTTGCCCCGCTGCGGCCCTACGGACCTAGAGTCAGGCCTCGGCGCTCCGACGCTGATCTAGACCAGGAAGCAAGCCTCACCCGCTTCTATTATTACTCCACGAGAAGCGGGAGTTCCTTGTGAGAACACGCACCGGCCAATGCTTGGGAAAGCCCCAGATTACGGATGATAGCGAATTAAGCTCGGAAGGGGACATGCATTGCATCAAGCTCAGCACAAGGAGTTGAGAGCAAGCCCTCAACTTTGTTCTGCGCCTCATGGTTGCAGCAACATGGTCTCAAGCTCAGGTAGTAGACTGCAACTGAAGCCGATTTTAGGCTTCGGATGCCATTCAATAGACGCAGACTCGCCTTGTACACAGTATACCTTCCAGAGATCCTAGCGCAGCAAGCTATCCTGCCAACCTTTCTTACTAGCAACTACCTCTGTCTGTGCACCATGCGCAGCTGAGTACGACGCGGAGCTTTGGCGTGATTGTCGACCATCCACTGTGCTGGTTGACTGCGGGTTCCCTTGTCCTAGGGTGGGGAAAGACATACGGCTCCGAGATGCACATGGCGTCGAAAGTCGTAGTGTCGTCGTCGTTAAGAATGCTCATGATAGGGCCTGGTCTAGCCCCTACGTTTGCCTGTAGGATGCTTATCTGGTGTCCTAACATCCGACAGGGGACCGGGTGGTCTCCTCTCTTGTGTTGGGCGTCTGCTGCGTTACCTCCTTATGTCTCGGACTAGCCACGCACCTCCTGTCCATGATAGAGTGGAGTCCATTACACGCTGGGCACTTTGGATTGTTCTTGTCCATGCAGTCCCTGCTCTGGTGGTCTCCTAAGCAGTGGCCACACTTGGCGGGTTTGGTATACTAAGCTGGTAGTGACCGTAGCTGTTGCAGTTAAAGCATGGGTCGTTGTTCTCCTTTGCCTGGTAGGGGCCGCAAATCCAGCCGTAGGCCCGAAGATGACAGTCATCTTCCTTAGCATCGAAGCCATGCTACGAATGGGTCAGCGCAGAACATTCACGGTCTATCTGCCATCAAGTGCCGTTAGCAGACAGCTTCTCTCAGAACTTTGTGAAGCACTGACTAGGGGTACTTTGAAGCCCGCTCCAGAGGGTTCGATTAGTAGCCTGTATACGACGACCAGGAGCAAGATCGTGACGCATGTCGACGACTTGTGGGGTCGAATGTGTCCGAACTTCCACCCGCTTACGACCCGTCAATGGCTGTAAGGGCCAGCGACGATGAGTCGACCGGTAGATCAAACTCTGAGCTGTCGAGGTCTTTCAGAGTACACAAGAAGAGGCGAATTTCGTCTTTCGGAGCACGACAACCACTGGCAGAGGAATCTCTCCCCGAGCGCTGGGAAGTGGCGATTGCTGCTATCCGTGCAGAACTTTGGGCATTGCGTGAAGAGCAGCAAGTTCGATGCACAGCAGTGGTTGACCCTGGGAACAAACCCCGATTCTCACCAGACCAGGTCGCATACTGTGCATCACCGACTGACTATGTCTCACACAGCCAGACCAGCACCGTTGGAGACACTGTCGAACATCGTCTCATGATGGCAGAAGACGCTGTTGTCAAGGAACAGAAACAAAGAGCATTGTCAGATGCAAATTCTGACTACAACAACGATCAGGTACGTATGGAAGGGTCATCTCGCATTGATATCGACCAGAGTCATGTTGACTCTCTCCTCTTACCTTTCTACTTCTGTCTTTTGGAAAAAGGAACCTAGCCATCGCAGGACGAAGTTTTGATAGAAGGCTGGGAGTGTATCTCGAGGTTCAAGACGAGTGCTGACAAAATCTATAGATGAGATATCCTTATGTATACTCTCCGCCTCCATGGTCCGCCACAGAGATCAACACACCCACCGAGATGAACACCCCTACTCGTGTTCACCGCTCAATAGAAATCAGTACCCCAAGCACTTCTGATATGTCTTTGCAAGATCAGACCCTCAGTGCACGTTGCCAATCTTCAGCGCTCATCCGACCAACAGTCTTCACGCGCGGTGCCAGGCTCGAGAGTGGGGATATTCCGATGGCAAAACACGTTTGGGAGATGACGGAGATGCTACCCAATTCTCTTGTCCGCGGGATCCTCGACGCGCCAGGAGTGCACAGTCTTCTTGCCGCACAACAGCAAGCAGAACAGACAGAAATCCAATCCACTCAATCCGGCTCTAGGAAAGTCACTGCAACGGAGGTCGAACGAATCGTAAGGAAGTCCGTGGACAAGCACGTTGACGAACGTCTCGAGCAAAAGATCAAGGTCACTTTCAAGTCACTCGTCCGTGAGCGCGTCGATCGTCTCATCCAAGATCAGTTGCCNCTAGCTGCTGACTCGGTGCTCCATGGTGCTACTGAAGGCTATCGCGACCAGTTCTACGGGGATTGCAAGATGAACGAAGCCAGCCTTCTCGAAATGGTCGACGAGGGTCGCACACAGGTGCAAGACACAATTAATGATTGTATAGCAGAGATGAACGATACGATACAGAACCAGATCGGCGAACTCGAGTCTTGGAGTGGCGAGTTGAGCACGTCTATCGGGGAGCAGCTTGCTCGTTTGGGTTACTGGTCAGACAAGTTTGCCAGATCGAGTGCGAGCGATAGATATGCGAAGAAGTCTATGTCAAGGTGCAAGTCTATATAGTCCGTATCGCATCAAGAAGATGTTCGATTACTTTCGCGTTATGTACTTTCTGGCTGGAAAATCGTGTAATAGATCGGCCCGCCGTCGTCAAACACCCACGTCTACTACCACCATCTGGATTAGATGATCTACAACCTCGTATATACGATCCTAAGACCCTTAAGAAGGACCTATACGAACTAAACAAGGAGAATAACGCTTCTATAGATAAGAGAATGGACATGGCGACGTAGATCGCCGAGAAGGCCACTCAGGCTNTTGGGTCATAAGACCGTCGAATTGGCCAAACAGGAGCTCAAATATAAGACCCTTGAGTTCAAACATATAGCTCTACAAGAGAAGAAGGGTCGCAAGGAGGCACCACCAAAGCGAGGTCGTGAACTGGTCGATGCAGAGGATATCGTCGCGAAACAGAAGGAGTGGAAACGCGACAACGAAACACCACTTCCATCGCGATCTGTTCGCTCACGTATGAAGAAGTGATATACAACTGTACGTATCAGAAGAATTGATCAATTTGAGTCGCTGGTCGTTAAATGCGACCGCGGCGAACCTCGTCGTCGTGTTGAAATTGACGTTCGACTTCCCTCCGCGTTCGACTTCTTTCGTTTAGCCTGTAAGGCTTTATAATAGTAGTCTTTTCTAAAGAAAGTTATTTAATCATACAAAAAGTACTAATCTAGTGAGACTTGAGAGGTATACAGAGACTTCTAAGTAGGAACTATAAAGACTCTACTCTGCGTGCGGGACGTCGTCCTCTCGCAATACGTTGCCTAGGTTATTGCAATAGAAGTATTTATGCTTTTCTAGATTATGCTTTGCAACGTAGTGCCTCGCGTGGTAGTGCTTCCCAAGGTCGTGCTTTTCGAGGTCATACTTTTCGAGGTAGTGCTTCTCACGGTCGTACTCTTCAAGGATGTACTTTTCGAGGTAGTGCTGCGCAAGGTGGTGCCTCGCGAGGTAATGCTTCCCAAGGTCGTGCTTTTCGAGGTAGTGCTGCGCGAGGTAGTGCTTCGTGAGGTAGTGCTTCCCAAGGTCGTGCTTTTCGAGGTTGTACTTTTCGAGGTTGTACTTTTCGAGGTTGTACTTTTCGAGGTTGTACTTTTCGAGGTAGTGCTCAGCGAGGTCGTACTTTGTGTTGTTCTAGTATCAGGGGATATTGGACAAGTCCCATTAATGGTTTGGCAGGATCCACGGAACTTGCGGGCTTCTCGTTGTGCGGCAGCTTGAGGATCCATGTTGATCGCAAACAGATATGGAAGCGTGTCATAATTCGAGATGTTGTATCCACCCTGTAGACAGATGTGAGTACTCTGCAATCGTGACGGATAACTTATAAACTCACTGCCATATATATGCGGCTCCTTAAAGGATCATATGCTATCGGAGCGTTCCCATGGGGGAATACACCATTGGCTCCTGCGAATGGAGTGACGGGATGAGACACGAAACGCGCTTTCGATGGCTCATTCTCATCGAGTACAAGGGTCAGGATTGACTGGATCAGCCCTTGAGTATTCGCACCATATTGAGCGAGAGGGTTTGCCAGAGGTTGAATCGAGCCAAATATGATGGTGCTTGAACCATCAAAAGTGAACCTGTAGTCGTCGATGGCCATTGACAATGTGGTCATTGTGCTCCATTTTTCGACGCCAGATCGTAGTACGCCATCTTGTCTTCGTGGAACAGGTATACCTTCGGTCTGTTCTCATCAGCAAAACGCTTCATGCCACAGCCTAGTATCGAGACTTACTGCGCCCATGATTCAGTGTACACGAGCCCATCGCCCCACCTATCTACGGGAAACGGTGTATCTGGAATCCTAACCGTCTTTTTGGTCGCATAGTCAACGATATAAGCCTCTGTTGTCGGGTTGGAAGTTTTGTTCCAAAGTCCCGACAAGAACAACTGAGAGTGGCCACATGGGGTAGCCAGAAAAAGTTGTTTTGGAGATTGGGTGGCAATGCTCCAGCCGAGACCAGTACCGTGGTTCTAGCCGGACAATTATGTGATGCGATACAATCGGGATCAATGATGTTCGGAGTCAATGATCGAGATAATATCCCACGTGGGAATCCCCTGTCATTGTCAGAGTAGACACCGAACGCGACCATCTGTCCCTCTGCTACACCAAGGATGTTCAAGGCACTGATGGATGCCCACCAGGGGTATCCCAAAATTTTGCTGTATCACCCGATGGTGTCCATGTTTGTGGAGGGTATTGTCCCGAATACAAGGTGTCTCCAACATTGAGAATCTTCCAATCCAGAGGTGCGTTAGTGTCAAGAAGTGAGACGGTCCAATTTGTTGTAGACTGCAAGCTTGTCGCCACATCGTCGTGGTTCGTTTGAAGAAGGGTCAACGTCGATGAGATCGTGTAGGATGATTCCTGACAGTCGATACCTCCACCAGAGCCATGATATGTGGTGGTCAACGCAATTGGTAACAGCGAAAGGTCGCCTGGAAGGAAAACGACGGCGTCACTAGCGACGGTGCAGTCGCATCCAAAACCTCGTTGATAATCGAGCCCAAAACATCATCTACGAGCGATCCAATGAATGCACCAATCAAAGCGCCCTCTGGCCCAAATGTTGCCCCAATGGCAGCTCCGATCGTCACCGGACTCAACTTTGTGAGCAATTCGGTCGTCAGGTCGCCGAGATCGTCAAGAACGCCTAGCGCTTTCATTAGCAAGGATGGGTCAGACAAGGCCGGTTGAGGCATACCGTCGGCATGGTCAGCGAGTGCTTTAGTGCCCTTGGAGATTTGCTGCAAGTCGTCTGTAAAGGTATGGTTCGCGTTTGCTGAATTTGTCAAGGACCATATGATACTGATGTTGCTCGTACTAGAGGCTGCGAATTCCAATTCGAAGTTAATTTGGTCCCCGGTAAGATAATCTTGTTTGGCCACGTCTCCTAGAAATACACTCTTCCGAGAAATCTCTTGTCCACCGAGCTGAGTCACTGTGGCAAAAAGAGTCAAGGTGTCAGCCTCAAGACTTGTTATCGAGCCGACGGTAATACTATTAACGGTCCACTTGTAGTTATTGTTTACAGCACATACAGCCTGGATGAACAGCAGACCAGCCGCCTAAGAACGTCTGGAAAACATCATCGAGAGGGTTGGTGACGCTCTCCGACGGGCTAGAATGTGGATATATATGTTTGTCGCGTCCAACCCATTTGGCAAGCTGAGCCTGTTTTGCGTTACTGTTGCGCCACATCTGCGCTACTTGTTCGCAGCCACAGTAGCTCATCTGGACTTGATGCGAGAAGCTTAGGAGGCCCGTACGGCTAGGACACTGAATTTCTTTCTGATCGTTGTTAGCCGCAAACCGTTTGAGTTAGAGAGTTTAGAACGGCGAAGCTACGAAATATGTAGGTTACAAACATGTACGGGGCGCTATAGTATACATAGGTCGCGAAGCTTCGGGGCGATTTACTAGAACTCTTCGGAGGTTACTTTATCCCTCGATTGTCATTAGGGCTTAGCGCAATGATAGCGTTAAGGCATGCCGGGATTATAGTGTTACGAAACCGTAATACGGACAGAGCACAAATGTCTTGGCAAGGAATTTGATTTAATTCGATTTGATTTTCTTAAGCTATTTGACCCGTAAGGGGTATAAGATGTCTATAGTTAACAAGCTTTCTAGCTAATCACAACTCTCGATATAAGGAGGGTAAAGATCTATACTTCCATATTTATTTATTTATCTATTTATTCAATTGATTAGGCTATTTGGTCCAAAAGGACCCATAAGCCAGTTCCTTATAACTACCTCCTTTATTCCTCTCTGTCCTTATTTCAGTCTAGCTTCCCTCTACGTCACGGCGCTTGCCTGCAAGTAAACGTTGCGACGGCCAGGGTTTTAGGGTTAGCAACACTTCGATACAATACTATATAAGCTATATTATGCTTCTAAACAAATGAGACAAGGTGTAGTAGGAAAATAGTGATCTACCTCCATTAGATCTTAGGCGTGTTAGTTGTAACTAGTAGGCCTAGGCCCAAGTTAATTCCGTATCCCATCCAGTTTCTCGCTCGGAGACGGACGAGTACGGTAGAGATATACTTGTCTAGCCATTCAGTAATACTAGGTGAGAGGGACTGTTGCAACCCCTTATAGGTTTGCGAGGTCTCTCTTCCTAGTAGGCCTCCCTGGCTAAGGATAAATGGCTTAAGAGCCTGGCCTAGGTTTCGGTATTTGTTCTTCTTTGCTTGCTCCGTTGTTGCAAGTGTGTCATATGGGTCCTTCTTAGCCGATTCCTTTGTAAGGGAGATGACGGAGATGTCTAGAAAGACTGAGCCTCTTGGGTTGTCGATTCGGATGTCTGTCCTAGTTCCTCTATAGTCACCTTGGGGTTCAAGGAAGACTTTATTCTCAGGGCACGTCTGGAGGGCTGTTGCAAGGGCCTGGCAGATCTTGTCGTGTTTCACTGTAGTCTGGCGGGTCCTTGCGCGGCAGGCGTCTCCATGGCCAAAGGTGTAGTCCCTATTACAGTGCCTACAAACGTCTTGTTCATCTTCTGGGGCAGTCAGAAGGTGGATCGATAAGGCTGCCGCTATGTCCATGTCTGCAAGGAGTAGGGGTTGTGATGTAGGTAGGGCAAAGAGCCATCTTCTTCCAAGGAAGGATCCGTTCTCCATCCGGACTGCCTCTTGTCTTTGTGACAGCTTTTGCTGGACTCTTGCAAGGCGGGCCTTGTGGATTTTGTCCATTGCGGTGCGATAGACTGTCCTTACAAGTCCCGCGCCTTGCAGGTTGGCGGTATAGGGCCTTGGTGAGGAGCTCGGCTCTTGTTGCACATTCTGGGTAAGGAAGTAGGCTAGGCTTTGTTGTTGGGTTTCGGTTGCTCTAGTCTTGCTTCTCCCCCTCGTCTGCTGCAAGTAATCCTGGTCCTGTTGCAAGTCGTCCTCTAGCGCAGTTCGGGTAGGCGATAGGGAGAACTCGCGGGGAAGTCTCCAGAAGAGCTTTGGTGTTAGGATCTTTTGTAGAGCGATGTCTGCAATTGCCTTTGAGTTTTGGAAGGCTAGGTGGGCGGTCTCGGCATATAGGGTGATGCCTAATCATCCTAGCCTTGCTGGCAGTGCTACAAGGTCTTGATCAAGTGGTCTATTGTCGTAGGATCCTTGGAGGTGTTTGACTGTTTGTAACAGTCTTTGGTCGATATCCTGGAATTTAGTCTGTAGGCCTTCTGGTTCCATTGTCCTAGAGAGGTGCCGGAGTAGCGCGCTTGTGCTTGCTCGAAGCAGTAATAGGGCGTGCTGTTTTGAAAGGTCCTGCAACCGTGCCAGTACTTGTTGCAGTTCTCCTATCTTGCCCTAGAAAAATTCCTTTCTGCTGTCCTGAGGGCCTACAAATGAGCCTAGAACCTTAGGTCCTAACACTAGATTGATTGATTGATCGATTGATCGATTGATCGATTGATTGATTGATTGATTGATTGATTGATTGATTGATTGATTGATTGATTGATTGATTGATTGATTGATTGATTGATTGATTGATTGATTGATTGATTCAATTGATCAGGCTACTTGGTTCTACGGCAAACCTATGAGCCGTCTCCTATTGGTTCTTCCTTCCTCGTCCCTATCTGCCCTTGTGGCTTCCACGATTGTTCCCGTCGACATGTTTCTGGCTGTATGCTCTGCCACGCCTTGAGCAGCAGGACACCAGTTGATCCAGATGCTGCCATGACAAGGTTTACTGGAAAATGAGCGCATATGATTTTTCAGATAAAGATCGCAGCAGAAACAGGAAGGTTTGCTGCAACCAATATAGCAATTTCCATTCCAGAACTCGAGCTCACGACGAAAGAAGTGATCAGCCATCAATACTTCTGCGTGGACCTTGGGCTGGAAAGGATGTTCTTTGCGCTTCTTGAATGCTTCATCAAGGTCAAAATGTTGTTGTTTGAAGAGCGCCCTTGCTGAATCCAGCGCATAATCACGATTTCGGGTGGAGAAGGTCTGCTCCACCGCAGAGGCGATCGTGGAGCTAGCAGGATTGAAATCAAACTTTGTGGATGCGAAACAGTCAACACAGCGGACAGCCGGACTTCGTTTCAACTGTGGATTCTTCATTGCTTTGACTTGTGCCAAGACCCGAGTCGACCTATCAAGTGCCGGGTGGCTTGCGATGCTTTATGGGAACCATCAGGACGGAACTCACACCTGAGAGTCAGGTCACGAAACCATTGCGTAAAGCGGAACTGATAAAATGTAAGACACATTTACTCCAGAGCTTGGATCTGTAGAAGACGTCTGATATGGTTAGATAACTCTTTCGTGTGTAAGCTATATAAGGTCGCTCTTCAAGAGTCTTTCCGACAGAAGGGATTGCAAGTCATAGTCAAGATAGACAGGATCGAACTGAACTCCAGCGACCCCAGGTTTCAGGCAGCGACTGGCATGTCGAAGGCTTACATAATGAGCATATTGTCGCCAACTCTATGTACATCCTCGAGGAGGAGAACACATCAGAGCCTTGCGTCGATTTTCGCCAAGAAACAAGAATGAACCCATATGAATTCGACCACGAACATGACCTCGAAGCTTTCCTGAAAGTCTTCGACGTACCTACAAAGAACAGATACTTGGAGGATCTCTTAGCCCGCCTCCTTCGTTGCAAAGACTGGGATCTGTTGATCTTCCCGTGGGTCGACTGCTCGCCTGGCCGAATGTACTTCATCATCGCATCACGCCATACGAGCTTGTGGACAAGACCAAATGCGGGCGTCGGAGCTTTCTTATCCTGTCTCTTGTGGATCCTTCGTATCGTATCTGCTCGACTAGAAACGTACCTCCACAGGATCATGGTTGGTGGGCAGAGCAGGCCCTCGACGCAGCTCTACCAAGAAACGTCGCCGTACCGCGTGAACTTCTTGACCACATCGACTCGTGCACCGACAAGTGGCCGATGGGCTTGGAAGAAGCAGTGAAGACTAGGGAACAGATGGCAAAAGAACAAAAGGATCACGAACGGGACATAATGAATCGGCCCGCCGATCTATATGACTTCAACTTAGACGACTTCAGTTGGAGAGAGTGGCCTAGTTTACCTTCCATGGATCTCGGAAGTTCATAGTCAATCAGTATTTCTCCAAATACAATCGCGTACTCGAAGTCTCAACTCTGCAAGTCTGGCGTTGGTGGAGGAAATGATGATTTGTGCAGAGCGGTGAGATCTTCGAGTAGATCATTCTAACCGACCACTGACCACGCAGTATCCTAAGCAAGGCACTTGTATCGCAAGCTTGGAATCTCAGACATGATGACGTTGTTTTGTGTCGTCGGCTCCGAGCCATAAAATTGTCTCTTTACTAATTGAAACTTCTCCTCTTCTGCTCTGGCCACTAATAGTGACACCGAGCCTATGGCATTGGCTATACTGTAATATTGAAGCCTCACTTCTTACAGACTGTATAGGAGAATGGACTCACAGAGCGGTGTGACGTGCATTGTGAGCAAGCCCTAACGATATTCTGTAGCTTAGCACCCCAGGTCTTGGATGTGGAACCCAAGAACTTCGCAGCATCCTTAGACATCCCGCGACGGGAGATCGCACAAGTAGTAAGTTCATCTGGATCAGAGCGATCTTTGCTTCCTCCTAGCATAAAACCCATAGTGTCATTTCATGCCGACTAAGGGTCCTCGATGATACTTGTAACGGAGAGTGCGGCATTATCGGCCTCGCCTAATATGGGAAACTTGCGATGTTTGGCCAGCAAGATGTCTCTACCCGAGTGGCTGCGAGACTGGCTGCTTTCCGAGCAGACTATCGCGTGTCTAAGCATATTAGTCATCGTAGCCGGGAGCGGGACCAGCGGGCAATAGTCCCCGTCGTGATTAGTTGCGAGGGCTTAGGGCCCTATATCGACAAAACTGAGGGCAATAGAACGCTGCTAGTGAGACAACTATCTCCTTCCCGTAAGTGTCAGAAGATGATACAAGTAGTAAAACTTTTCGCCCATTACCAAGCGCACCGCATCGCTCCACTGTGTATCGGCATCTTGGTTGGAAAACAGGGTCACGCTGCGATGGCAAGAGGCTCAGAGCTGATCAACACTGTCTTGATGGGTATGATAGGTTGGGCGATCACATCTCCAATCCCGCCCGGCGAAACCGACGGCATCTGGTTCAGGTAGCAGGATGGACCAGACTTCGGTCAATCAATTTTCGCACATTCCAGGGCGGGTGGGACTCCCTGCGTTTCTCTCTTGATTCAGCTAGTCTTGCACCCACCGCGTAGCCTTGAGCGGGGACTGTAGTGAGATGAGCTACTTTTGAGTTAGTAGCAAGGGATAATTTGACACTCATTTGTCAGCACACAGCACAGAAAAGAACTACTAGCGCAGCTTGTGTCTCTGTCACACTATCGGGTTCAGCTCGCTTCGCCAGCTCTGACGAACAGTTCTTCCAAGTTCGTGCCTGAAGAGTATTCAACTCTTCTGCGTTCCCAAAACATATTTGAATGAGTTTCCCGACAGAAAAAAACGTCAACGCCAATGCATCTGGACGTCCGACTGTAGCAGAGGCCGAGTCGCTCACATGGAGGACTCCCAGATTGAAACCCTCTCAGGCCTTAGCGTGATGCCACCTCATGAGTCTGTCTGCAATGCAGAATGATCATCTATGTCCAATCACGCATGCCTACACCCATTGGCGGGGTTGACGGTGCCGAAAATTAGCTGCAGCGGGGAGCAATCCTATGGCTGCCGCCAGAGACAGCTATCACACGCCACAGCCTGACTGACTCCATTGGTGTGAAATTGTGCATGAGGTATATGGCTGATGGAAGGAGATAAAAGATCAAACCGGTCCCCTCAGAGATAATGGTGGACTTGTGTCAATCACTCCACTAATCCTCGGTACCTTCTCCTCGAGGTTCGTATTCTGCTTTCGTTTCCGACAATCGATTCTTTCCAGCCTCCCAGAGGTAAAAGATACATGAGCTCAGACGCTGATAGTTGTCATAGCTTTGGAACAGAAAACAATGCCATCCCCAGCAACAAGATGTGCAAAAGAGGGTTGCAACAATTGGGCGGCAGGTGGATCAAAGTTCTGCGCATCCCGTAGGTCATCAACAGCAATTTTCAAATTCTCTTCGACTGACCCTGATTCTAGACAAGTAACGAGCGAGAATCGTCTCACAACCATGGAAGCCGAGAAGAAGCATTGGCTAGAGTTTCCTGTTCTTGAGTGACATAGCCCTGCACTTGGGTTTCTTCTCAATCACTCTGGGGTTAGATGTGGGATGATAAGTCGGCTGCGGCTATAGGTTGTCAAAGAGTTCTGTTTGGATCTTCTATCCACAATCTATGTCAGAAGAAGAATAAAGCCTCTCCGAGAGGACGTCTGTCTTTCTATGATGGCAGAGATGAATTTCCTTAGCAATGTTTTTCGACTCAGCAAAACACGGAACCATTCAAGCTCGTAGCTATTGTGAAACGCCATAGGACATTTGATACAAAGTGAGTTTCTCTCAGTACCACATGCGCTGCCACAATCCCGCTGTATCGTCATTGCAGATCGCTAAATGGTCTGTGCACGTGCGTCGAGAGTGTCGCATGTTCGATACGCTGGCACCATAGGACGACGGCTCCTTGCGGGCACATGAGCGTGCTCACCCTTGTTCGTCTTTTGACATGTATCGTCTTTTCCTCTTCCGCAAGAACATCGAAGCGACAGACCACCGTATCCATTCCTTATCATACCGACCCGCACATTGTGACGCCGTCTGCAATGGAGCAGTCGATGTGGCCTTGCGACAAGATGCAATGCAACAAACCCGCCGTGCGCGTCCTTGGTGACTGCGTGATTTGCGGGAACCATTTCTGCGTTGAACATCTCCAGGAACCTTTCCATGCTTGCCCCTCCCTCAAGGTAGGATGACGTATGCGGTTCCTAAGAAAGTTTTACTTACCTACAGCTCAGGATGGTGATCTCTACTATCAGCGGCTTACTGAGGCAGAGGATAACGAGCTTGCGCAGTTACTCCGCCGAATCGACTTTGAGCAACTCGGAGCAAGAGCAAGTTCCGTACGCAACGGAATTCCGTGTCGAGTCGAAATGCCTTTGAACGGAAGAGATACAAGGTATCTCATGATGGGAGGTATGAACCTTCACGTGAGAATTATCTTCGAAGACAAGATTACTTGGATAGCCCGTATCCGTCGGTCCAATGCGACATCGCCGCCACCACAATTACGAGATCGCATTCTTAAGAGTGAGATTCAGACGCTGCTTTTCCTCGAGAAAACCAACATACCCACACCGAAGGTATGGGGCTATGCTCTAGAGGGACAAGAGAACCCTGTTGGAGTCGGCTACATACTCATGGACTGTATGCCAGGCAAGGTCCTCGATTGGTCTTCAGCATCCCAGGAAAGAAAGAGGAAGATCATCGCACAGCTTGCGGATATCTACATCGAGCTGCGCAAACATTCATTCTCGATGATCGGTGCCATAGAGCAGGCCGACGAGAAACGTGTGGGTCCCCTTGCTCGAGAATGCCTGACTGATTTTGCAAGCTCCGACATCAGGCCCCTAGGCCCCTTCGCAAATCTGCAAGACTATTACAGAGCCTCGATTGGACTACTGCTAGATCTCATCCATCGCGAAGAGATTTACACGGATAGCCCAACAGACATGTACTTGCTCTATAGAGACCTGTACGAGATTGTGCCAGAATTATACCCTGAGACGGCAGCGGCTCATGTGGAGACATATCTGAAGCACGCCGACGACAAAGGAAGCCACGTTCTTGTTGATGATGAAATGAACATTACCGGAGTCATCGACTGGGAATGGGCTTATACAACAGCGGAGCGCGTGGCATTCATTTCTCCAATGCTGCTTCTCCCTGTTTCAGACTTCTTCAAGGGACAAGGCGTGATTGGTGAGGAAGAAGAGCTGTTCGCCAAGTGCTTAGAAGAAAAAGGCGTCGAAGATATGGCGAAGTTTGTGCGAGATGGCAGACTGCACCATCAACTTGCCTTTCTGTGTACGTTTGATCTTGGTCTGAGTGTCGAAGATTTGCAAGGCCTGTATACGGGATTCCGAAACAGTATGTCGGATGGTCACCAACACACTTGGAAAGAATGGAGACAGCAGTCTCTAGAACGGTTTGAACAGGATTCCAGACTGAGAGATATCCTAGAAAGATTCGAAGAGTGATTGATAACACTTCCCCAATGTATTAGCAGCGACTTCCATTAAAATCAACCCTGCTTCGCTCGTGTATCCTCATTCCAATCGTCAGAAACCTGATCATTTCCTCTATAGGAGATGTTGGCAAAAACTGTGATTGAATTTTGAGATAAATGAGCGGATCACGAAGTCCTTACTGCATCTGCTCATGCTACATCGACAACACGTGCATCCACTCTAGCAGGAACACATACACCGAGCAATTACGAAAGTGAAGAGATGACGTCAAGGAAAGGCTAGAGTGACAATTGATCAACAAGTCGCTCTGATCATTCTGTGGAGAAAACCTGATCATTACTTAGTGTACTTATGGCCATTGTACTCACGTGTCTAACATTTGCCATCTTAGTTGTTGATCAGCGCAAAAACAGATTTTGATGTTCCTCGAAAGCCGACAAAGTCGACAAATTCGACGATTATCGCCAAGCTGCGCGTGCACCGGCCGCTCATGCAGGCATCTTATCAGTCCGCGCCTCGCATTTCCTCTTCTAGCTTATTGCCTGTTGGTCCATGAATTGAATATCCATAGAGTGGAGAACAACGATCGGAACGTAGATGAGGGTCTAAGCTATACGATGAGACGTAGAAAGCTAGCAGGAGGCAGGAGGGCCCGCCAGCCTTGGCGGCCGTCACGTGAGTTACAGACAGCTAGGGACAGGGTCGTAGCTCAGTCATGGTTTTAACAATAACGTAGTCGTAGCATGTATTCGTATACAGTCCAAGAATAATCATACGTAACAAGGAACCCTTTCTTAGTCCGATAGAGTCATTTTCTAGCATTGCTATAGACTGCGCTAAGCTCCCTAATAGTCCTTCAAATTATGTCGTTCAATCTAACGATAATGGCACTTATATCATCCTGGACAGGATGTATTTAATTACAAACTGGCAACCATTCCTGCGCCATGTTATGATCGCTTATGTTAGCGCCGTTTGAAACGCCGACAGGATCTAGAACGCCCCTCATGCCTAAAATCCTGCCTCGTAGGCCCAGCAGCTTGGATTATCTCCAAGACAGTCCCCACAACGCCGAATCGTCACGTAAAATACCTCATCAAGAATACAGCATTAATTCCATACAAGCACGATATCAACATTGCGAGAATATGGCAGATCTTGCCGTAAAGAATGTGCAAGCGGTGTTGATTGTTCACCTCGTGCTGATCCAAGACTTATGAATCGGTCGCAAGTGTGGTATTGAAGTCTTCTTGCCTGTGCGTAAGATATTGTCAAATTAACCCAGGTCGCAGGCCTCTGTAGCCCAGATTGACACTTGGCATCCGCGAGTCCACGCCCTTAACACTAGCCAGATTGGAACCGAATCATCACACAGAGAACTTCTCTGCATTCATGGCGAACATCCTCCAGCTAGGAAAACGCAGCTGGCTCGCGTGTATGCGAATCCGGAGCTCCGTCGGATTCATCACACTGACCGTCTCACTCGCCGTTTTCACTGATATCTTCCTCTACGGTGTGCTAATACCAGTCATTCCCTTCGTCCTGACATCCAGGATTGGTCTGGAAGAAACGGAAGTTCAGAAATGGGCATCTGTCTCATTGGCTGTCTACGGCGCTGCCATGTTCTGCGCATCGCCAATTTGCGGATGGGCTACAGACCATGTCCGCTCACGTCGCACTTTCCTGCTTGTCGGCTTGGTTGCACTAGGTGCAGCTACGTCGTTACTGCTTGTCGCAAGGAGTCTGACTCTTATCATCATTGCCAGGGCTTTGCAAGGCATCAGTGCTGCAGTAGTCTGGGTCGCGGGGCCCGCGCTTCTAGCGGACAGTGTTGATCCTGACCAGATCGGTTACTTCATGGGTTTCATAGGAGACTCAATGGGACTGGCGATTATTGCAGCGCCGGCGGTAGGAGGAGTAATCTTTGAGAGGTGCGTCGGCTATCTGAGCAACGAAGAAGGATCATTTGAACGCTGACCATGCTCGNNAAGGATTGGGTACAACGCGTTGTTCTACGTCTGCCTCGGTCTGATAGGTCTCGATGTGCTGTCTCGTCTGTTGGTCATTGAAAAGGAGCGAGCTCGAGAAATCGATGTTCAACACGGTAGAGACGAGCCTGATGTCGTGTACGGAAGCGAAATCACCGCTGCGAAGCAAGAGAAGCCATCGCTATCACCAGTACAGAAGCTCGCATACGACAAGAAAGCTTCTGCGGTATCCACGATCTCGGATGAGGATGCTTGTGGGACTGTGACGGATACAAACGACTGGAGAGGTCATTTAGGGCCCTTACTCGCCCTTGTGCGCTCATCCCGCTTGGCTGCCGATCTTTTGGGCTGTTTGGTTCAGGCTACACTTTTCACCTCGTTCGAATCCATCCTCCCACTCCAGATGCACGAAACTTTCCGATGGGGATCACTTGAGGTCGGTTTGATCTTCCTCCCCTTGACCTTACCCTCTCTCACATCCCCTCTAATCGGCTGGTTGACCGACCGTTATCATGCCAGGTGGCCTTGCATCATAGGTTTCACTCTCGCAGCACTATCACTTTTCTCGCTCCGTTTCGTGATAAACGACACAACGAGAGACAAAGTTCTGCTTTGCTCTCTGGTCGCCAGCGTCGGCCTAGCACTGACACTTGTCCTCATACCATTGATGGCAGATATCATCCTCACTGTCAACGAATTAGAGGCAAAAGGACAGCTAGGACCCTGCACAGGTGGTGCATATGGCCAGGCATATGCCTTGTTCAACATGTCGTACGCAGCTGGATCGGCCGCAGGACCCCTTCTGGCTGGTATGGTGAGAGCACGTATGGGCTGGGGAGCTACCACGTTGATCCTCTGTTGTCTAAGTGGGGCAAGTATCATACCCATGGCATTTTGGGCGGGTGCTTCTAGACCCTTGGAAGTCGAGAAATCCGAGAGCGCTGCCTAATGCCGTGATGGACTTTGTACCTGGGAAAGCCAATAATTGTAGGTGAGATATCCCTCCCCTACCTCCGGACCCTCGATCTGGGATACTAGTCACGGAGGAAAATCTCTATGTGGAGCGTGGAGTGTTGGACATGACGTAGCAGAGGGTAAACGAGATATTATAGCGCTTACACGAAATGTGATGTTTGGTCACTAAGTTTATCGTCGGACAAGAACAACAAATCGACTGCGAAGCTCTCGTTCACCATCACGCTACATGTAAGAAGTAGAAATTGAGGACTGCCCGTATGTATAGTTTAGTCAGCATCAATAACTGAAGACAAACGGAAGACCCGCAGACACTGGCCAGATAAATTTTTGTCAGTCTCAATCTACGCATGCAGGAAGTGTCCGTTGGCAAATATGTCGCATGACACAAAACAGATCAAAAGATGTTGAAGTTGAAACCATGACTGGAAGCTCTGCGGTATTTAATGAGTGTGTACACCTTTCCCTCCAACGGCATTATGTATCAAGCGTAGCTCGACAAATCCGTCGTCCTTAGTGATGCTGAATCTACCGACATGTCTCCCCTCTCATATCAAACTCGACATTCCTGAATGTATCTGTCGAACTGCTCAAAGATTGAGCGTGGTTCTGGTACGACCCTCTGGTCGCCAGAATCAACCTCTCCACGCTGTGCGACTGAGCCGCTGACAATCGCGGGAGACTCGCTCCAGTGCGCTGGACCGTTCGCTATCTGTCCAATTTCTTCCACTTTGACTGAAGCCTGCCTATGACAGGGCTCCTGTCCAGACATTCTGTTGATTACTTAGTATTACAGGCCATTTCCTTGGCGCGATCATCTTGAACGTACTCAATGCCATATTCGTAGACAGTACCGAGCATTGTGTGAGTAGGTTCCAGCCCGAAAGAAGATGTACTGGGCTCGAGTTCGAGGGGTGATATGGGTTGGGGACTGGGCACATGGCATGTAGCTTTATACCTCGGGGCTGAATCTCTGGCACTGTCCAATCTCGAGGGTAATTTATCTAATTACCGCGTTTACGGATTTACAATACATTCGGAAGGCGTCAGTGCTCCAGACTTCACGTTGATACACCAAGGCCGCATGATGCCTCGAGCGTTTCCTCCGAGATTTTAGATTACACGCATTCCTTCCATTCACTTCCGGTTATGATCTGATACAAAAGGAACAACCTTAGTAATTTTGGTGCATTCCGTGTCTTTCGTGGCGGATTCAAGGCCGTCATATGAGCGTGGTGAGACATCCCCAATACATTACCAAGGGCATGAAGCGTTGATACGGAAGTATCGGACCAGAAGACATGGCAGTAGGCTCTTCTTTGCGTTCCGCCGTGATAGAATCTAGTCAAAGCTGATCCACAGAGTATTTCACGGGCGCTATTGGCTATTGGCTATATTCCTGGTCAACGCTGTATGACCAACAGGATCGGTCTTGAACAATCTAGAGCATGCCGGTGTTGAGCGGCGATGGTCGTCAGAAAATTCTGGCTCTTGTACATTCTCGTATCTCATAAGTTACCTGACTATCAAAAGTTTGAGAAACTTGATAAACAATTGCGCTCGCTCTATTAAGCTTGAAACTGATATGTACTAGTTGAGAGCAAGCTGCCTTTTTCATCTCCGCTCCATCAAAGACACGTTAGACTATGGCACACGGTGCGCATCTCTTATCAGGCATTGCATCAAGGGCGTTCCTGCTTGGTTTCATGTGGGCCATATGTTCAACGACTGCGTTATTTTTAGGACTCCAGGACTGCGGATGGTGGAGATTACCAGCATACGTCTCGACAATGTCAATGTTCCATTTCCTCGAGTTCTATGCCACCGCACGCTGGAATACCTCGAGAGCAGAAATTGAGAGCTTCCTCCTGTCGACTCATGCTTGTATGTTTGCCCATCTTTGCGGGATCTCAGAAATCACAATCACCTCTCGCTACTTCCCGGACTGGCACGCTCGACTCATCACACCGCGCACAAGTGTAGGAGGTGCCGTTCTGACCATCCTGGGTCAGCTCGTGCGTACATCTGCTATGGTGCAGGCTGGGCACAGCTTCAACCACCAGATTGAATACCGAAGAAGACAGGATCACAAACTTATCACTACTGGACTGTATTCTTGGTCACGTCATCCCAGCTATATCGGCTTGTATTTTATTTTCGTTGGCATACAAATCATGGTCGGGAACAAATTTTCAGCGCTTTTTATTGCATGCACTCTTTGGGTCTGCTTAAAGAAGCGAATCCGATGTAAGTCTGTCTTGAAGGAAATATAGTTTTTGCGACTGCTAAATTGTCCCTCTNNAGTCGAAGAAAGTTGTTTGATGGACAGGTTCGGACTCGAATATGATACATACACAAAGCAGGTTTCCTGTTTTCCTAGCGTCACTCATGTTATCTGGATGATAAGCAGATGCGGATGGTGGAATCTGTGCATGGGCAATCGGAACAGTAACAGCAGTCCAGATGCCAATATCCGAGTTCATGTCCAGTAGCGAGGTGGAGGAAGAAAGGAAAGATACAAAGATAGATTTTGTTGCCAATGAGAGGAATCTAGGATACTGATCCGGCGGTGTGGGATCGCGTGAGTTCTCATCTATGAGGGCCCGGCGCTTCGATTCCTGTAAACTAATCTCGGCTAAATGCTAGTTGGTGCTTTTGACGCCACTCGAGCATCTATTTTCGCAACTCCGCAAAGGACTTGGCTTAGCTATGACCAACACCTTCCTTCCTCTATCCCATCCACCTACCCTTCTCGCTTGGCCTTCTCGTCGACTCCCACCCACAGGACAAGCAGTTTTCTTTGCTTACCCCGCAAGGCCCAAGCACAACATGGGCGTAGCCGAAACACAGAAGATCTCCGAGAGGGATGAACCCGTTTTAGGGCAACAGGGTCAAATCGGCAGTCCCCCTCCACGATCTCCCAAGCGCTCAAAGAAGTCAGGTATTGCGTCTCAAACCTCGCAGCAGCAGCCTCAGGATATCCAACAACAACCCGTTCAACCCAGGAAGGATGATAGAGACAACTTTGTGGGCTTAGGTACCAGAGATTCGAATACCCTCATCAAGGACATCAACGTGTGTGGCACACAAACAGAAGATGGCTTGTGCCAAATGTTAAATGCCAAGCGAATGCTTGTACACCGGGAGCTGTCGGCGCGTGAACACGGGTATCTAGAAGTTCAGCCCTGGATATCTGCCTCTGAGCCGCCTGTGCCTCGGCGCGAAGGAGTCGGCTGCTCACCTGGGAAGCATAAGGATGCCGTCAGCCGGAAGCTGGTGAGAAGAACTCATGTACGATGGTGAACTTTAGAACCGCCAGTACATGTGGCAAGAACTCACTGTGCCAGCCACCCATAGCGCTCGGGCATACAACGCCGAACAACTTACACAGGGCGCCGCTACTATAATAAGTCTCCATACGAAGTGAACCGTTACACCGCAAACCGAGAGCTACAGTCCATATCGCCAGCTATCTACCAGACCGAGTCAAATGATCTTGCTTCGTCAAATATCATCCTCCTCGACCAGCAGACACATTTTTCGAGTGCCATACCGCTCTGAATAAGGCTCGTCACAAACCACCTTGCCGCCATGTTTGTATAATTCATTCTGACTTTCATCGGTTGGAGATCTTGCAGAAGGATCATGCCACCGATCGCTTGTGTTTTGCATCAAACAGTAATTGATATTATCAAAGATTAGCTCATGAATTGGATCTCATCAGAGTTGGTCTTCACGCTCGAAGGCAACGAGTATGTTGTCAATGATGATGAAATTGGTGAGGTCTCAGGAATGAGTTTCATGGAGAAAGATCTCGATCCTCCTTCTATAGGTAACTACCTACTCGTTGTCACAGTCAAGATCTGAGACCTCTTCTGGAGTCGAGCCTCGCAAAAGATTCTGTCCGACATCTCATTGCTTGGCATTGTGCATGCCTTGTATCGCGGTGCGTTCAGAGTCAAGTGCAGAATCCTTGCAGAAACTGCCGTCTCGTGAGTCGAGACACCGAGCTACAGAAAGAGCGATCGCGAAAAAGCTCTATGTGACAAGGCTGAACGGCATAATCAACGCTCTCTAGTCTCTAACGATACACTGCAAAGTATACACAGAAACTAGAAACTCACTCCAAATCAACCGTGGCACGAGAAAGGCATCAGATAATCCCGATTGGGATGTTCAGATTCTGAGGGGACGCTATCTTCGTTTGTGGTCCTTGCCACATAGCTGGAACCGGTCATATATACAACTAGTGATCTGCTTGATCAGAAGCAGAGCCTCCATCTTCGTGCTCGCTGTCTGGATCCCCAAGCATTCTAAGGAGCCTCAGCTTCTTCGCGCGGTTATTTCTCGTTGACCATTGAGGTCTCTGCGAACTTGCATACCTTGGTTTGCTGAAGGTTCAAGTCAATGGACTTTCGGTCATGAGACTGATGACTTCAGTCTCCTTCGTCTGACCGATACGGAGGACTTTCGCAAAGGACTGTCCATGTTCTTCATTCTGCACCTAGGATATGATGAAGGAGCAAGTGGTCTTGAGACTACAAGCTGGTTCAGGGAAGCTGGCCCTGATCTAACATCGCATGTTCGCCGGCTGCAAGTCAATTTTGGGGTTACCTGGTCGGACGATTCTCGCACTACCTTCGCATCCTCGAGCTTCGAGCTTAGAGCTCGTGTGACTGGTTCTGCCGGTATACACATTGCAAGTATCGCAAGAAGGCCGGCTCGAACTGTCACAGATCTACGACACAATATTCGACAAACGAGTATTCAGCGATGTGAAGGATAAAGTTGGACGAAGTCTTGAAATTGGTTCAACTAGCCTAATGGGCATCGATGATTTCAAGATCATGCACGAAGTGCTGCAGCAATATCACCCAGGCTTCGTTAACTCCAAGCATCTTCAGGTTCACTGAAGCTCTGCATGGCTTTCTCTAAGAGGCAGTGGGGTGAACAGGACAGTTCTGTCAGGAGGGCACTATTGATAGCCGGCAGGAGATGGTCGCATCCACGCGTGCATTGACGAGCATCACGATTAACGCCATCACACAGACATTAGCCGATTGTGAAGTCACTAGAGACATACTTCAGAGCCTGCTGGGTTGATGGACGTTTTCTGAAAAAGTGAGGGTTATTATGATGTTTTTCGCTTGCGCACATCTTCGACCGAGGTTGGTGTTATCATGGCTGCGGGCAGAATACTGTGCATCAAGACTGCATTCGGAGAAGGATTTCAACCATCATGGATAGCGAGCTGACTTATGAAGCAAAGGCTTGCCATGCAGTGTTAGCCCTCGGACAAGTAGACATTGTTGTAGATGGTACGAGTAAAGTCGTTATCAGTAGCCTGTTCGATAGAACGTCTTCGGACACTTTCCCAAGACATGAGCCTGCGATCGACCATCAGATCTCCCAAGATCTGCTGATTGAACACATCGTGGTCTGTGATGCTCTTTTGATCAATTCAAATGGGGGTAGCCCGGAGGTATAAATGTGGAGAGAAGATCTGCGAAAGTTGCAAAGCTTTCTTTTATACATGGCCGCTTCAAGCCTTGCCTTGCAGTCTCCAGTCCGTAATCTCAAGTCGTATATATAATGAACGTAGACTATCTACCTTTGCGTGCCTATGAACTTCCTAATTGGCTCGTGGTCTATGAGCCGAGGCAGCGACGTGCAAGTGACAACTGAAGCAGCCCGGGCTTGTATGCAGATGTGTCCAGAACGACAAATCTACACGTGTTGTGAGGTGCAGGTGCTGTAGAAGCAAGCAAATTTGATTTCAAGAGGCCTGTAGAAGCAAGCAAAGTTGATTTCAAGAGGCCTCTAGAGTTCTCTTGCACTTGCTTGACACTCAAGCCTAGAGAGCGATGCTTCTACGTTACGATGTTCAATTTTTCTCGAGCCAATCGAACCCGTGTTCCGTCAAATCTCACTTATTCGTGATCCATCCATATAGGTCTTGCACCTGAGCTCCAGTCTGGCGTGTTACCTGTAGCAAAGCCAGACGCGCCGAACTCGTAATCCCATTCGCTAGGACTGTCACATTCTGTCTCGGACCTGGAGAGCACAGGCAGTTTGTATTCGAGACGCATGAAAACCAGCTCCTCGCCGCGATACGTGAAGGATTTATCGAGCGGGAGTTCCCAAGGAGCAGCCACACGATACATCGAGTATCCCCACTCTGGAAGACCAGCCGCAGGCGCCATGCCTTGCTGAAGATGTCTGCGACGGGGCCAGATGTGATTCTTGTTCATCTCGAACAGCGGCGTGTATAGGCTGCAGTCGACCTGAATGACAAGATTGCGGTCTTCTTCATCGTCAAGGTTGACTAGGGTACCCTCTTCCAGGAAGATACGCTCGACAAAGTCTTGAAATCTCTCGTCCATCTCTGCTTCGTCTCGACCATATTCGATAACAGATATTTCCAGTTCCGACCATATCCCGATGAACTCCCGATTTGGTAATTCGACGATAGATTCGGCAATACCATAGAATGGATCTAAGGATAATCAGAGATTGGTCGGCTGAGCAGAGTTGAACAGTGCTTGGTATGACTTACTGATGTCTGGGAGCTTCCAATGAGCGTGAAACTTGTAGACGACGTTGGTCAGCTTGGCCAAGACTGTGGTCGGCAGATGCAACCACTGAGACAGCAGAGGTAGCACCGGCTCTTCTTCTTCTTCATCACCGTCATGTGCTTCATCTTCCAGACTTGAACGTTCTTCACAACCATAATTGATCCATAGGACGGATTTTTGAAGACATAGAGGCCAGTATTCGCTACGGACCTGCTTGTTGACCTTGAGAAGATTCGAGTAATGCATGTTGTTGAGGTACACATCCTCGACCTCGAATCTTTTGGGCTGTGTGAACCTGATGCGATTCTTCTTGTTGTCCATGAGCTCGTCGTAAATCATGCGTCGGACTTCTCTAGGAATGTCGAGAAATCGAAACGGTTTTCCTGGAGTTGCATTCTCCATGACGAGCGTGAAGACGTGTCAAGACAGAAATTTGCGCGTGATAAGAACGGGACGGTTGTCATGTGGAGGTGAGCTTTGTTGCCTGGCATGTTTCGCGACTTGTAAGTCATGAAGTGCTGTCGGAGGTTCGCACGGACCTCCGCCGAACGCTACTGCAGTGTGAGATAACATGAGACGATGTGTGTTTTCGTGTTCCAGTCTGTTGTAGTAGTCTTGCAACAAGTGACGCTGTAGATGACATCCTTCATCCAGACACATAGTCGAGGCTGCATTGTCTCTCGCATAGGCAGCATCTAGGATCAATCGACCCCTCATTCTATAGTGCAAGAGAACAAGGTGGACTGTCTTGTACGCGGCTCCAGTGTTGAGCACAAATCCCCGAGTGCGGTCCATGCTCACAACAAGCAGTGCGGGTCACTTACTCTCAAACCTGACGTTTTTCCAAGCTACGCACTCCTTCAATCGGTCACGCCCTCCCGGGAAGTACCATAACTCCTCCGCTCTTTTCTTGTCGCACCATCAGCGAAAATGTTCTCTCGCGACATCTCTTACTTCGATCGCTTCCCCAACTTCGACCACCACCCTCGTTGTAGCATCCGCACCGAGTTCAACCGCTTGGCCAAGGCTCAGAAGTGGGACTCTGAGGAGATCAAGCGCGAGAGAGCCAAGTGTTACAACGAAGAACTCGAGGGCCACTTCCATCGCCTCGGTATAGTCGACCAACTTGAACGTCTGAAGCATCTTTGCGAGGAACTTGGAATTGAGCCTTGCAACTCTAATGCCGGCTGCAGGAAGGTGAGACTGTCTTCACCAATAGTCACTGCGAGAATTCTGCTAACCGGGTTGAGCTGTAGNATTCTAAGGCAAACTCATGTCAACCTCGTTGACCTCATGGATGCTCGCCGTGACGATGACAAGAAGGTCGCAAAGTTTAAGACCTTCAAGGACCTTAAGGAATACTCTCACAAGACTAAGAAGTTCTTCCCCTTGGATGAGGCTAAGGGCGAGACCATTGAAGTCCTTCTCAGAAGACTGAAGACAATCAAGGTCTAGGCAGGCTGAGTAATTACCTTGGAGTGAGGTGGAGCGAAATGGGACGGGGCAGCGCCTCGTATAACTCACGGAACCATTCTAAATGTTTATTGTAAAGATGAGGGTTGTACATATCTCGTTCAGCTCGGAACAGAATAAATGAGGGAAGTGGAGGCAATTGGGTGGACTGAAAACTGGTGGAAGTACAGAAAAGTGATTGGAACGTGAAATCATCTTAATCAACTTCCGGAAGGGTGGGCGATGACCGGGAAAGGTAGTAAGACCGAGGGTTTAGCATTTTGACTGATAGTGGTTCTGATTGCCCTGCTCTCTTGGCCTCGAGTCACGGCAAAATCAACAGGGGCCACCATGATCAAAAGCATAGTGCTCACTGGAAGAATTTTACAAGACACGGTATATCTCGCGTGGCTATGGAGTATAGTGCAAGTGCTTTGATGAACTAGTTACTTTGGACGTTAACGGTATTGAAAATGTGGTTCTCCAGAACGAAGCCAGCGACAGCGACCCAGTCCGAGTCAACGACGGCACCATGACCGACAACAAGCATCTAATCCAAGGCAAATCCACGTCTGCTTGTATGTCTACGACCGATGGCGGTTTGCAATCAACAAAGGACAATCACTCGCAACTAATTCTACTGCTCCAGAAGGGTCTCTCTAACTGTCTATCATATCTTTTGTTCGCTCGGCTCTGATACCTAAGCGGCGACTTTTTCTTTCCTGCTTCTCTACGTAGAGCCTTCCAGCCTTTTCTCAGATCTTCCACAAAGGCATAGATGCATTCCGCCGAATTTGCCGCATTGTTGGATCGCCACTTTCAAGCTATGGCGATCAGCATCGTTTTGGCGGTTTCTGGTGTGACATTCGTTCTAGCGTCGCCACACGTGCCATGGTTCGTCAGATCTATCTCGGGTTGAGATCCAGCTCGAAACATTATCTGGAAGCTCCACTGCAGGTACAGCAACCACATTCGAGCATGGCGGGTATTAGATAGTATCTGTCTTCCAATAACGGACTCATAGACATGGTTTCAACCATGCTAAAGTCTGCAACGGTTACTTCTGCCCACATTCGCAGGGATGCGGAACATTGCCATCATGAGGAGAACAGTTACCACTCATGCAGAATGAATAGAGCTGTAGATCACTCGCTGGTTGAGTGATGTCTTAGGTCCAAGAACTCGACCGGCGTCATTCGCAAATCCGGTGCGTGTTTGTTCACACATCAGCGCGAGGACATGCCGCAGTTTTAGTTCCGCTCGAACCATCAAAGGTTCCTCGAGGATTCTGTATCTCAACTGCAGTAAAGGTGATCGTAGAAGTGTAGAAAGATGTATAGTTTTTCTTCTGATCAGTACCTTGGACGGCTTGATGATGGCTTTCGCTTGGAGGTGTTATGTCGATGATTGGTCTGCTTGGTAGGCTGGTAAGAACTTCAGATTATCACACGATCAATCGTCACTTCGCGTATCGCATCGATCACACGGCTTTGCAACAAGCAAAGCGGAACCGGATCCTGGATGAGACTTGCAAGAACTCCCTTGGAGCAGAGGAAAAGTGAAACATGATCGCAGAACTGGTTCATACAAGTCATGTAGTCTGTACACTTGCGGCACCGAGTTATGATTGGGGCCGGGTGAATGTTCCGAGTATTAGCACTGATGACAAGTAGCTTGGATGTTCCAGTTCAACTGATAATCTGGTCGTACATGGTTACAGTTGATCATGAATCACATAAAGCAATGGCTCAAGCACAAGATATGGAAAGAACTGGTCTTCACTTCTGATATCTGATCAATGAATGCATGGGATATCTGATTGAGCTGTGCCGTTGGGGACCAGCCTTCCTCGAGGCGTGGATCCGTATCTGACATATCGCATGAGTCGGCTACGGGTCAGATCAAGCCATAACCTGAAACCCTGGTCACATGTTGCGCGACTGATAAGGGGCGAAAGCTGAGTGTCGAGTGCTTTTTCGGTGTCAGCTGTTGCGCGAAGACACGCCGCGCGCGTCAGTCATACCTTGTTCAACCTGGATGTAGCGTATGATACGATTTGATTGTATCTCATACTGTGCGCAGGACGGCGCCTTAGGGCTTGAACAGCCACGAGGTGATGACTGTCGCAATGACCAGAGCAATCTGTGCCAGGGCGATATTTCTGTGGGCCATAGTATCTGCCGGACCAATCGAGGCGACTCAACAATCGTCGGTATGGCTGTCGACAGGTCCAGCTGGGTGCCAGTCAATGGTGTGGCCAGACAGGGATGGTAGCATGACGGGGTCAGAATCTGGATAGGTCGTGCAAAGTAAATCGAACAACATCATTCGGTCGTGAATGGTGTCGCGCGGTAGCTGTGAATGTCGGGACTTCGTGGTACAAATCCAGAAGGTGTGATGGATATTGTTTAGAAAGCGCGATGGACCTTGTACTGAAGATCGATCTAGCCGCGCAGTCAGAGTTACTAGCTGCGCAACCAGAACAGCCGCGCATAAATTAAATCATCACACAATCTTCACTTTCTGCACGGCTTCTATGATCTTGAAGCTTTCTACATAGTAGATCAAATATCTCTGCCTCTGTTGACTTGCGTTTGCTCAGTATAGCAAACGCCAGGCATGCGGGAGCGTCCAACGCCGCTTTAAGAATCTTTCGCAATTAAAACTGTCAACAGAGCCCGCTCTGCGAGTTCCGTTCTGTCACGAGCTTACATTGCATGAACTGCAGTCAACCATCTTATCTTCGTTTGTTCTATATTTTCGATAGTGACCCCATTCCATCACCTGCACTTGTCGTCTCTGGCGGATGTAAGACGTGCACTAAAACGAGAACGTCTGCAACCACTATACATCTTGCACGAGGCTGCAGATCCACGGCACTTTGTTCCCGGCGCCTTTCTCGTTTCTGTCAATCCAGAGCAGCACAAACATAAGCATTATATCGGAATGGAGGCATGCCAACGTAATGCCACCCGTCTCTACTATGGTCGTCCTGTTCTCGGCTCAGGCCCACACCATCCACCACACCTTTTCGCCGTGGCGTCCGGTATTGTCTGCGGACGCCACAAATCCATCCGCCCCCTTAATCCTACGTCACAACATGCCACCTCGTTTAACTTCGTCGTCTTTGGATACACTCACCCATCCGATCCAGAAATCGTTACATACGTTGCATGGATATCCGAACCAGCCGAGAGCAATGCTTCGTCACCACTTCTCGAAATGCAAACCTGACAGCGCCACGTTGACCATCCGCTCTACCCAGCTACTCCATTGTACGCAGTGTTGAGCCAAAACTACTCGGTGTTCTCACTGCCAGACCCACTTCATCGACCAATGCTGTCCAGCTTGACATAGCGGCTACTGACATTGCATGAATTTCAAGGTGGTTCGTGGTCATGTGAGACCATGATCTGGATCCTGGACACGTAAAGTCAAAGCTCAAGCGCACCATGAGCCGAGCTCAAGAAGAGAGCATTGATCCCCCTTTCGGAGATGCGACAACTTAGGGAAGATCCAAGACGGATGTTCTGGAGCCTTGCCTGTATGGGCGAATTCAAGTGCAATCCAGGTGTCAGATTCTCGGTATCGACCTGTGTAGACTTCTGTTGCAATACACGACGTCAGCACTTGGAGGCAGCGTAACGGTCAAGCAGAATCTCTAGGACGAGTCTTGGGCTGATACTCAGACTGCGCTTACGTATCCAGCCAGTTGCGATGTTGTTTTCAGAAACAGGTTAGGCAAAAAAGAATAGAATGGACGAGCATGTAAAGACCGGTGGAGCAGCATCTATTAACAACTTGCAAGAGGAGAGAAGTTGGTATCGAAGCGAAACATCCACAGTCCCTGGAAGAGGAACAGGGTACCACCGAGGAATGGAATGACAACATCAAGCGCACTGTAATCTGGCAATCTCGCAATGCAAGCTTACTGAACGCTATACGTGCTGCCCAGTAATCTTCATACAACGGGTCTACGCTCCCTCCATTTCCTCGATCTTATAAACCATACGCAGCCCGGTCCCAGCCTTCATCGAGTGGGTCACCCTAATAGTGCACGCCTTTCGCCATCGCCCTCGCCCGCCATGATTGGCTCGTCTCTCATCGACGACTCGATCCTGGCATCAAGCATGGTCTCGTCCGCACCATCAGTAATGATAGCCGATCGGCGACCATCATCTCAACCTCGCGGCGAGATCAACCAGCAGCGCATTTGACTCGCTGCACATGGCCATCGGCTCGATAACCTTATCACTCGTTCTCCTAGTTCCTTCTGTGCGTCTCAATGTCTGCTTTTCTGCTCTTCCGAGGATGGCCAGACTTGCTCGCCAGCACTTCGACTTATTCAAGTCTTTGTCACACGCCACTTCGCAGGGGCATCACCTTCTCCCCATTTGGCCAGCGATAGGGGTATAACATCTATCCCCTTATCCACTTATTAAGGAGGATCCTTAGCTTTTGCCTCTGCTGCTCACCAAGAGTCTGTTATCAGCTCTGGCTGAGTAAGTTTCGTATGTTCCAGCAGGCAGGACCGATGGCAGTTGTGTATAATCTTGCTCTACCGCAGGTGCTCGAATGGAGAGGATATTGATTGAAGTTGTTGCCATCTGCGGCTCTGCTCTGACACGACAAACAAGCTCGTTGTGAGAGAGCAGGATGGCGCCTTGATAGGAAAAGGAGATAAATTTGTTGGAGAGCGACGGTAACATGTCATCCTTGGGAACGAAATTCGTAAGTGAACCTTTGGACATTGTCTCGACGCGTCGTATGCGACGCTCACTTCCAAGTGTTCACGAACATCGTGACCGCCGGCTTCAGCACTTGCCTTTCGAATCTTCCGCCAAGATCTCACTCTCACACCTTTGACACCAAAGTCCTGTCGCGATCTTGCAATTGTCGAGCCCTTGACCTAATCAGCGCAGTCAAGGCTACGCCGCCTCACCCTTGGGTTCACACGGCCTCAGTCCACGATCATCGCAGCACTGTACAGAAGCGGAATACAA